GCCCCCCCCCCGCCCCCCCCCCCCCCCCCGCCCCCCCCCCGCCCCCCCCCCCCCCCCCCCCCCCCCCCCCCCCCCCCCCCCCCCCCCCCCCCCCCCATCCACAGTGCAGCGCAGCGACCCAGTCAGCGTGAGTTCGGAGGTGCTTGCCCTGTGACTGACTAACCTTCCGCTGTCGAGATCACCGATCGCTCGGAATTTTCAAACAGAGACGGAAGGAACGAAGAAAGTCGGGAAAGGACATTGGGCACACGCAAGCGCTAATGGACATGGAAGCCTGAGAGTGCCTGGAATCATTCTCTGCATCGCGATGGAAGCTTCTGCGCTATTGAACATCGCAATCTCGAGTCGTCACAATTGCCCTCTCCGCTCCAGTGCCGTCCGTTGTCGTGATTCAGGGTCCGGTCCCTCGTTCCATGGTGGTTCACGTCATGGCTAGCCATCTCCAGTCCAGCAGGGCCTCGCTGCAAGCCGCATACACCGCACGCCTCAGGCCACGCCCCGCCTCAGCAGCAGCCTGCGCTCCAGTCGCTCACGTCTCGAGCCTCAAGGTAGGTTCGTGTTGTCGCTACCGTCTACCTAGACACGTCGTCCTCGTCGCGATGCCCATCTTCACATGCCGACATCGACGCGGCCGTCAGTCCACTCGACCTTCCGACCGTCCGCCCCGCGAGTCGGTCAGCTGCGCACTCGAGCTTGAACAACAGCATCCAAGGGGCAAGCAAAGCCTCTGTCCGTGGCTTGACCATGAGGAACCTGCAGGACCCTGTGCCGCAGCAGACAACTAATTAGAGCACACCCCCCTCGGGCAGGTCAGACAGTGACTGGAGTCCATCCAGTCGCCTGCGTGCGTCCCTGGAGGCTTTGACCTGATCCTCGTCGGCGCTACGGCCACACACGCCCACTATGGCACCCACATTGACCACATCCACATTCGCTCACATCCTGGCTGGATCCAGCTGCCAGGACCCATACAGGCTTGGCCTGGGACTAACTAAAACTAGGTCTCCCAGGTGTCTCTTGCATTCTCTCCTTCTCCGGGCCTGCTGGCTGGCTCTCCGTCGATACCTACTTTAGTACATACCGATCCCAATCCCCCATCACTCCTGGCCCCCGTCTCTCGTCTTTCCTGTCTTGCAACGTCGAACATTTCACAACTCGATCTTCGCTGGCAACAAGTCGACGACCCTGATCGATCAATCATCCACCAACGCAACCCAAACCATCTCGACTTGGTCCTGAACCTGACCCTGAACCACAAAGGTTCCAGTCAACAGCTAGCCCGCCACGCCGTCACCAGCCTACCTCAACCTTTCAACTACACGATCACGCCGCCCCTCGTATAGCTTTTAGAGTTATCAACGTGGCCAACAGTCAACCCTTCTTTTCCTCAACTTCGCCTCTGTGGTTATCGCGACCTACGTCAAGCTTCAAGCTGTGTCTGCGTATCATCCCATAATAAGCTACCAAACACGTCTCGGAGGTCCCTTGCTGGAACTTCAAACGGCATCATCGGATCTTTATAAAAGGTTCAAGAAGGAGCGATCCCTCTCACCTTGCAGCAGAGTCGAGTCACCGACACTTGCTAGCAAGCCAGCTCTGTCCGCTCTTGAGTTATCGCCTGGAAAAGCCTGAAAAACCCGTGGCCGGAGACCTTTCCCAGTCCTACCTCGAAAGCAAGACGACTGCAGCAATGATGCAAGCGCGCGATGCCTCGGGTCGCCGCGTCTCGTTACTGAACGACGAAGGCAATAACACCGGCGCTTCCGCTCATGGTGGGCTCACGGCGCAAAGGCCGCTACCGCAAAGACCATTGAGCTTTCACTCTAATCATGTCCTCTCCCGTCCCGCCGCCCTGTCTCGCAGCACTTCATCTTCACCGCACATGCCCGAGCTTTCCCGCTCCGAATCATACGACTCCCAAGCCAGCACCGACCCCTTGTCGCCTCTCACACCCGCCACAGACTATGCCTTTCCCCGTACTGCGCAATACCCCCTCAACCAGGCCTACGCAGTTGATCCCACCGTGACGAAGCGTCCCGCATTTGCAGAGAGCCGCACCACCTCGTACGCAGGGGAAGAACCGGCCGCCACGTCGCCTCTACCCGAGCAACGGCAGGGCAAGCGGTATCCTTGTCGGTATCGTGAGACGCACGGATGCGAGAAGACCTTTACCACCTCTGGACACGCCTCGCGTCACTCTAAAATCCACACGGCGGAGAAGGCTGTGCAGTGCTCATTCCCGCTCTGTCAGAAGAAGTTCACCCGCGCCGACAACATGAAGCAGCACTTGGAAACGCACTTCAAAGATCGCGCGCGTGGTGCCGCCGCTAGCGCCCAGCGCGCCCAGAGGATGGCTGCGCGCAATCGCCCCGTGGCCCGCGAGTCGCAGCCGTCGACGACGCGCTCCTGGGAGCCGACCGAGCAGCTACCGTTACCAACGCCTCCTCTGGCCTCGCCTACTGGCACCGGCGCAACCTGGGACATGAGTGGCTTGAACCTACCCCTCCTCAGTCGCCCTGTCGCCGCCCGCACGCCAAGCAGCGGCCTCGACGCCCTGGCGATGGCCATTGCCCACCAGGAGGAGGTTGCCTGAACATCCACCCTCTGGCACTTTTCTCGCAGCGCATCTCATCAGCCATCGAGGGCCGCCACGCCCTCCCAAGCTCCGGATTCTACATCCGGTCAGACGCCTAATCCTAATGCGCTCACGAACCCCACATGACCCTGCTCAGCTCGACCCCTCGATTTCGCAACATTCCCATTCTTCCCAGACGGTGAATTCCACAATTCCCGTCTTTGGGCGCGGTCGCGACCACGGGAGGTCTGTCTCACCACTCGTGCCCATTGGCTTGCCGCCACTTGGGGATCCTCTCGCGCACCGCAGCTCGTGTCGCATCTTTGCGTCCAGGGTCTGCTGTACCTTTTATCGTTGTCGTTGACTGGGTCATTTGTCTCCAGCAGACATTGCTGCGCAAGCGCAGCGACTGGGGTGACTGGTCTCACCCATCACAACCGCTGATTTTTCTTATTCTTACGTACCTCTTAAGATCTTTATTTTTTCCGATCGAGGACCTGCGGGGCGATGCGTTGCATCGCAAGACGCTGAGATGCGCAAACTGTGCATTTGCATTATTCATCCATTTCTTCTTACAGTTACTGTTGGGCATGGCGTTAGCGGTTTTTTTTTTGTCTGCATCGACGCTTTGCATTGAGAAGCGGCGTCGAGTGTACATGATTCTCACACACACAAAAGACTTGGGAAACGTATACAATCATGGGGAGGGTTTGAAGGATAGGATTAAGACATGAGGAAAAAGTCCGAGAGTTGGTTTACTCTTGGCTTAAATGATACCATCTGCTTTCTGCACATACAAACAAACATACATTGTTGTCGCTTCATACTTTGATCGTTGATGATTGAATTGAATCCATCGGTCACAGGGGCGTGAAGTCTAATCATACTGTCGCCGTCGCATGCTTCATTGACACAAAGTCAATTAATTGACCCTGACAAGCCCGCGAGTCTATATATTTACCTCCACAGCTCCTCCTTGGTGGCACACATTCTAGCCATCTCAAACTGCTCGTCCGTCTGACACACCAACACCTTCTTGCTGCCATCGCCATCGCCGCTGATGTCGTCGACGACGCCCTTGAGAGGGCCCTTGTTCTTGCCCTCGTCCACACGGAAGCCGAGGCACTGGACCTTTTGCACGACCGCGTCTCGCAGCTGCCAGCTCTTCTCGCCGATGCCACCCGCAAAGACGAGCGCGTCGACGTCGCCGCCCAGCGAGACAAAGTAGCTCCCAATAAAGGCGGCGACGCGGTCGACAAACAGGTCAAAGGCGAGCGCCTGCTCGGGCGTGGCGCGCGAGGCGATGGCGGCAAAGTCCGTTGTGCCCGTGAGAGCCGACCAGCCAGACTTCTTGTTGAGAATCTCTTCGGCGCGAGAGATGTGAAGCTGCGACGTGGAGGCGGGGGATAGTTTGCCGACGTCACTGGCGTAGTGGAAGACGAGACTATGGGAGGCCGAGTGTAAGCATGGCAGGAGAGTAAAGGAAGGGAGTTTTGTTACCTGGGATCGACGCTGCCGGAGCGTGTTGCGCCGGGGAGACCAGCGAGTGGTGTGAGACCCATGCTCGTGTCTCGACTCTTTCCATTCTGGATGGCGCAGGCGCTCGCGCCGCTGCCGAGATGCAGCGCGATAATGTTGAGGCTGCTCTCGTCCTTGTGCAGAAACTCGGCGGTGGAGCGGGCGATGAAGGCGTAGCTGAGGCCGTGGAAGCCGTACTTTCTCAGCTTATTCTTCTTGGCAATGTCCTGGTTGATGGGGTAGGTCGCGATGTGGGCGGGGATGGACTGGTGGTACTGCGAGTCAAAGCAGGCGACGTTGTGTGTCGAGGGGAGCTGGTTGATGCAGGCGTCGACGATGCCGAGGGCGGCGCCGTTGTGGAGTGGCGCGAGATCGCTGAGGGCCTCAATGTGATGGTAGGTGTCCTTGGTGATGAGCTGGGCGTCGTCATAGTCACCGCCGTGGACGATGCGATGGCAGGCGATGGCAATGTCGTCCTTGGAGGAAATGTCCTTGAGCGCCTCGTCGTTGATGAGGGTGTCCAGGAGGAGGCGGAAGGCGGTATCTTGACTGCTGGCATCCACCTCCTTGCCCTTCTCGACCGAGGCGCCTTGTCGATTGTACGTGAGCTTGGCCGGAGGGGCCGTCAGCCCGCTTACCTGGGCGTCGGCGATCTCGCGTGGGGTGGCCTTGTGGTGAGAAGCGGCGTAGACGGAGATCTTGACCGAGCTGGAGCCGGCATTGATGCTGAGTATGACCTTCATGATGGGATGGGAGCGAGGTGAGGCGAGTCGTGTAAATGCAGTCTGAGACCTGTTGCTCGTGTATGTAGAAGCACGTAACTTAGATGACGTTGATCCAGGTCCAGCAACATCTGACGTCTTTGGTGGGGCTGGCGGTCCGGGACGGCAGGGATTGGGGAAGACGCCGACCGAGACGGATCATATCGCATGGGAAATGGGTCGATCCGGGCGCCACAGCCGGGTCGATCTCCTACACATTGGTCCTAGGAGAGGATTCGAAAATAGCATCCAGCGGGTGATCGTCAGAGATACATACATCTGCATCATCCTGGCAGGGCCGGCTTCATCAGCAGGACCTCGGTGGTCTCCACATACAGCTCTTTGGTGCTCGTGGTGGCACTGACATGGACGTTGCCCTCGAGGGCGTCCAGCCACTGGTGCCACCTGGTCCCTGGGATAGGCTCAGACCACCCGCGCGAGGGCTGGAGTACACGCGAGAGCCGTAGGGCAAAGGGGGCAAAGTGCACATCGACAAGGCTGAGGCTGCCGCCCAGAAAGTACGGACCTTGCTCATCCGCAGCGAGCACGAGGCTGGTGATGGCGGCTTGCAGCTTGTCGACAAGCTCAGGGTGCGGGCCAGCCATGTCTCGAGCCTGCAAGATGCCATAAAACGCGGGTACGATGCGCTCGTTGATCTAGCTCGTAGTCAGTCTTGGTGCTTCGAGAACGTGCGGTGGAAGGACGACGACAGACATGATCAATCCATAGGCGGCAGTTGGCCTTCAACCGCGGATCCGTCGGGAAAAGGGGCGTCTCCTTGTCCAAATCTTCCAGCTGTACGTACTCGTCAGCGTCCGACGCACGTCCGCAAGAGAAACGCCTCTACCTACGTATTCGAGGATGACGGCGCTCTCGGCACACGCCCAGTCACCCTGTCGAATGGCAGGCGTCAGACCTCGCGGGTTCGCCTCCAGGAAGGGCGTGGGCACGGGTCTGCGGTACGGATCAATCTCGCAGTACTGATACGCGATGCCTTTAGCCTCCAGGGCAATCCAAACTCTCTGCGAAAACGGGCTAAGTCTAGGCGTTAGTCGGTGGTCCCTACTCCCTTCTGAGCAGATAAAAAAGCATACCAGAAACAGGCCGAGTAAAGCTTGAGGTCACTGTCCCTGCTGTGTTTCTTGACAGTCGTCAGCGCTGTCCCCGTAGCCTTCCGAGGGATAGGTTTGCTCTGTCCCTTCTTGGTCTCCTTCTCCTGCTTGGCCAGCCATCGCTGCACGCTGTTCTTCTTGATCTCATCGCTCTTCTGCAGCGAGTGGCGATGTGGCCCGGCCACGCCATCCCCCTTTCCGTTGCCGCCGTTGCCGTTGACCCTCTGGACCGTCCAGAACTTCTGCCCGGGCCCGATCATGTCCATGGCCGGCGGCGGCTGCGCGGGGAACGTGCCCAGGCCATCCTCCAGTTGAATCTGGGCGCCGGGGGCATACTCTGTGATCTTGATCTTCACGTCGCACAGGTCGCGTTCCCTGGCGTTGCGCTTCCTCTTCTTCTTGTTTGGGTCGTCGCTCTTGGGCGTGCCTGGCGGGCGTCCCTTCATGCGGCAGTCCCAGTAGTGTGAGACGAACGGTTTGCGCTTGTACCGCTGCGTCGAGCGGTGTGAGTAGACATTGTCAATGTGCGGGAAATAGGTCTCGAACTGATCATCGGTGAGGACGATGAGGTCGTCCACGTTGAAGAGCTTGTCACGCCAGGCTGCGAGATCAGGGGGGTCGACGACGATACGAGGGTCATGGCCTGGCCCGTTGAGTTTGCTCATGTCGGCCTCCTGCGTGGTCGCCTCAAGACTCTCGCTGGCGAAAGCGACATTGGTGCCAGGCGTGACGTTGGTTGGCTTGAGGATACCAAATTGGCCACTCCCGTTGCCGCTGTGGGTTTGTGATAGCCGTCCTTGGGTGGCTGTTCTACTTAACTCGGGTAGCTGCTGGGACGGCAAGATGGGAGCTATGGTCCGATGGTGCGTCTGTGGGTGGTGGTGGTGGTTTTGGTGGTGATGGTGGTGTTGCTGCTGCTGCGGCGGCGGATGATGCCCATGGTGATGATGATGGTGGTGGTGGTGATGGTGATCAAAGGCGCCCCCGTCCAACCCAGTCGCGTACTCATCGAGGCTCAGATGACCCAAAGGGTCACGGTAGGCGGAGGACTCCGTCATATCAGCACCGCCAAACGGGGCGGCGCCCGAAGCTGCCATCGCCAGCGGTTCCCAATCGTACTCTTGATGATCCCTCTGCTCGAGTAAATGCGACTCCTAGATCCAACAGGCCGTGATGAACGAGAGATCTGGCTCTCTGCTGCCTAGAGACCATCGCCAAGGGAGCAAGCGAGCGAATTTTGGCCACGACCCCTCGCGCGGGGGGTATGGATGGCGATGAGGTCAAGCTCTATTTCTTCGAGTCGAGTCGCGAGGTCACAGGTGAGTTGAGTTGAGCTGAGCTGAGCTGAGGTGGTCGCCCAAACGGGTAACGCTGGTGCACGGACCACTTTCTCCAGAGAACCTCAAGACAAGACAAGTTCATAGCAGCGGCAATTCAGTCAACAACAAGCAAGTGAGAGATGGCACAGAGCTCTGATTCAGACTAGAGTGACTTCCACCGTTGTTCATCCAGCTATAGGAGCGGAGCATTGATTAGATATCCCATATACATGCATAACACACTCCAAACGCCCTGAAAGTAACCAACAGATGTTCATCATATATCCCTCCCGCCCTTCATTGCCGCAGCTGCTCACTGTTCTGATCCCACGCACCCAGATCCATCGCGTCCATCGGCCCCATGTGCATCAAAGCCTGCAGGACATTGTCGCCAGCGTGTTGAGGTCCCTGCGGCGGCTGGTGCTGCTGCGGTTGCGGCATGGCGAGCATGTCCATGCCCCAATCATTCTGCTCAAGACCGAATCCGTTCTGGCCTCCTCCTCCTCCTCCGCCGCCGCCGCTGCCGCCGCCGCCCATGACTGTGTAGTCGTTCACAGTGGCAAACAAGTTGGCTTGGTGAGCATCCAGACCCCCAGCGCCCATCACATTCCGCTGGGACGAGATGGGACTGGCCTGGAACGAAGTCTGTCCCAGACCCATCAAATTATTTGGTCCACGGCCGTCCGACGCACTGTCCTTGCCGCCATTCGTGCTCGAATTCGGCGTCACGCCGCTCGAGTGACCCGGTGAACCCAGGCCGCCAATGTTGTCTGCGCTCGCACTTCCCCTGTCGTGCGTCCGCCCCGATTGGGGTGTCGTAGAGTTCATAGAGGCCAACCATGCGTCGGCATTGAAGCCGGTCATCTTGTCCGCGCCCTCGAAATCCTGGAAATCAACCATTTCGGGCCGTGGCTCGACGAGATTGGGCCCTTCGGCCGGGTTGCCATTGTCCCCCAGCGTCTTCAAAAAGTGACACTCATTGCGGTAAGATGGACTGCCTCCAGCGCCGTTCATCCAATCGCAGTTGCTCCTCGTCTTGTCTTGACTCTGTGGATCCTAGATATACTTAGCTTTGACAATGTCTGTCACAACCGCATCGAGACTTACTGCGTGCATGTTGTGAAAGTCTTTCCGCAGTTTCGGTATCCTCACCGCCAACGCCTCCAGATCAACATCGAGCTGCGCGAGGAAGCTCTCCGTCAGGGGGTTCCGCTGCTTCAGTGCGTTCATGGCCGACAGCAGGAATCGTAACGAGTCCGCCGTCTGGCTGTCGTCCGGTCTGCTCTTCAGGTACTGCACGAAGACGCGAGCGGACACGTACAGGCAGAATGAAATGCAGAGATTCATCTTCCTGCGTCAGCACGGCATCGAGGGAAGTTCAACGTGGCTCGACTTACCGTGTCCAGATCTATGTGTGATACTGTCCGCATGATGCTGGCAATCTCATTCGCCGCAGTGATGCACCGCACCTTGCTTTCGCTACTGACAGACCCTGGCAGCTTGTTCTGCTCGGCCTTGAAGATCGCGGCCTGGTGCAGGCAGATTGTCGACGTGTGAATGGCCATGTTGGCAAACACGACGTTGGGGTTCCCAAGCCCAGCTGGCAGCTTAAGTTGGGAAGGTAGGCACAGCGCTGTGTTGAGTATAATGTTGTCCAGGTGGCGATGCCGCTTCCAGAACGGTCCGTTAATGTCGTTCTCTTGATCATCCCCATCCGTGCGGTGCAGGTGCACCAAGTTGCGACCGAAGAGAGAGGCCATGAGACAGACCGCGCCGTAAGACGACAGTCTCGACGCCCCCGATGGACTCGTCGCTTCCCCGAGACTCAACGTCTGCTCCGCCTTGCCAGTTTCAAAGGCCTCCTCCGACGCAGGCAGGTTGGCCATGACATCTCGCTCATCCACACCCATGGGCCATCCCGTACCGATGCTCGTATACCGATCTTGGCAGTACGCCATCCAGAACGTTCGCCTCCGCTCTTCCTTCTCTATCCAGTCCTTGGGAGGCGCCAGGCATTGCTTCACATCGAGACCTACACCATCCACGCGATGCAGTCCTATCATCTGGCACAGGCGTATCGCAGAGCCCGTGCTGACCCAGGCGCGGGGAAAGTACATCATCTTCATCTCGTAGCACGTCAGCAGCACGTGCGCCTGACAATGGGCCACGCTGATGACCTGCTCGCCAAAGCCCTTCATGTAGTCTGCCTCCATGTACTTCCGCGCGCGCTGGTAGAAGAGATCCTTGAAGCCATAGAGCTTCTCGGAATGTGAGCAGGCCATGGTCCACATGGCATAGCGCAGACAAACGGGCGGTCTTTGGTTCGGGGCCCTATCCAGAGTCAGTCAGCGTCCTTCTTCATACGACGTCCCGCCTCGCGTGAGAGAGAAGTACAGGTTCATAGCCATCAGGTACCGCGACTTGTGTATCATGGGGATCGAAGGATGCACAGTGTCAAAGTACGCCTGATGTAACTGATCGATCGTGTCCTGTGGCGGCAAGGGCTCCTCGAGTCCCAGCCCAATCATCTCCCACGAGAAGTCACCACCCATGCCGTTGAGATTCATGTTCAGGTTGGGGTCAAATGTAAAGTCCTCCATAGGCGGTGCGGCGGAGGTATTGTTTTGATCGCTGTCCATTGCATCTATCCCTTCCCACGTAGCACCCATGCTGGCCTCTGTAGCCGTCCGCTTGTTGCTCCTCTGACTGGGCGGCGCATCTCGTGTGGGGAGGGTCGCCGAAGCGTGCTGTCGCGGACCTTGCGATGCGCTCGGTTCGGCTCCCTGGAGCATTGTCTCGACTTGTTCTATCCAGCATTATTAGCCCGGCCTCGATATGTGGCTAGAGGTGCCGGGTATACTTAGTCTCTCCTCCAGGGCCTTGACGTAGCCCCTTTTCGGGCCACTCTTCCTCCTCTGTTCCTCGTATGCACACGCATGGCCAAGTCGGGAGCAGGTACCGCAGCTCGGTCGCGATCCGTCACATTTGAGCTTACGCTTGCGGCATACGGTGCAAGCTAGACGCTTCTGCGGCTTCGCGCCATCACTGACAGGTACGGTTGTGGTCGTGGTCGTGGTTGTACGTCCGGCTAGCTCGGGACCGAGGGTATCGCCGCCCATGGGTTCGCTGTGGTGGTCTTGCGACCCTTCGGACGAAGAGGCCATTGTGGCGCCAAGGCTGGATCGTCTAATGCTCGCGTGATCGAAGCTGTTCCCTGTGCAAGTCCGTTTGCATAGCGCGGCTCGTTTCGATGGTGAGATATCGGGTGCCTGGCCTAGCTAGGCGTGATGGCAAGGCTGTCGGACCACGCGTGCAACGAACGCCGTCTCGTCGTTAGGTGAGGTGGGAGGATTCGGTGAGTGCAGGTCAATGACAGGTTGGCACTGGACCAGAAGACTCAAGTCATTTTGGGGGAATCTATTTCATGAATGAGCTCGCGACACTTTGAGGCAGTGATGATCAAAGTCATTAATTGGCAGTCCTTCCCATGAATCCTCCCCAACGGACTGGCATGGCGCAGCGTCTCGTGCGAGTCAGCGACAGGTCCCGCTTATGCAGCATCCTTTGTACCCGTAGCACGTCTGCGTCTACCAACCCTACACACATCGTCTTCAACGATAGACTTGCGTGTCCTTATTCCACAGAAGAGTTTGAAAGACAATGGCCACGGCTTGCCGCTCGAACTGACGACTACAATAAATAGAATCCTTGCCAGCAGTGATTATGACTGTCTTCCATTCGTTGTACGTACCCGACTCTAGGCTTCACGCCTGACGACGCTTACAAATAGCCACGACGCGGACGAACCAGGAACCTGAGCAGCCAGCTGTACATCACTCTCGCCCTGTCTTAAACACTTTCTGTGCTTACTTGCACAAGTACAACCAGACCATTTGGTGATACGTAGGCGATGTACGGGAAAGCACCAGACTGACCATCAGAAGGGTTGTCTCGTGTGCGTACAACATCGACAGACGCGACTCGGCCAGGCGCAGTCAGCATAACACTTGCGGCTTCTACCTTACACATGGTTGAATAGGCAGTCTCGCTTCCATTATTCTGGGCAATCCTGCTTCTTGCCGTGCTGCGCCGCCGTCCCCTTTGTAACCTCGCTCACTACCTCCTATCCAACTTATCCACGTCGACGCCCACAATCTTCAAGGAGCCCATGTCATTGTAGGCAAGCCAGTACCTCGTCGGAGCCCACGCCACAAGCGGACACGCGCCCACCGTGTTAAACGTGTGCACCTTCTCGCCCGTCTCCGCGTGCGTGACCACGAGCCCGTTCCCCTCGTCGCTGCCGCCGACAATGAAACTACCATCAAACGTCCAGCCTAGCGCCCCGTTAGTACAGGAACAAACCAAGAGGAGGAAAAGGCGGGACAAGGAACTGACTTAGACTTCTCACGGGCCCGGTCATACTGGTAATGGTCCGCTTGCACAACCAGTCCTTTGTGTCCCACAGCTCGATGATCGAGTCGGACCCGCCCGTCGCGAGGTATCGCCCGATCGGCTGGAGCTCAGCCGACAGACAGCTCGACGTGTGTCCGCTGAGCATCGCCTCCCTCTCGTCGTCGTACTGTTCGCGGAGGATGGGCTCAAAGTCAGGGTATGACAGGATCCTAATCTTGCCTTCGGCTGTGGTGACGAACACTTTGTCGCCGCTCCAGCAGAAACTGATTTGGTTGGTGTGGGTAGATTGCTGATGAGATGATATGACCGTGGGACTCGTAGGGGAGAGGACAAATATGTTATCCGCCTTGTCATTATTGTCAGTGCCATTGCTGCTGTAGCCGCATCGTGTGATGTTTGCGCGCGCACATACCTTGTTCCCCACAATCAGGGTCTGCCCATCAGGCGCCCACGCCAGCGTGAAGGCGTCGCCGAGCCCCTTGACCTCATTGAAGCAGTTCTTTGTGCGGACGTCCCAGAACTTGACGACGCCATCGCTGCTCACGCTGCACAGCTCAGCGTCCTTGACCGGGTTGAAGGCCACCTTCTCGATGGCGGCCGAATGGCCCTTGAGCTCGGTCGAGAACTTGCCCTGTGGTTTGTCCGGATTCCCTACATGCCAGTCAACAGCCGTGCTAGCAACCGAAGATGCGCTGTCTGCATACAGACTCGGAGGGTCTTGTCTGAAGACCCAGTGGCGATCAGCTGCCCTAGGCAATTCCATGCCAGACACCGTACTCTGTTCCCAGATGTCAACACGGATCCGTGGCGCAATCCTTTTTCTATCGCCTACTGGTTGGAGCTGGATGGGGCCCGCGAGTCCCTGCTTAGATCGGGGTAGTTCTGAGGCTGCATCTTGCTAAAGTACACCGGGAACCTCTCCGCAGACAGGCTCTGCCTGGGCCGAAGTGTGGGCGCCATGTTGAAAGGAACGAGCCGCTAGATATCCCACGCTCAAGGGCCGTCTCTTTTGTGTATCTGGTCGTCGGCGTGAGATTCCGGTTGACACTGTCGAGACGTGCCTCTGCTCGATGGGAGATGGCGTGTTTGAGGAACTGCGTGTGATGATCGCAGAGCGCAAACCGCGTCAATGGCTGTTCTGTAGAATTATCGCAGCACGCGAGACCTGCACAATAAAACAGATATGTCAGAAATTTATAGAGCGATCGCGGCTGGGTAGAGCCTTTGTTGTAGAGAATGACAAGACACAACCTGACATGACACTGAGCTTTGAAGTTGTGGTCTAACGGGGACCCACTATTTCCTCGATTGTTGATCAACGCCATGTCAACGTCAGGAGGGACGTGACAGACGGCGCTTTCAACCTCACATCGTGTCGTTCAATGGGAACAGCTACGGGAACTACAAGAGACCGTTTCACGTCATGGGTATAAGTAGTACTAGTCGCATGGATACGCCGTGTTTAAGTCATAATAGTGCAGTCAATTCGCGTCCTTTGCCATGTCGACGTAGACCACGTAGTAGTCATGTGTATGTACAGCGTGTATGCCATGGGGCAGAGCAGAGCAGAGCAGAGCAAGAGTCCAAGAAGCTGCTGGCTAGAAAGCCCAGCTCCCTCCCAAAACCGTCCGTGCCTTTTCCCCCAAACAATGCCTTGCTGTTGCCGACTCCTAATTTGTCCAGAGAACGAAAGCCAAACCTGTAAAAGATGAAGCAAAACAACTTGATCGCCAAATCCAAACCTGCGCCTGGTTCGCCACGACTCCGCTCGCCTTTCCTAAACAAGTAACAAACCATGCGGCGCAAACGCGCGCAGAGATAAAGCATAATGACAGGCATGCCCCATTACTTCTGCTACCATTGCAGAAAGAGCCATCACGACGGGTATGAAGTGTGTCGATGACGGATATGGTTGGAGAGACGATGGTCGCAGACTCAGAATAATGGCACATCGCCGTTGCGGAGTGATGCGAGGTAAATCAAAGTCATAAGCTGTCGTGAGGGTCGCCAACCACGCGACCAAAGAGGCCGTATTCAGACTCATGACCCCTCTGCGTCCGCGGAGTCGTCAATGTTCATGATGTAGAGGGGTTGTTGTCGGAGGTTGGTGAGGCCGAAAGCTTCGGCATTCTCCTTTGCCCAACGGCGGGCGACAATGGAAGCTGCAGCTTGTTAGTGAAATGATCGACGAGGAGAATGCATGTGGAAACTTACCCTTCAGGAACTTCTTGCTAGCATACTTCTTGAAAAAGGCCTCTTGGCAGACAGGGCGGGCGAGGTAGTCGACCATCAGCATGACGACGGGCATGACCTCAGCTTCCGTATAGCCTGCATAGTAGGTGATAGTTGCGTCCCACTCTCCGCGGTCTAGCATGAGCCGTGCCAGGAACATGGCGCCGGCAGAAACGTGGCTGGGGCAGAACTCCATGAAGCGGTGGTCGAGGAGGCTAATCTCCATGAGGTACTTGCCAATGGTCCGAGACTGGATGTCATAGTTGTCCGCCTTGGATACACGTCGAAGAAAGTTCATGGGATTGGGGTAGCTGAGGTCGTAGTTGAGGGCGGTCAAGATGGAACGCTCAGCGCTGAGGATCTCGGCCTCAGTGTAGCCGTCGTCGGCAACGTGCCTGAAATCTCTGACAATGGGCGACAAGACCTCTTCGTACTTGGAGGCGATGAACATGGCAGTGATGCCGACCAGCTGGAAACGGTCGAGCTGGACGATCTTCACCGAGAGGAATCGGTCAATGATGCTGACGGCGAGGAAGAGCGTCTCAGGCAGGAGATGGAAGCGCGCGTGAACCTCAATGAGCCAGTCAACGAGGATGCCACGCGTCTGCCATTCGAGGTTGTCTTGCGATGCCATGTAGTCGGGGTTGGGCATGGAGGGCGCCTCGAGCTCACGGAGGTAGTCGAAGATATCATTGGCGTACTCGGCCACCATGAGCGGGTCATCGTGATCCTCATCATCCAAGTTCCGAATCTGTTGGTGAAGAGCTGTCTCCTTTGCCTCAGCAATGGCATCGGCCTTGGCACTAGCAACGGCCTCATTCTCCTTGTCGACCCTTGACTCGGAACGGATGCGCTTCTCGGCATCCATAGTATGAGCCTTCTTACGAACGGGCTCTGCCTCATCGACGGTGACTGATGGCTCCCGGCTGTGTGTGGTTGCGCTGAGGACCTTGCGTTTTTGCACGGCACCGATTGCGCCAGCGCCTGACTTCTTGGTGATCTCAACCTTCTTAGGATCCTTGGCCGCTGTGGCAACCCGACTCGCGGGGCGGGCGGCGGGCTTCTGCACACCCGTAGGCTGAGCAGCCTTCAGACTCTTGCCGGCAGCAGCCTTCTGGGCTTCTGTCTTGTTCACGTTGCTCACATCTCCCAAAGCGGCTCTTTTCCTCTGACCAGCAACGTTGGCGGTTGATTTTTTCGTTTGCAACGCGGGCTTGCCCGTTTTCCCAAGGTCCTCGGGACCGCCAGCGGCGGCTTTGGCACGCGTCAAACGCGTGTTGGCTGTGTTCTCATCGTTCTCGTTCTGTACAACACGCTGGCGTGTAGCCGGGCGTCCCTGATATATGGGTCAGCGACACGACGCGTCAACGACCGCGTTGCCAAGATGGTCACTTACTGCAGGCATCGCGACGTTTGTGATTGAGCCGTTGTAGATAGATCGCGTTCAATGACAGAGAGTCAATGCTGCTGTGTGTTGGTCCTGTCAGTTCGACGTGCTCGGGTTGAGAGAGGGTAATTGAGAGAAAACGACGGCATATGAAGCAAGAAAACACGTCGGCGGAGCTCAAGAAAAAAGGTTGCCGACGCGGTGAGACAGTCGAATAAGAAGTAGGAATTCTCTGAGACTAACCTCTGGGTCAAGGTAATGAAAGGTTGGCACCAGAACAGGCGCGTCTTGGAATGCTGGCTTGGGTGCGTGCGGGTTGGGCGTCGATAGGCGAATTGGTCGATGCTGGAAGGTTGCTGTGCTGGTGCTGTGTCGCGATACTGTGTTAGGCGAATCTGCTTTCCAAATGAACAAGTTGCATGCAGGACGATAGAATTGATGTCGGAAATGAGAGGGCCTGCAGTGGCTGGCGAGGTGTTTTGATGTCAAGGCGGACAGTGCAGTAGCAGAGGGCAGCTCTGCAGTCGAGGTGCAAGTCATGTTTTGACGAGTCTGGTGGAGCTCGCAGCAGAGCCAAAGTGGGGCTGGCGGAGAGGCTGGTGAGGAGGTACGTACCTGTTCCAGAGCGCGGCTGCTCTGGGGTGGTTGACTGGCTCAACGCAGCGTTGCTACGTCAGATGGGCTGGAGTTCCACCTTTTTGGACGCGAGGATTGGACGGGAAGCTGTCTTGCTCGCGGCTGGCCCTGCAGACGCTGAATAAAACCAGTGATTTGGCTGGAGACGCGATCTTAATATGGCAGGGAACACGCGACAAGACACGGATCTGGGGTGAATGGAATTTGTTCAAGGCTGTGAGAATGAAGAGCAAATCGGCTTGAGGCGGGCCAGTGTAATTAATAGCCTTGCAGTTGATGGCCTTTGCACCGTGGCATACAGACTTGGGAGTGAGCAGTCAGTTCGACGCGAAGTGGCACAATGGCACCGCGAAGCGTGACCCATGTCGAAAATTGGTACAAAGTTCGTCAACGAGCCCCATGCAAACAATAGCAACGGCATAGCAACGGGGCCATCATTGGACAGCACGCCCAACCGCGACGGTGCTCGGGCCGGTATTAGCTCGACGCGTGAGATCAAGCCCCCGCTCCCTAGCAGTCGGTGGCTGAGCTGAAGTCGGTGCCCAAATGTGGCTGAGAGAGCGACCTGCGCCACAGATCCGGAGTAGTGGTTTCGCCATGTCTCCGGACAAATTTCCAGCGAGGTTGCGACGGCCTCGACAACGCGCGCCAACGACTTATTAGACGTCGACGTCTAATTGATAACAGCTGCCGCCCTCCGTGCTGTCCAGGGCAATGCGTCGGTAACAGGCTACCTGTGATATTGTCATTTTCCCGCCGAATTGAGTTGGAGACGCCTCGACGACCTCCTTTCCCCAACCCCTCGTAACGAATCACGAACCTACGTCGACCTTTGGACAGCTCGAGCTGAACCTTGCGATGCTACAACAGCGGCTGCAGCTATCTGCAGTCCGCAGAGGCCTGCAGGCCCTTTCATTCAACAAGCCGGCTGTTCGCTTTGCTTCTGGCCAGGCCAACAACATTGAAGCGCAGACGGAGTCAACAGCCGGGAACGACGAAGCCGCTAGGCGGGCCAAGGGAGGTCTTTTTCTGCGAACATACAAGCCTCGCACACCCGGTGTCCGTCACTTGAAGCGACCCATCAACGATCACTTGTGGAAAGGGCGGCCCTACCTGCCGCTGACGGTCCCCAAAAAGGGCCAGTCAAGAGGTGGACGTAACTCTACGGGAAGGATAACAGTGCGTCACCGCGGAGGAGGTGCGAAACGGAGATTGCGCAATGTCGACTTTGAGCGCAAGATCCCTGGGCCTCATTTGGTGGACCGAATCGAATACGATCCAGGCCGCAGCGCGCACATTGCGTTGCTGACCGAGAAGGCCACGGGCAAAAAGTCCTACATCCTGGCCGCGGACGGACTGAGGGCTGGCGACGTTGTGCACAGCTATCGTGCGGGTATCCCGGCGAAGCTCCTGGCCAGCATGGGAGGCATTGTCGACCCTGGTATCCTGGCGTCCAAAACAGCTTTCAAGGGCAACTGCCTGCCGCTGCACATGGTGCCGGTTGGCACGACGGTGTTTGCCGTTGGCTCTTCTGCCTCTCGCGGCGCCGTGTTCTGCCGCAGTGCAGGGACCCACGCTGTCGTCGTCAACAAGAACGAAGAGACGCGGGATGATGGCAGCAAGGTCATGACCGGAAAATATGTGGAAGTCCGTCTGCAGAGTGGCGAGGTTCGCCGCGTCAGCAAGGATGCATGTGCTACTATTGGTGTTGCTAGCAACATCCATCATGGGTACCGCCAATTGGGCAAGGCTGGTCGCAGCCGATGGCTTGGTATTCGTCCCACGGTTCGTGGTGTGGCGATGAACAAAGGTGAGACATGGAATGTTTGTCGGTTGGATGTATAGGTTTGCTGACATGCTGCAGTCGATCATCCCCACGGTGGTGGTCGTGGTAAGTCGAAGAGTAATCGCCATCCGGTCACTCCTTGGGGCCGTCCTGTAAGTTGTTCCGTTGACACTCCCACGTTCAATATCTAACCCTTCATAGACCAAGTCAGGCTACAAGACTCGCCGCAAGCACAATGTCAACGCCTTTGTGGTCACTCCCCGTCCTCGCAACCACGGCAAGAGAAGATCCAACAAGGCTTAAGTCAGTTTAGAGAGACAGCTGTCTGTCAATGGGAGGGAGCACGTGGCCTGGAGGGTGCAGACGAATGCTGTATGTATGTATGTATTATTTCGAGGCTGTTGTCAGGCTGTGATGATAGCAATGGCATTGTATATTATCGGGTGCGCGTATCCGTGTAGCCAATTCACATGTCGCTTTCTGTTAGGGAGAACTTGCAGTACGTAAGTAATCAACCAGCAAATACCGCTAGGTCAAGCCACGTCCCGTCGGCATCGCATAGCCGTCACTACAGACATTGACCAGACAGCGGGCGTCCACTCACGTTGCTCGTATTGCAACGTGCACAGATGGATTGGCTGCGTTCCACCCTCCTCCTCTGGAGCTTGGCCACCAAGCCACAGCCGACAGGGGTGGGGAGAACAAAGGTCGGCGTCGCGGCTCCCAAGGTGGAGAGCACGCGACCACTTGTCGTTTCTGCGACAATGGCTCAACATGGCTGTGCAACACATGCAAAGAGAGCCTCCTGGTCTAGATGCGGGAACGCGCGGCAGCCGACGATCAAGAATGCATTTTTAGAAGCCTCTGCGCCACCTGTCCCTGGATGCGTTACATATGTAGAAGATCTCCTCGAGCCTTGTGTGCCTACTCCGTACGGATACAGTTGGTATAATTAATAGGTGGTGAATGCACACGCTGGACCCATCAACTCCCTTGCAGGACACCATCCCTGAGCACAGATCCGATCTGGCGGACATGATCGACGCGGCAGCAGTCGACTAGGCGCCTGGCATTGCAACAACCGGATCCTCACTCCAGTCATTGCACTACGTATTCGGATCCTCTCCATACTCACTCATCTCTCGAAATCGAAAGCCTCGATCGAGCACACACCAGCTAGCATCAGTCTGGAATACATACGGCACACGCACGCACGCCCGCACGACGACCGTTGAACATCTGGTGTTTGATTTCGCCATCGGCTCTTCGGCACCCGCGCCAACCACCAACTTCACTGGTCTCACCTTGGAACTTATCTGAGCTGCCTGCATTCATTCCACTGTGGCTTGGACTTTGGAGGCCTTCGACAAAGGTGCCTAAAGTAGTACCTAACTAGTGCGTCACTACGCGCTACTACCTACAGGGACCTCCAGTCCGTCTGTCCATCCTCCTCGCCATCTGCCTTCTCCTCCCCGGATTTCTAGTCGGTCTTGGGCATGACACAAACATATCGCAGAATGTCCAACGGCTCATTTTCAAAATCGGCCATGGGCTCTGCGCGGCAGGGCCTTGGCGGATTCTCCTGGAAGGTCTTCCTGTCCTATGCACTCGACTGGATCGTCTTGGTGGCCTTGGGTATAGTCGGTTACGTCCTGGGGAAAATCTCGCCCAACAAGCGACCCTTCTCCCTGAACGACCCCGACATCTCGTGAGTTTATCCACCGAACTCTAATGCTGCCTTGGCATGCTGCAGCACGATACTGAACTCTGATGATAGTTTTCCCCTGCGCGATGAAACAGTACCCGTATGGCTCCTCGTCATTCTAATGGGCGCCGTCCCCATCGTCCTCATCTTCATCGTCTGCCTCATCTTCATCCCCGGCGCCACCGTCCCGCGCAACACGCCAAAGACGCTCATATGGAAGCGTAAGCTGTGGGAGTTGCACGTCGGCTGGCTGGGTCTGGCGCTCAGCGTCATCTGGGCCTTCTTCTTCACGTCAGCCATGAAGAACCTCTTTGGAAAGCCGCGACCCGACCTCCTGTCGCGCTGCGACCCCGACTACCAGAATGCGGCCAACTACATTGTTGGCGGGTTCAAGGGCGAGAACACCCTCGGAGTGTTGTATTCCGCGTCGATCTGCCAGACCACTGACAACGCCGCGCTCGACGAGGGCTTTCGAAGCTACCCGAGCGGCCACTCGTCGACCTCCGCCGCTGGTCTGGTGTACCTCACCCTCTTTCTCGCCTCCAAGTTCGCCGTCACCATCCCCTACATTGTCCCGGGCTCCTCGTCCAGCACCGCCACGCGCGCCGCCTTCCCCTCGCGCCTGCCACGCCATGGCAACTCGATGGAACAGGATGAACAGTCTGCTTCGTCGCCGCTCAACGCCAAGGGCACTGCGCTCACGGCGCGCCACAATGCCAAGCTGCACTCCGTCCGCCGTCAAGCAGCCGCACCGCCAATCTACCTTTTGGCTCTGACCCTTACACCGTTTGCGCTGTCCATCTTCATCTCTGCGTCGAGGTGGTGGGACTTCCGTCATCATGGCTTCGACATTTTGTTTGGATATCTCATGGGACTGTTTACCGCCATCTACTCCTTCCGGTACTACCACCTCCCTATTCAGGAGGGGGCTGGATGGGCCTGGGGGCCAAGAAGCAGTGACCGAGCCTTTTGGGCTGGCGTGGGACGTGTGGGGTACTCTGGCGTTGATGAGGAGGATACACCTTCTCCAGTGGACGCGCTGCACAAGAGGAACGCCGAGTCGAACGATGTTGAGCTCGGACGGCCTCAAGGCTCTGGCGCTGGCCATTTGACACAGCGTCCTGGCAACGGTGGCTATGCCAATGAGTACGATCAGCACGGCGGAGGCTATGGCTACAGCAACGGCCAGCAGCGCTTCGACGATGTCGAGATGGACAGGATGGATCACGGCACGGCGAACAGGATCTAAGCGCTAGGCTGATCATGATCTGGTAAATTATAGTACTATGGAAGGATCAATATGTAGCAGTAGGTAGAGAAAGACGCTAAGCACACGATTGACTTCGGAACGATGGCGTAGTTTCGGTTCAGGTACGGTTAAGCAATAATTTGGTAGCGAAAACTTTAAGCATGTACAACAACGAACGCTATTCATCCTTGACAAAAGGTGAGCATCATGCCGCCTCTCTCATCCCTGACCTAACTCATGCACGCGTCGTCCGTCTGCATCATCGCACAGGGGCCCCCTCTACAACAGCAGGCCGTCCATCCACACCCTCAAACTCGACATCACCGTCCTCATCTCCTTCCTCCCCGTCGCCATCTCTAAACCCCGTGTCGACCTCCAACCTCCGCAGCCGCCGCCTCATCTCCTCCCGTCGTCCACTCTGCCACCGCACCAGGCTCGCCGCCGCATGCACCTTGAACCCATACACCCTCGGCACGTACCGCTCCACGGACTTGGCCGGCACCAGCGCCGGATAGACCTGGAAGATGATGTTGTGAAAGGACGAGCCAAAGTACGCGCCGTCGATAGCGGCGTGCCGGGAGGACTTTGGGTTGTACGCATCCTCGCACTTGGCGCAGTACAGCTTGACGGGCTTCACGCTAGGCACGTCCGACAGGCCCATGGGCAGGAGAGGGTGTGAGTGACACGCGACGCGTGGGCATTTGCCAAAGTCGGCCTTCTTATACTTCTCGAGCTAAGGTAGTACGTTAGTCACTTGATCCTGTACTTGCCAGCGGTGGGAATGGCCTACCATCTTGCTCAGACCTCGCGTGGTCACAATGTAGCGGGCGTGCACGAGGCCGTACAGGTGCCGCGCGGACTTTTCGATAGTCTCCCGCATGTCGTCCTCGCAGTCGAGGTCGAAAACGTCCGTGACGAGGTCCAGCGCATATTGGTAGTACTGGACCTCGGTGTTGAGGCCTGTGAGGTTGAACCGGTCGGTGAGGTAGTCCTCGTCGATTTCGCAAAAGTACTCGTTGCCGCGCGAGGAGATGAACTATTCATTCGTCAGTGCCTTTTTTTCCCATTTGCATGTCGCGCCGCGTAGCGATATCCCCCCTCGCCCGTGCGGCGCGCTTGGAGACGTACCCAATCCCGCCAGTAGCTAGTGTAGTCACTATCAGACTCGCTCACGTAGTCCTCCATGTTGGTGAGGGCCGTCATCGGGACCTGATCCGTGGCACGGATGCGTGGGCTGTGTCGAGGGAGGGGTGCAATTGGGCGCTAGGGGTTTTCTTCGAACGGGAATCTTGGAGCGTGCAACGCAAGGTATATGTATGTAGTAGTGATGATGGCGTCTTTTCGTGGTCGTCAAGTGCAGAATACCGATGCAATGTGCTGTATGTAGTACGACAGGCGTTGGCTGGATGGCTTGGGATGGAGGGCAGTTGATATCGTGGTGAACCGTTGGTGGGGGGGCTATGGGGGGCATCGCGGGTATGTTGCCTTACTCAGCAATCCTGGTTGGCTGCAACAGGCATCACGTCAACAACCGCCCCTATATCATGATCTGTCAAGGTCATTACCCATGTAAATTAGATGATGGCTATCTACAAATTACGCCGTCTCACCCATGAACACGCCTGCCTGTCTACTCGCACATGCTTTAACTCACATCTCAGCTGAGTCCGCCGATGGGACTCATTGTCGAGGCCACACTGCCAGCATCGCTTCCCGACCGCTGGCTCGACTGCGTGCCGTCCTCATCTGCACTGTCTGCAGGACTCGATCCGTTCCGCAGCCCCTTCGACGATGGTATGGCCAGGCGGCCGGCTATGGTATCGCTCTGTGGCTGTCGCGTGGTCGCGTTGACCATCTTCATAACCTCCTGCAGCACTTCTCCCTTCTCATCCATGGCGGCAAGGAACCTCGCAAGCTCTTTGCAGAGGTCCCAATCCCCTTCACTCATGGCTCTGGTCAGCAAGCGCACGGGTTGCTCCGTGGCCGCGTCGAGTTCGTCGAGCGTGTGTAACACGATCAGATAGCCACCTGCCGTCTTGAGGGAGCCTCTTTGCAGAGACTCTTCGAATAATTCTTGCGCCGGTGGAAGATAGGCAAACAGGGTCTTCCACTGGCGCACCTCGGTCTTCCGTGTGCACTGCAGCACAACGTCCAAGTATTCCTTGAATGAGGATAATAAGGATAGGACCCGTGGCAGAACAGCCTCGTCTGGGCTAGGTGAGGTGTCAGCTTCCTCGTCAAGCACTCTGTGAAGCAGCATTTCCAGGCCGTGCGCAAAATATTCTAGGTGCTGATACTGCTGCGCTAATGCTGATGCTTCGTTGATGCGATTTTCTCGCAGGTAGAAACGTAATATGTCTGGTAAGAGTAAATGTGTCTTGAGAAAATGTCAGCCAGAAATTTGCAACGCACGGAGTGGTGACCATACCCTGATCGCGAAGTGGAAGAAGGAGAACGTCACGTCCCTTCGCTGGACGAGATCCGACTCGACGCCCAGAACAACACCTTTCTCCAGCAAAACGGATAAGGGGTAAAAGTCTACGGGGACCGACACGCATGGCGGCAGGTCCTTGTGCGCCTCGCCCGACGCTGCCTCCAGAACCTCGCTGAACTGAGGCCAGACCTTGAGTTCGACGCCATCAAAGACCCACAAGGACTCCTTGAGTGTTGAGGGAGGTGATGCCGTGGCTCCAGCCGTCTGCTGATTCGCATTGAGAGCTGGCTGATCCCTCATGTTGGCAAAAAACTCCACGTTCTGTGCAATGACACGCATATCGTACTTCAGCTGCCCTTCATCGTTTAGCGATGGACGGAGCAGAACAAGTTTGCCATCCACAAGGAACAACACCGACGCAACAGCCACATCTTGCGATGGGTCTCCATCCACCAGCTGAGTGTTGGGTAGGACCCAGCTCAGGGCTCGTACGCGAGCTGGTGAGCGCACAATGCCGTGGAAAGCAATTTGACCGACTTGGATCAACCGCACAGAGCCCGCATGAGGGACAAAGATGTAATGATAGAGTAGGTTCTCGTACGTGTAGACGAGCAGTGAGTCTTCACCTGATGTCGTGATGAGGACTGCTGGTGCAGGCAGAGCCTCCCGATGAATAACCTGCGCCGAGTCGAGTGCCGCTTCGCGAGAGTACAGCCGCAACTCGTAAGTTCTGTTGCTCTCGACGGCGGCCACGAGTACGTGCTGATGCCAGCACATGCCGCCACGAACCTGAAAGTCGTTCTCCATGGCATCGCTGGCAAAGGTCTTCCACCGACCACTGTTCACGCTATAATGCGCGAGACCACGCTTCCCGGCCACTGCGACATATCGGCCGTCGGGCGAAATGACGGTCTGCCGGATTGGCCACTGCCTCAACAGATACGTCGCTGGAATCCGGGCGCTGTGCCAAAGGAAAGGCTCCGCCGAGATACTGGTGAGATCGGGCAGATCATATCCGCGATATACCATGATCCCGGTCGGTGTCTGGAGTACGGTGCGAAAGACGTTTGAATCGTTATAGCAGCCGGTGACGGCGCTCTTTGCCATCTCGAGAGACCAGACAGCCTCATGCTGCTGGCCGATGAGGAGAATCTCTGCACCACCGCCAATCCACGAGGCAGCCTTGACACCTTGCAGCCAGTCTTCACCGTTTGTCTGGGAGATGTTGGCCTCGGAGGAGAAGCTGTTGGTCCCAAGCTTTCCAAACATGGACCATGTAGACCATCCGTTTGCGAAACCAGCAAAGAGGCTGTAGCCGTCTGGTGAGTAGGCTAGGCTGGTGAAAGCCCCTGATGCTGCTATTGACACGGGTATGCGGTGCGTGTGGGAGTGCGGTACGTTGCCCTCGTAGTCTCTGACAGAGTAGACTTGAATACTGCCATCAGCACAGCCAACAGCTATGAGCGAGAATCGAGCGTTGATCACAGCCTTGACGGCATGTGATGCTGCGTCGGAGGGGCTGTGGAAGCAATGCCCTTTAAACAGCTTCTTGGCATCCGCATCATCTTCAGGGGCGCCTGGGCGAGGACGGTGCCTCTGGACGGCGTAGGCCCTTCCGTCGCTGGTGATCCACGTGTACAGGTTCATCGGTCGGTCGTGTGTCATTTCCACAATGGACGCCTTCTTCTCGGTCCAGCCCATTCGACTGATCAGCTCCGTCCTGGTCTGGCTGCCGCTGCTGTCTGGATTCCACCTGATGCATTGGACCGCCGCGGGCTTGCGCGTGGCGACCACGAGCTCGTCATCCAACGCAAGTGCTGATTCGATCCCAGCGTCGACCTTGATCACCATGCGAAACCGTACACTGATGTCGCGTATCCCTGCGCCCTCGCCAGGCCCCCACACAAAGTCATCTGGTGCGAGACCCTGCTGGCCAGCGACAAGTCCTTGCCGCCGCCGCTGGACGTTGTGGTGATTGGGGAAATGCGGCCGGTATACGCGAGATTCGCCGTCGGTCGCGAGAGAGTATGTGATGAGGTAGCCGTTTGCTGTGCGGACCACGAGGATGGCTGAGTCGGGGCGCAGGAACAGGCCGACATTGTCGCCGTACAGGTGCAAGGACGATTCGGATCGGACGACGATGGCGAGGACAACGGTCGGCTGCCGGTTCACTTAGCAAGAGCTCATCACGGACGAGAAGGTGTCCATACCTTGGTCTGCCAAACAGTGATTGATGTAGTGGTAATCGTCGCGAAGAGATGGCCGGTCCTCGAGGTGCGGAGGGCTAGTACAGGGTCCTTGACGGGTATTGGCGTAGCTTGGGTATCCTTTGAGTCCCTTGAAGCGGCATCTTGATGGCTTTCGCCTCCCTCCTCATAGTCGACAGGTGCGACAGCGGGCGTCGCAGGCGCCAATGGGGTGGTAGGTACGGCGAGTTCGACCTGGTCGTGTTCGGGCGCCGCTTCCCGAGAGGGGACGGCATACGAGTCCCTCGAAGAGGCATTGGGGACGTCTGACGGGGACGGTAGCCCGTCGCTCGACGGGAGAAGCTTGACGGATGGCGTACGGCTGCTGCTGGTGGCATAGATGCGCGGAGTCCCAATGGGCCAGTACATTGCAATAGCTGGCCAAGTTCGAGGCCCCAGTCGCCAGTGCGCGCGGTTTACGGTGGCCTGTGAGCTGTGCAGTGGTTCATCTCCAACCAATGTCCTGCATGCTAGGAACTTTGGCGTGCCATGTATGTGGTTGTCGTTGAAGGTGTCTCGATTATGGTGTGCGTCTGGATCGGGGGCACTTGCAACGCCAATTGTCCATTGCCGTGATGCGCAGCGTGACATGTTACGTGCCTGTGTTCAGGAGCTTCGCGGCATTACGTAACCTTTGTGTGCAGACTGAACCTACCTTACCCTACGGCACCTGGTGGTCTTCTCGCAAGGATGACACTGCCTAATTGTAGTCCTTAGGTATCATAACTAAGGTACAATTGCTGCTCGATATTGGCACCACTCTTAACAGGGATATTGCCTCGCTAAGACAGACCAGCGCTAGCGACTTTGTCGAGTGAGTATCCGTACGGTAAGTAGTTAGGAGTAAGCACTAGCCAGAATTACGACCCAAGTCACTGAAGTCACAACTCTTCCTCGTAATTTCACCTCAATATTGCTCACCATCCATTTGTCCAATATGACTTCCGGCGGGAAGGAGCCGTGCGATGCGCCTCACAAGAGCAAGGCTGACGAAGTCGCTGCGGAAGCAAGCTCCAGCCAAGGCCAAGCTGGGCCATCAACGACGACGCCCAACGAGCCTCTCCCCGCATATGATGCCGGCCCTGCAGAGCCGCAGCAGCAACAACATGTCGCACCCACAATCTCGTCGCCGTTCAACTTCCCCACGGATACAGAGCTGCCGTCCTACCTCACTGCTGTCTCCTCGGAGTCTAAGCAAAGCGGGCCTGTGATCGCCATCCCTCAACTGAAGGCCGAGGCCTCGTCACCTTTCATCAACGTCTACCCACCTCTTCTGCTGAGCCATGGGATTACAAAGGACACCTGGCGGTCCTTCCTGGACACCATATCGGCCTTTCTGACCGCCAAGGTCTCGGACCGTGCCATCAGCCATGCGGGCGACATGGCAAAGCACCTGTACAAGTCACCGAAGCGTATCACAAAGGGGCTCGCGACGCACGTCAAAGACGTGGGCAAGGGCATCGCCACCAGTGCCAAGCAGGGGAATATTCTTGGTGCTGCCTTTGGTGCTGTGGGCGGCGCGGTGTCCATCCCAGTCGTCACAGCCTTTGGCATCATAGGGGCAGCTGCCGAGCTGCCTGGCTCCGCCGTCGGGGCCATTGTCAAGAAGCCGCGAACACCAGGGCAAAGGGCTGCCGCCTACGCAGAGGTCGCCAACAAGAAGTGGCTGAATGCCCGGGGGCTGGAAGCGCGCATGTTCGACACCAACGAGCTTGCGCAATTCTTGGGCGTCCCTGTGCTTGATCTGATCAACGCCGCTCAGGGCACCAACATGAAGGGAGAGAATGCGAGTGATCAACTGGCCGCGCTCGAGAGATGGGTGGCACCTCTTGAGGTGGTCGCGGAGTCGCCTCGTCTCGCTCTGGAGACACACACGATTTGGCTTGTGCTCGTGACATGGACTACTGGAGGAGTTGAGGGTACGGGAGATGAATGATGCATGCTGGTATAGCTTGAGTAGCACGTGACCTGACACATAGACTCCGCCGTGCCGCCGTACGGTGGCCGCGCCTAGCCGCGGATACCCACTCCTCCACTCTCAGCCTCCACACGATGATCACGCTCACAGGGCGCAAGCGACAACCTTCAATCAGGAAGGCCATTACGTATGAGTGAGATGTCTGGTCGTTATGAATGGGGAAATCTGGCAAGTTTACATTGACACTGACCCTCTGTTCTAAAGAACACGCACTGTTCTGGGGGTATTGATTGATTGATGGACACCTAATCAACTGCACGTGCACCGATAAGACCCCCTGGATCTGTCAGACCGTCAGAGTCCATCTTGTAGGGCGCGCCAGTTCAGCCCATTACCTAAGGGAACCTTATACTCTTCGGTCCTAAGCGCACATGACACAAGGCTCGGTGTACACGAGCTATTACGTGACGAAACCAAGAGTACCTATAAAGTCTGGGCCACACGCCCAACACCGATTCCTTGATGATAACGACGCCCGTGTTATACAGAGCGCCACGCTTATCAACAACAAGAGCATTCGCCAGGATGGTCACCTCTACTACTGTCCAAACGAGATATTTGAGCAACACACCGGTCAATCATGAGGCGGCTCCTGCGGCAGCACCAGCTCATCATGAGAAAAGGGGCGGTTTAAAGGCGATAGACGATATCCTGGCACGACGGGCCAAGGCGGGCAAGCTGGTAGCCGGCATCGCGGCCGCCTCGAACAGTGACATGTTCAAAGGCTCTGTGAGTCTCACCTCTGGTCCTATGGGGACGACGTACTGACGGCCAAGACGGAAGGCATGCCCTCAGCGAAGAGGTGGGACGGTACAGGGCCCCGTATTCCGGAGTTGAGACTGCTACCTGACACTGACATCTACATCTACAGACCACCTCACTCGGGAAAGCCGTGCGCGTGGACCCTGTACCTTGAAGCAAGCAGCGAAGCATCTCAAGCAGCCTGGGATCATCTCACTCGGCGGCGGTCTCCCCTCCAGCCAGGTCTTCCCCTTTGCCTCCCTGTCCATGAAAGTGCCCACGGTGCCCAACTTTCACGAGGCCGACACGTTGACCAATGGACAAACCCTCAGCATCGGCAAGTATGACGTCCGCGACGAGGTGGCGGACTACGACCTCTCTATAGCCCTCAACTACGGACAGAGCACCGGGTCGGCGCAGATGATGCGGTTCCTGACCGAGCACACCGAGATCATCTGCCAACCGCCGTACAAGGACTGGGGCGTGTGCCAGACGGTGGGCAGCACGGGCGCCTTGGAGCAGGCGCTGCGGATGTTCTGCGACAAGGACAGGAACGACTCCGTCTTGACCGAGGATTTCAGCTTCTCCACGGCCCTGGAGACGATCCACCCCCTTGGCGTCCATGTCTTTGGCGCGGCCATTGATGACCAAGGCTTACTGCCAGAGGCCATGGACGAGATGCTCACCAACTGGGACACGTCGGCCAGGGACGGGGCCAGGAAACCTCACGTCCTCTACACCGTACCCTCCGGCCAGAACCCAACAGGTGCCACCCAGAGCGCCGAGCGACGAAGGGCTATCTATGCCGTAGCACAAAAACACGACCTCTTCATCATCGAGGACGAGCCGTACTACTTTCTCCAGATGAAGGCCTACCCCTCAGATGCGCAGGCTGCGGCCGCCCCGTCCCCGCCGGAATCCGTCCAAGACTTTGTCGACTCCCTCCTCCCGACGCTAGTCAGCCTCGACACGGACGGTCGGGTCCTGCGCATGGACTCCTTCTCCAAGGTGCTCGTGCCCGGCTCCCGACTCGGCTGGATCGTGGCCTCGGCGCAGATTGTCGAGCGCTTCCAGCGCCACGCCGAGGTGGCCAACCAAGGGCCGAACGGGTTCTCCCAGGTGATCCTGCACAAGCTGCTGGACGAGACATGGGGCCACGAGGGCTACCTGAAGTGGTTGATGAACCTGCGGCTGGAGTACACGGCCAAGAGGAACACCCTCCTGGCGGCGTGCGAGGAGCATCTGCCGCGGGGGCTAGTGAGCTGGACACCGCCCGTCGCCGGCATGTTTGTGAGTTCTTCTTTTCTTTTTATCTCATGGGATGTGGATCCTTTTCCAAGATACTGACGAGGCAGATGTGGTTTACTGTTGATCACGCACAGCACCCTGACGCGGGGAAGCGGGATCTCAAGGCTATAGAGGAGGAGATTTTCGACTCGTGCATCCAGAACGGCGTTCTCATCGCCAGAGGCTCCTGGTTCCAGACAGAGAAAGAGAAGCCCCTGTCGGGTCTGCACTTTCGTGCGACATATGCGTCGGCGAGCGCCGAGAGCATGAGTGAGGCCATTAGTCGGTTCGCCGCCGCGGTGCGCAAGAGCTTTAGAAAGGCGTAAGAAAAATAAAATAAGAATGAAATTCATTAATTGCTATCGGCAGCCGTGTCTCATATCCCACTCCTCTCCCCCAACTCTCAATCCTGCGCCTCGAAGAAGGCGACCTTGACACCCTGACCGGGCGAGAGGACAATGTCGGCCTTGAGCATGGGCTTGCCGCCGTCAATGGGGCCCATGTGGCTCTCGACCCTGTCGTACTTTTGGAACATGCGCACCAGGACGTAGCTCATCTCCGTCAGGGCAAACTGCTGGCCGATGCAGATGCGCGGGCCCGCGTTGAAGGGGATGTAGTCGTGGGGCTTGGGGTGCCAGACGGACCACCGCTCGGGGCTGAAGACCTCTGGGTCGGCGAAATTGTCCGAGACGGGGGGGTAGAGATCCGGGCGACGCTGCATGACGAGCGTGGAGTAGCCAATGGGGGTGTCCTTGAGGATGGCGATGGGCTCGGTGCCGTCAGGCCCGCCTCCGGTCGGGAGCGTGCAGTCCTTGAGCGCGAGACGGACGTTGAAGGGCACGGATGGGTACAGACGGAGGGTCTCGTTGAGGATGGCCTTGAGGTAGGGCATGTTCTTGAGATGCTCGTACGTCGGGGTGCGGTCGCGGCCCACGGTGGACAGGATCTCCTGGCGCAGCTTGGTGACGGCATGGGGGGTGCGGCTGAGCTCGTAGAGGGTCCACGAGAGAGTTGAGGCCGTGGTGTCGCGGCCGGCGAGGAGCACGGCGATGATCTGGTCGCGGAGCACCTTGGGGTCGCGCGTGAAGCCGGCGAGGGCGTGGACAAAGGTGTACCCGCGCTCGCCCTTGTTGTGGGACTCGAGCTCGGCCGGGCTCAGCTGCAGCACGCGGTCAATGTAGAAGTTGATAAACTTGTTGCACAGGGCGAGTCCGTTCCAGAAGGACGACTTGGGGATCCAGTGGCGGGCCTTGGAGGCGCGCACAATGATGTTCTGCACACGCTGCACCTCGTTGAACGAGTCGGCAAAGTCGTTGCGGATGGAGCTGCAGTCTGGCTTTAGCACATGGCGGCCCTCCCACGACAGTACCCAAGGGAATAAATACTCACCATAGAGACTTGGTGTCCTTTCCTAGCAAGAATTCCGTCGTCACATCGAGCGTGTACCGGAAGAAGAGCTCGCTAATGTCTAGCACCTTGCCATGAGCATTGCCCGGCGTCACCTTTTGGTGCTCGCCGTCCAGCGGGCCCAGGTTGTCCATGGCCCGGAACAAGGTCTGCATGTGCGACTCGAAGCACTCCAGGTCGCTCACGCGATCCTTTGTGAACTGGGGGCGGATGAGCTGGCGGCTGGCGTGCCACTGTGGGCCATCGGTGGTGAAGATGCTGTCGCCGAGAAAGTCCTTCCACTCGTCGTGGAAGGGCTCCCCCTTGCCGAAATCGGAGAATTGCAGGGCGAGGATGGCCTTGATGTTCTCAGGGTCCGCGGTCATGAGGATGCGCTGGTTGAGAACGCGCGCCTCACCGGTCCACCGCGTGCCGTCCTTGAAGTACACGTTGCGCCAGTAGTCGAGGTTCGTCTGGGCCAGCGTGGACTCCACGGCGCCCTTGACGAGATCGAGGCCTAGGAGATGGGTGTTAGTTGCTTGTTCCCGTCCCGATCAGTGTGAGGGTGCCTTGTGCTTACCAAAGGGGGCCCACGAGGGCACCTTTCGCGCACGCTTGCCTGGTATGCGCCTGAGACGAACATGTTCGATGAGGCGGTTCACAAGATATTGCACGACGATGAAGCCAACGACCAGCAAGGCCACGGACTTGACCGTCAGGTGGTCGAGGACCGTCTCGACAAGGCCCATACTCTAGGTGAACTTGCGAATTGTTGGTGTTTGTTGATGTGTGGTGTTGAAGACGAATCAGGCTCGAGACCTCGAACTATACACTAAGTAATAATGGTCTCAGTCGTAACACAGAACTACAGTGTATGGACGCAGAAGCATCAATGTCAGGGTCTGGTGGGTTGTGGTTGATTAAAGTAGTCCGCAAGCGGGCCGCCGGAGCAGCCATTGACCCACGGGGTCCGTTGGAACATGAATCAATCAATCAATCGTACGGACACGATGCAAGTAATTCGTCGACCGGAGGGGCGGACCAGCCAGCGTTCATGCGTCCGGTCCAGTTCCCATGTGAGAGCCAGGGGTGCACCATGCACAGTGTCGTGCAAGGCGACGTTGCCCGCACAAACGAACCCGGTTCGACGAGGACCGAGGATGGAGGAGGAGGACTTGATGTGATGGTGTGGTACCCCATAGTCCAAAGGTGGTGAGTTTGCGAACGGGAGCCAATTAGTATTGTGCCTTGCCAATCAAAGCGCCTTGATTTGGATCTAAGAATCTAAGATGGTGAGTTTGACATGCGGGGTGAATCATTCATACATACGTCGTTTTCCAACAAGTTGTAATATGAATCTGAGTATCTGACGAGCACCAAACGCGCGTATCGTTCCGCAAGCTTTGTCTGCCATGCTACGAGGCCGTACACGCACTCCAGCTTGGTGCTCGGCGATATGCTGAGTGAATGGACGTCATGAAAGGACGCAGAAGAATCGATTCATTCATCCATGGGCCACGGCTGTCACCCACCGTACGAGTGATCAACGACAAGTGATCGTGTTCGAGCTTCGGACCCTGAAGCATACGGCGACTTGGTACCCGAAATAGGCAAAGCGGCCACGGGCAGTTTATACCATAACTGGCCGTTTAGCTGCGTCCGAGGGATGAAGAATGCGGAGAAACGCACGCCTCAGCTTCCACCGTCCACCGTCCACGTTCAATCGTCTTCGGGATCCCGGTTCAACTCCAACCCCCATGCCTGGTGCTGTGGTCGCGTCCGCCTGCCGCCTCGAAGCACGTACAGGCAGTCTGCCTCATTGGTGATTGGACTGCAGGTTGACTTTTAGCTTCGAAGTTTGAGGCCCGTTGACTTTGTGATCCGTCATTCTTAGCTCGATGGAGAAACATGGAAAGTGGAGAAGCTGCTAGAGCGAACCATGGCTGCTGACTAAGGAGGTATCCCAAGCACGTGACCATCAGACAGCGGACGCTTGGTCCTCCTCTATCATTGAAGACAAGGCCACAATTGATCTGCTTGTGAATCCAGGGACGTTCTCCTGGTCAGGTATGCAGGGTGCAGATTGTGTGCTGCTCACAAAGTCACAATGTAGGCGAAACACCTTGTCATCGCATGGACAGAAAGAGACAAAGCACGCGTCAAAGGAGGGATGACGGGCTGTCACGTGACCCTGAGATAGGACCCCCATTGACGAACCTGACAAAGCCAAATGCTGGATAAGAAATCTCGCCAACCACCCTAAACCTCCACCTCAACACGCGATCCTGCCACAGCGCTCCTGATACCCCGAACAGTGCACGCAGCGATTGAACATATTTCCAGCTCTGCACACGCGCGACTTTCCCAGATCATTACACGCGATCGTCCACCCGCTCACCCGATCGCCGCCCCCTCGTGCCAGACGCGGTCGACCAAACCAGCCTCGCCACGGCACCTAGTGTCACGACCCGAACACTGTACCCATACCACGCACCCGACACCGCGACCATGCCTGTCGAGGTAGCCCTCAACACACCGCTGGCGGACGCGCTGACCGCCGCCGTCCAGCCCAAGCTCATGGAGGTTGGCTGGGCCGGCGACAGCAACGACTCTGCCCTCGCGGAATACATCATCCTCATGCTTGTCAATGGCAAGGACCAGAACCAGATCGCCGCCGAGCTATCAGGCGAGCTCCTCAATCTGCCACCCGAAGATCCCACGTCGCACGACTTTGCGCGCTGGCTGTTTGAGCAATTAGCACAGCTGAATGCGCAAATCAACGGGCAACCCGCCGACAACAACGCTGCGGACGCTGCAAATGGCGGCGCGCCGTCAAATGAGATGGACACGGACATGGCAGCCAACGACGGCCCTGGTTTCTCTGCGTATGTTACCCCCCTGCTGTCCCGCTGACGTGAATGCAAAGTCGCTAACAAGACCTAGTCCGACTGGACCGCGCGCCCTGCGAGAAGGAAACCTCAGAGGCGGCCGGGAGAAGCGCATGCTCGGCCACGTATCGAAAGCCATGGATCGGACAGGCGACCAGGCGCTGCACCGGGTACGGGGTCGTGGCGGCATCGACACCCACTCGCGCAACGGCCTACGGGGCGCGATGCGCGGAGGCAGGGGCAACAACCGCATGAACAACATTCAGCACGGCATGGCAACAGGCATGGGCGGCCCCAACATGATGATGGGCGCTGCGCCCGGTATGGATGTCTACGCGTTGCTCGAGCAGCAGAACCAGATGATGATGCAGCTACAACAAACAATCATGAACAACAACAGCAACAGCAGCGGAGGGCATCGCGGACGCGGAGGCAAATTCGATCGCGGCAACAGGCGCGGCCGTGGTGGCCACGGACAGCACCACCACAATGCCCACGAGCAGACGAATGCCGAAGGTGGCGAGGCCGGCGACGTCGACATGTCTGGCGAGAAGCGCGAAGCCCCCAACCCCGAGGAGACTGTCTGCAAGTACAACCTCAACTGCACGAACCGAGAATGCAAGTTTGCGCACCAGTCGCCGGCGGCGCCACGTGGTGCCCAGATCGACGTGACCGACGTGTGTAGCTTTGGGGCCGCCTGCAAGAACTTCAAGTGCGTCGGCCGGCACCCCTCGCCCGCCACCAAGCTCGCCCACCAGAGCGAGCAGGACTGCAAGTTCTGGCCCAACTGCAGCAACAACCGCTGCCCGTTCCGGCACCCCAATATGCCCCTGTGCCGCAACGGGGCCGACTGCACGACTGCCGACTGCAAGTTTACACACGTCAAGACCAAGTGCAAGTTCAACCCCTGCAAGAACCCCAAGTGCGCCTTTCAGCACGACGAGGGCCAGCAGGGCGGCTTCAAGGACATGGTGTGGACGCCCGGGGGCGACAAGGACGTCAGCGATCGCAAGTTTGTGGAGGATGGTGGGAACCCTGAGCTCGTCAAGCCCGAGGGCAACGCGATGGAGGATGATTCTGGGGCTAAGGACGCCGAGGTCATCACCTAAGTTAGGTGGTCCGGCCGGCCGTAACGATGTGTATGAGAAGAGGAAATGTATAATGCCGGCAAATGTGCAGCGAGCCCAGCCGGCTGTGAGGTGTACAAGATTGGAGCCATGAAGAAAATTGGGCAAACCGAGCGGCGCTTTGGGCGTATGTATCATTCGCTTTCTACGGGGGATTCTGCGTATGCTTAGATATATGGCCAAAAGTGCCAAGCGGACAATACATATACTCCTCCGCTACTACAAACACTCTTGCGCTCGTCTGTGAATTCTGTGAACCATAAGATACTGATATATAAAAAAATGATTCAAAAATTACCAGAACGATGACGGCCATATCGACATGGATGGTGGCGGTACGTACCGCGATGCTCCGTACAGGAACTCCAAATCCGCGTCCGATTCCAACCTCTACAACTCAGCCAGCCACCACTCGACACCATTCCACGCATTGACGCCGCGCCATGAGCCTGGTACGTGCCGGGGCTGATTGCGAGGCCTTACGGATCTCCAGCCATGCCTTGAGAAGCCCGCACTGCGTATGCGACCGCGCAGGGCGTCGTCTCGCGACCCGCGCCAGCTCCCAGTCGAACGTCCGCTCGATACGACGACGACCCATCACTCCACGTCTTCCCACGCTCGCACGCTCGCATGCTCGATCCTATTCATCGAAACCGGGGGTCTGTACTTTCTACCACCACGTGGACTTTTTCAACGCCAATTACCGGGAGGCCGGCGGGCCCAAGGCCAGCAACTTGCCAGAGGCGCCCCATATTGCCGTTGTCGGGGGCGGATTGACTGGTCTCACGACGGCGTACTTTCTCGCGAAACGACTGGAGAAGCCGGCGCAGATCACGGTATACGAGGCATCCTCGCGATGGGGAGGGTGGCTGCGCTCGGAGAGGACACCCGTCGACGTGGGAGGCGTCAAGACGCAAGTGCTCTTTGAGCGAGGGCCGCGCTCCATGTCGACAGCCCAGACGGGCGGGCGGATGGATAGGTTCGTCTTGTACCAGCTGGTCAGTGGCTCACCTACCTATCTTACTTACCATAACTTTCTTGGCTTACCCCGATGTAGCTCAGCGACTTTGGTATACCGCTCACGCCACTGGATGGGACGCAACCGCGATGGATACTGCACAATGGTCAGCTGGCAGCGGCGCCGCCTTGCTCGATCATTGACGCGCTCAAGAACCCCGTCTTGCGTCAGGTCGCTCTGCCGCTGATCACCGGCTGGCTCAAGAATCTCGTCAGGCGCACGCCGTACCCTAGCAAGGACATGTCCATCGCCGAGTTCCTCCAGGACAGGTACGGCTCCAAGGTCCTCAGCGAGACGCTCATGTCCGCCATTGTGCACGGCGTGTGGGGAGGCAGTGTCCACAATCTGAGTGCTTGGAGCGTAGCACCACACATGCTTGGCTGGCCGGCGCCCATGAGTCGCGACGACGACCTCACGTTCGTCCCTGCCAACGAGTTCCGGCTCTGGCAGAGGGTGGAGTCGGAGATGGACCAAATGCATCTCATGTCGCTGACCTGCGTCGACAACAGCAGCATGGTGTCCTTTGAGCAGCACGGCATGGAAACGCTGTCGCACATGTTGGTCGATGCTCTCGAGTCCATGCCCAACGTCGAGCTCAGGCTCGGCACCCCGGCCACCGACATTGCCTACCGCGAGAGGGTTGACAAGGTCGTCATCAACCGCGAGAACGCCAGGCCCTACGACAAGGTCATATCCGCTCTCCCCGCCAAGCAGCTGCACAAGGCGACCAAGCAGACCCTCCCTCTGGAGGACTTTACGTCCGTGTCGGTCATGACGGTCAACATCTGGTACCCATACGAGGACATTATCCCGAAGGGGCTGGGCTATCTCATCCCCGACACTGTCCCGCAAGAAGATAACCCCGAGCGCGCCCTGGGCGTGTTCTTTGATTCCGGCGTCGGTGTCGGCGCCGGCCGCGTCGAGGTGCATGGCGAACGCCTCGCGGAGCGCGGGACCAAGCTCTTCGTCCTCATGGGCGGCCACTACTTTGACGAGGGCCACCCCATCCCCACCGAGGAGGAGGCGATACAGCAAGCCAAGAACCTGCTCGAGCGCCAGCTGGGCATCCCCAAGGACACACCGTGCCACGCCGTGGCCAACCTCGCCAAGGACTGCCTGCCGCAGCACACCGTCGGCCACGCCGAGCGCATCACAAAGCTCGACCAGGCGCTGCAGGCCAAGTTCAAGAATCGCCTCGCGCCCATTGGCGGCTCCTTCACCAAGCCGGGCGTGGCCGGCGCCCTCCGGGCCGGCTACGATATGGCCTTTGACCTCACCTTTGAGTCCTTCCACCTCAATGGGCTGGAGGCGTATGGCGTCGAGCATGCCATGTCGCCCTCGTTTGTCAAGACCCCCGATTCTTGTCCCATACTACTGTACAACGCCCACCAGTCTGCCAACAAGAAGAAGACCGAGTACCTGCGAAATTCAAGTGGATTCTCTCCCGGCCAAGAGACAATCTGGCCAGCAGATGAAAAGACACTGTCCTCGTTAAGGAAGGATTAAACATGTACTATACTCAAGTTGGCGCTGACATAGACTACTCAAGTTAGAGAGTATCCACGGACCATTGTACGTAGTAGTACCAACGTACGACGAATCGTCAACATGCTTGCATTCAAAGGTATCATGACTATTAATCCACAAGAGCCGCCCAGTCCTTTTCAAGCGGCCGGGCCTCTATCGTAAACCCCTTAACGCCTCTCGATGCGAGTCGTAACGTCCAAAATGCGTGTATGTACTGAGCCGCACCATTCCCTGTGACCTCATCCTATTTCGATCGCCTGGTCAGGAGCTCGCCCCGTCTTCGTCTGGCTCGGCTTGCGCGGCTTGCCCATGGGGGGCACCTGCGGAATCGGCACTGGCGTCACTTGCGGCGGCACCGGCTGTGTGCTCTGCCGTTGCTGCTGCTGCTGCGGCGGCGGCTGCTGCGGTGGTAATTGTTGCTGTTGTCGCTGCTCTTGCACCGGTCGCTGCTGGACTTGGGGCGGCGGCGGAGGCTCGAATCCTTCGTCGCCCTGCAAGTGGCCAACAAGCCCCTTGACAACCTCGTCAATCTTGTCGAACAGCATGGCGGCTCCCGGGGAGATTTTGCCGGCAGCACTCGTGCCCATCCCTATCCAGTCCCCGTTGCTTTGCCCAAACACAGGTTCCAACGCCTTGCCAAATCTGTCCTCAGCCCGATAATGGCCGGCGCGGTTGATGTGCCACCAGAGCCCGTCCTTTCGCAACTTGACCACCGCTTCAAAGGACAGTTGCCGGCTCACCGGCTGGCCGTTGCTGTCGGTGCCCATGATGGTGTACGAGATGGACAGCCAGTCAAGGTTTTTGCAAGAGATTGCAGCTCGGCCCTGTCCCTTCTCCTGGATGGAATCCCAGGCGTTTTTGATGTTCTCGAGCGACGTGAAAACTGGCAGGGACTGCGGAAGCCAGATCATCAAAGTCTTGATGCCCCCGTCAATGTTGACCAACTTCCGGAGATAGTTCAGCACGCGCAGGTGAGGATTGCCCGCGGCAAGCGCAATTTCAACTTGGTCCTTGGACAAGTCCATCACAACGCGCCACCTCTGAGTGCGTTGACCCTCAGTCGGGTTTGCGTAGAAGAAGGAAACGCCCCGCATGGTCACCCGCTCGTTCTCAATGGTTTTCGTACATTGCCCGAGTGCTTCCAGGAAGCAAACGAAGCGGTCGATGGCAGTGACGCGAGATTTTAACTGCTGCAGCCCTGATTCGCCCAAAGGATATCTCAGTTGCAAAGCGAATTCTCCTTTTGCGGGGCTGTACCAGGTATTTTGGTCTATCCGACCCTTCAGGCGGCCAAGCTTGCCTGCATGGTGTACCTTGATAATGGCTTCCGAAACGCAGGTCAGCTGCTGCTCGCTGTCCTCGGGATCCAGGGTGGTCCCTTGCGCGCGCCCTTGAACCGTTATGAACCTCATGACCACATCGTCTTTCGCCCATGGCTGCCTTGGTGTGAGAGGCATGGTTGTTACTTGCCGGGTGGCATCCTGTTCGACGTCGCTCATGGAAGCCTTATCCTCCGATGTTTCAGCCACGTTACACACTATTGCGGGGAAGATATCGGACAGCGCCAAGTCAATTGCTGGTAGCCTGGCAGCTGTCGCCGGTAAGCTGGACCTATCACTCGCGTGATGCTTGATGCCGGCAGCGTGCAACGTTCGGATGTCGATATACTGTGATATTAGCGCCGTCGTGAACAGGGTCAGACGATTCCAGAATGGCTCGGAGAAATTGGCTGCTCCTGTGCCCATGGGCATGTTGATCTTGTAGTGCTGCACGCGGTCTTTGACCTCCGAGTTACTACACACGGTTAGTTTTGATCAGACAGCGTATGACAATGGACTCACGCTCGAATCAGCCACCAGTCGTCGCCGCCTTGGCTCAAGACGGCTACCAGGTACCAGTGCTGGGGCCAACCGCTTCTTCGTAACCAGATCGCGCGTAACCATTCACGCATCTTGACGATGGAGCGAATCTCTTCATCTTTCAGCGGAGGTCGGATGGCCTGCCAACCCAGAGGCGACGATCGCCTGACAATTTCATCTTCTACGACGTTGCAACGCACTTCTTGAAGGCAAGTAAAACCACTGGCAATGACGCTGCTGCCGTTGTTGATCGTCGACTCCGTGGGGCCGGTGGGCGTGTTGAGTTTGTGCTCTTGCGCAATGGTGTATTTGGACTGCGGCTTGATTGCGACAACACCTGACTTTGGTTCAATGTGCAGGGACATCTCAATGGAGCCTGTGAGCTGAGCCGTCAAGGAGCACCTGAGAGGATCATCGAGCGAGGTCTCGCGCACAAGACGGCATTCCTGGTTGGCGTATCGCGGAAGTGACAACGTCTTGTCGTAGATACCTTGGAGGATGTAATCAATGTGACTTCTGATGACGGAATTCAGAAGGGTTTCAACCTCTAGTTCTTTGAAGTTCGCCTCAATCTGGGTGCTTTTCACTTCGGTGTTATCCCGGTACCACTTTAGCTCCAAGTGGCTTGCGGACGTCGCTGCGGTTGAGGCTTTCCCCTTCTTGTCGCTGTGGACTGCAATCAGAAGCCAGCTCTTTGGGCACTTGGGAGGTAATCGCGTGGACCAGTACTGGATCGCCAAAGCCCTGTGTAGTGGCTCGACTTTGAGGGTGCCGGTCCACGCTGTCTTTTCCAGGAGTAGCGCCTGTCGCTTGAGCTCATTGATCTTGCAGGTCAGGATGAATTCGTGCAAGAACTGATAACAGCCAGGCAGGCCTTCCCTGTTCAACGCCGTGTTGACATTGGCCTCTAGATGAGACAGGATGGTTTCCGGCACAATCGCTGGGGCTGGCTGATATGCAAATCGGAAATCAATGAACCAGAACTGCCGCTCAGGATCCTCATCGGCAACCGTTAGGTCCACCTCGAACTCCCCCTCCACCTTGAAAGTCACCCTCCCCGAGGCGATGGTGTAATCTCTGAACTGTGCCGGGATCCGATCGAATTCCTCGAGGTTCAGCCGCAGTGAAAGAAGGGTGTTCAATTCGTTGAGCCACTTGAGCTGGTCCTCGGGACTAAGTTGCGGTGGCTCAATGTAGTCAACGTCGGGCATCCATGGTGCTGAGCCCGTGGACAACACCTGGAGTGCCGTCTTCAAGTCGGGGCTAGGTATGCGAGCAAAGGCGAGATTCCTCTTCAGGTTGACAACTTCATCCAGCGCAGAGTCGTAGAGAAATTGCTGGTGATTCATGTGAGCACGCAGATCGATCAGTTTGCTGACCACCTCAGCCTTTTTACTCCAGTCCGTGATGACGAGTGCTTTGACCCATCGCTCATGCTGCTCCTGCGCGAATTCCAAGATCGCCTTGTGTTTCGTGTAGTTGTCCTGAGGCATATCGGCAAAAGTCGTGATGCCATGCTGCAGCTCGTTGTGCGATCGCTGCGCCAGGCGTGTCAATAGCATAGATAAAGGGATGAACCCCTCGGTGATATGCGCAATCTCTTCAGGCAGGTCGTTCATCCTCGCTGGTTGCGCATCATTTGCAGGCTCCTCTGACCCTTGTTCCTTCGCCTTGCCTTGTCCTGCTTCCTCAGCAGCGACATCTTTCTCTGTCGGCGCTTTCACTATGCCGTTGACACCGTTCGGACTTGAATTCCGATCATGGTCGGTGCGCGCGCCATTCTGAATGCCATTGTCCATATCGACGGCAGCTGCCATCACGCGGTGGACAAAACTGCCCGCCGGAAATGTTTTCGTTCACACCCTCTCCGGCACCTTACGGCGCAACTCGTCGTGCTATGACTTGACCCCTGCCAATCATGGAGAAAGAACAGGGGCGGTCGTGCTTCGGTAGATCGGATGTCAAGACAGCGCGTGTTGTCGTTGAGTCGACTTCTGGGCGACAGTCGGTGGAAAGGCAGACGCGAGTGCGACAAACGGTCGCTATCGCGCAAAGGTCAAAGGAAGAAGAAGAAAAATCTGCCAGCCCCTGCGCTCGACAGTGGGATCGGGTGGTTCAGAAACTGGGTTTCTTCTTCTCGTGTGATTCGCGTCTAGTGGACGGGCTCAGGAGAGCGTTCTCTCCGCTGCCTTGAAGAATGACGATTGCGATCCGCAAGACGCGACCGGGGAATATCTCGGTTCAGGCCTCGGTTCGGTGGCCGTTGGGAAAGCGGAAGGACGTTTGATGCTAGCGGTGTAGTGAGTGATTGTGGAATAGATGGTGAGTAATGGGCAGGGTGGAGAAGAAGAAGCAAAGGAGGAGAGTGAAAGTAGCGGTTGCGGTTGTTGGTGAATATGAGATGGTCGAAAGTTGCAGGAGTGACTTGACTGCCCTTGCTACCTACCTCACCTTGCGGATTGGATTGCCTCGCTAGTCTCGACAAAGAGCGGCCACTTGCGCCTGAGCCACAGAAGGCGGGTGCTAAAAAGCTCAGACTATAATAGGCTCAGGCTCAAGGCGGTGTATGTGGGTCCGTCAGCCACAGCTGCAGACGATCGATTAGGTAGGATCGTATCATAAGCCGTCTGAGGTTTATTAAAAGTCATCTTGCCAGTGAGTGAAACGATTTGGTTGAGGATTTCACTTGTAGATTTGCTAACACTACCTCGCTGGCGACCGTGGCTCAGTATGTGAGGTTGAGCACAAGCGTACTCGCACCGCATTATCCCAATCCGAGTCCAGGACAGCATATTCTCGGACAACCTGCTCGCGCATCATGGTAACATGGCCTCCCAATGTATATCAATTCCAGCCACAATTCTTTTATACTCAGGCACCCGTGATAAGATCTAACATGGCGCGCTTCTCCACATGCTCGATGCTCGACTGGGGGACTGTCCGCAGCCGATGCGATTCGAGGCCAATGAACGCACACTACCGTTCAGTAGCGCACCGATGTGACGACTTACAACTTGTTGCCGCTGCCGTTGTTGTTGTTGTTCTGCTGCTGAGTAGTCGAGGTGGGCCACTGGTAACCACTGGCATCGCTGAACTTGTAACCGTAAGATGAAGTGAAGTCGTCCAACACTGCAGGGCCACGAGATCCTGCGCATGTTAGCGTTTGACTTGCGTCGCTTGTCGACAGACTTACCATAGGGGTACTCCATGGGGACAATCTCCTTGTTGTCATCCAGGTAGTGCAGCAAGGGTGTGAAGATGCGCCAGCTGGCATCAAGCTCATCGTCACGGACAAAGTTGGAGTGGTCACCCTTGAGACAGTCAAGGACCAGCGACTCGTAAGCCTCGGGGATCTTGAGGTCAGAGAAACGGCGGCGGTATGTCAAGTCCAGCTCGGTGACAACGGTCTGCATGCTGAGGCCGGGGAGTTTCGAGTTCATCTTGATGTAGACACTCTCGTTGGGCTGGATGCGCATGACGAGCTCGTTACGGGGAATGTCCTTGAAAATACCCGATGTGACGTCCTTGAACTGGATCCGGATCTCCGTCTTTTGCTCGTTGAGAGCCTTGCCAGCCTTCATGATGAAAGGCACGCCGTCCCAGCGCTCATTTTTAATGTAGGCAACGAGAGCGCAGAAGGTCGGGCATCGCGAGTCCTGGGGAACGGTGTCGTCTTCCTTGTACGAGGGCTTGCTCCCGTCGAGCGATTTGCCGTACTGGCCGATAATGACATTCTTGGGCTCGATGGCGGGCATGTGGCGGAGAACGCGAACCTTCTCGTCGCGGATATCCTCCGAGTTGAATGAGATGGGACGCTCCATCGTCAAGAGGGTCAGCACCTGCAGCAAGTGGTTCTGCATGACGTCTCGGATGATACCAAACTCGTCGAAATAGCCACCGCGACCCTCGGTGCCAAAGGGCTCCTTGAATGTGATCTGGACGTTGTCGATGTGCTGACGGTTCCAAGTGGCGCCCAGGAATGAGTTGCCAAAGCGGAGGATGAGAATGTTCTTCACCATCTCCTTGCCAAGGTAGTGATCAATGCGGAAAAGCTCGTCCTCTTTCCAGTCGGGCTCAAGCGATTTCTGGAGTTCACGCGAGCTAGCCAGATCCTTGCCAAAGGGCTTCTCGACCTGTACATTCACGTCAGTGACTTGTGCTTCCGAGTCAAGCTCTACCGCTGGTCCCACTTACGACGACACGAGCAATGCCCTTGGAGGGATAGCAGTTCTTCTTCAGGTGCTGCGATACGATTGTGAAGACACTGGGAGGCAGCGCCATGTAAAAGACACGGTTGGTCTCGGAGCGGCCCTCCTCGAGCTTCTCGAGGTGATCGTTGAGAGTCTGGAAAGACTCATCCTTGTCGTACTGGCCTGAGATGTAGGTGCAAAGGCCGCAGAAGTCCTCCAATTGCTGCTCAATCTCCTTGGTAGGTGTCTTCATGTACGACTTGATCCGGCGCAAATACTCCTCGTGGTCCATTTTGGTGCGGGCATATCCAACGATTTTGACATCTTTGGGCAGGAATTGATTGCGGTACTGCGCATCGCATTAGTCCTCTTCGTTCGGTCCGGACGACGTTGTGCAATGCAACAAGAGCAACAACTCACAAGGCCGAAGAGCGCGGGGTACTGTTGGCAGCACGGTTAGCACGATGACATAGTGAGCAGACGGATGGGTGGTGCTGCAGACTCACAGTCTTCTTCTTGGCCAAGTCGCCTGAGGCACCAAGGACCACAATAACTGTGTTGTCCTTGAGCTCCATGGTCCTGTTGGCACGGCTGTGGTTAGCATGTTTGCGCTGAAAGGTGCTGTTGGCGATGCTCGCGGGGATGACGGGAGGTTGGAGCTATCTGTCTGTCGCCAGTTGCCCCTCGCAAAAGCACTATGGATGGTGGGGGTTCGCGGGCGGAGGGCACGTACGATGCTGGGCTCTGCTCCATGACGACGACCGTTCAGGACTGAAACTGGATGAAGAAAAGTTGTCTAGCAGACTCGAGAGAGTAGGCGTCGAGCTGGTGAGAAACGGGGGACAGACTGGACGGAGGTGGTGTTGAGGTTGCTGGAGTTCTGGGAGGAGTCGCTGTTGGAGACTGGACTGGATGATGACTTCAAGTTTTATGACGAAGGAGTTGCGCCAGGACTGGACCCAGGGTGCAGGGCACTGGCACTGCTGGACACGAACGAATGGAGCCAGCGGTTGCTAGTGGCCCCAGCTGCCTGGCAGCAAGCATCCACATCCATGAGCCTCTAAGTACATTCCACATATTATTCCACGCGCCTTCATGTCTCTCGCCTAATAAGTTACGTGCGTAAAGCCCGCAATCGGCTTACCATTCGTCCTGCGACCTCCCAAGTTACGTCGCTGTCGCGACATTGTCCAACGAGAGCCGTCCCCTGCCGCTTCGCAGTGGGTCAAGCGGCTTTCTCTCTTGCGTTAATCCTGAGGCGCCTGAACCCCGAGCCGATCCAGCTCAGTCCACCAAGCCAGCCGATCGCCTCGACATGGTGCAGGACGACCTGTTGGCGCGTCAGATTCATCAGAGCGATTCATTGATTGTGTGGTCACTTTATTAGAGTGAATTACCCGCAAGATTTAACACGTTATCGCCTGCCTTGTAGCCGGAAGTCTCGGTGAGCACTGAGCGGGCTGATGACAATGACGCAGCGGAATCGCGGATACTGCAACGGATTTCACTCATTGCCTCTCCTAGACTCCTCGTAGGTTCGTAGGTGCCCCTCATTCACCAAGTCATGTAATGACAGTCCTTGGCTCATGCAGATACCGGCCTTATCTAACTGCTTTGTAATGATGCTACTCCGTCCTCCACGCGGAAATTCAAAGTCACCCACCGAAGGGTCAGCTTAGGTCGCCATCAATTTTGCCGGTCCAGTCATAAGGCTCGTAGCCTGTAGGATGATGGACAATGCGCCGGCAAAGCTCCCCAACCGACAACGTGCTGCCCGCCCGCCTTTTGCTCTTGTTGCTGCGGTATTTGTTGATACGCGCTGGTCCCAGTCCTCCCACGCTATTACCATAAAGAGATCGGTCGCCTGCTGGTTCATCGGCTGGGACACAGTATCTTGTGCAGCAATGTTGGTCCTGATAGTGCGGTCGACTTAACAAAGTAAGACAATCAGTCGAGTACCTAGCTACGAGCAGCACGATGAGTTTTCTGTGTAGCCGCGAGACTCATGGGCCCAAGCAAGCGTAACATGTCAATGAGCACAACTCTCGGTGAATCTCTTTGCTGTGCCTGTTTATTCCATGACGCAGGGTATCATCCTCTATTTCTTCGCCTTCTCCGCCAAGTATGTCTGATATCCGACATCCTCAAGTTTGGCCGCCTTGTCTTCGACTTCCACCTTCATCGTCTCCTGATGTTTGGCCATTTTCTCTTGGTACTCGGGGTAGTACGAGCCTAGAATGCGGACGGCAAGCAGAGCCGCATTGGTGGAGTTATTAATTCCGACAGTAGCAACGGGGATGCCTCGCTGTGGGTGCTATGTCAGCTTCTGTTGGTCAAAAGATGGTTCGCATTACTTACAGGCATTTGAACAATGCTCAGGAGACTGTCGTTGCCATCAAGATGAGTAGCTTTGATCGGCACGCCAATGACAGGCACGGTGGTCTCAGAAGCCAGCATGCCAGGAAGATGAGCAGCACCTCCAGCCGCTGCGATGAGAACCTTGACTCCCTTTCCAGCGGCACCATGTGCCAGCTCAGTCATCCGCGCCGGAGTCCGATGTGCTGACGTGATTGTGCAGTCGTATGGTACGCCAAACTTCTCAAGGATGTCCAAGCCTGCAGACAAGACTCCGAGATCCGAATCGGAACCCATGGTCACAACGACAAGCGGTGATTTGGCGTTGCGTGACGACTTGACCTCGGGTCCCTTTGGCTCTGAGGGACCGGCAGAGGGTCTCATGGTCGTTGAAGACGTGTTGATGCGGTCGAGACGCATCTTGTCGACCTCGTTGATGAAAGGCGCAATGGTCTGCTCGAGGTCCACATCGGCGGATGAAGTGAATGTGATGTGACCAATTTTACGACCTGGCTTGGACGCTTTACCGTACAGGTGCAGGTAAATGTTCACACCCTCGATGTACGCTGTTCGTGCAAGGTGGACGAGGCGGTCGTGAGAGTCCGGGAGGGCGCCCCCGAGAATGTTCAGCATGATGGCTTTGGAAACCGCCGGCTCAATCTTGAGTTGAGGAGGGATGTAGCCCATGATCGCATGCGCTTGCGCCTTGTACTGGGAAAGGTTGGGAACAGCCTCAATGGTGTAGTGGCCAGAGTTGTGTGGCCGGGGGGCAACCTCGTTCACCATGATTGTCCCTGAAGAAATTAGCCATGTATGCAAATATGCCGTCTGCGCAATACTCACCATCCTCCAACAAGAACATCTCTACTGCAAACACGCCTCTGCCCCATAGGCTTGATATGACCTCCTCGGCGACTCGACGCGCCTTTGCACAGACATCTACACCTACTTTGCGTGGTGGCATAATCACTGTCTTGCAGACATCATCCTCGTGGATTGTCTCTACCACCGGGTATGAGTGGACGCCTTGAAGATTGCCCTCGTCGTCCTCAGTCCGGATCACCATGACAGCCAGCTCCATGACAAAGGGTACCCATTTCTCGGCATAGAGCGGCAACCCCTTGAGTGCGTCTATGGCAGCGGCAAAGTCTTCAGGGCCCTTCACCTTGAAGTTGCCTCGACCGTCGTATGATCCCTTCCTAGCCTTGACCATGAAGGGGAATGCCAACGCCTCGTAAGCCGCTTTGAGTGAGTCCAGATCACCATCCAGAGCCATTTGCCTCGCAATGGGCACACCTCTTTGGTGGAAATGTTCTTTCTGCAGATACTTGTCCTGTACGAGCCGCAGAGTGCGCCAAGACGGGTGGACAGGTACTGTCCTCATTTCGCCCGTAGAGGCACTTCGCACACCCTTGGTCGCGACCTCCTCGAGCACTTCAGTGTTGACGTGCTCGATCTCGACCGTCAACACATCGCACTTTTCCGCCAACTCCCGAACCTTGGCGGCATCTTTGAAGGAGCCCGTCACATGCTCCTTGTGGGCATTTATGCGCTTGGCAGGTGCATCCTCAGCGTCGAGAATGACAACTTCGAAACCATCAGGGTTCGTAGCCTCACACAGCATCTGTCCGAGCTGTCCACCGCCCAACAGACCGATTTTGAGAGGCGCGGTCGTCATCTTGGAGGTGACCCAATCGTCGTCACTCTTTGATCTAAGAGGGTTAGACTTCTGGTTCCGGTTGTTAATACAAAATCCAGTCGGTACACTGACTGAACACCTGCAATTGGAATGAATGTAGCCAAAATAAGGCTAATTGAGGTTGCGAAAGACCTGGTTTGCCAGTCAAGTTCTCATTGAATATAGATGTACGTAGTCCCCCAAAATATTTCTCCCCGAAGTCAGGAACGCAGTGCAGCATCATCGCGCCGCCGCGCCAGCGGTAGTGGGGACCGCGGGGTCCTGAGCTGTGGCTGGTGCGTCGAGTTCAGCCACAGCATCCCAGCTTACTCACCCAATCTGCCCTAATGGCGCACACGTGACGGGAAGGGCACAAATTTTCGGGCTACTCGCCGCACACCAACAATCGCATCCACTCGTCCTCAGCTGAGCATCACGACAATTAACGACACGGCAAACTAACACAACAGGGAGGTCTTTTCGCTAAGACGTTACCACATCACAGCTTTTGTTCCTCAGCCCGGGTCAAGAGCCAAAATACCGACAATATGCCTTCCGAAGCCGGCCACCGCCGTGAGTCTATCCCTGCCCATCGCGAAACATGAGATATCGCGACATTGGTCGTGATGCCTCAATGGCGATTGTTACTTCGGACAGTTTGCTAACATGATGCAGTCTACGTCAAGTGAGTACACACTGCTCCCTTTTCTGCCTTCACGATGCGACTATCACCGGCCGACCCGACGGTGCACGACTGGACATTTTACGACACCCGCTTGGAGGATACTGAGAAGGGCACGACCTCAATGAACAAGGGCTGACGATGATCAATAGGGGACGCCACCTGAGCTACAAGCGCTCGCGTCACACCACCAAGCCCGCCATCAGCCTGATCCAGATCGAGGGTGTTGACAACACTGAGGCTGCCAAGTACGTTACCACTGACGAGCGATGTGAAGTCGGGAGAAACGAAATGGGACTAACAAGGCTCTGCAGCTTCTACCTCGGCAAGCGCATCGCCTACATCTACAAGGCGCACAAGGAGGTCCGCGGCTCCAAGCACCGTGTCATCTGGGGCAAGGTCACCCGGCCGCACGGCAACTCTGGCGTCGTCCGTGCCCGCTTCGCCAACCCCCTTCCCTCTAAGTCTTTCGGTGCTTCGGTCCGCGTCATGTTGTACCCCTCTTCGATATAAACAATGGGTTTTGCAAAAGCCCCAACCGGGCTGGAGTTGGTAGTGCGGACGGTATTCATTTGGCTGCATCGGTCGAGGCGAGGGTAAAGAAGATGGCCTTGCTTTTGTGACAAGAGGCATTCAATTCAAAACACAAGACGTCAAAATTCCAACCCACGATACGAAACCAAGGCTGTTGATCGGGCAGGGCGAGCGTTGACTCGGCCGTCAGGTGTCCACCGCATACTCTTTGAAGGCTGGCTGTGATCATTGATGGCAGTGTCTTGACTCGTTCGACTTCGCCGGGATTGCGTACAAGGGGATGGGGGCAGTCGTCAGATGATGAGGATGGATGCGAACTACCAAAAACAAGGAATGAGACATGATTCTCCCACAAGATGCTTGGTGAACACTCCGGTGAAGCTGCGGGCGTAAATGGTTGCATTTTGCATTGCTTGGGTATAAGACATCACCATTGATATCCAGTGCGCTCTGTGTGTGTGTGACTACCTTACGTGTATTCGCGAGGCAATGTAGAGCCATTCCGTCTGGCCAGCAGCAGCATCACATCTTACTCGCGCGTCATCGACTTCTAATGTTCCATGCAGTGTGCTCGCCATCTCTCAAGTTCTCTTATTGTGCCTCCAAGTAGGTATTGAACTGATGTCGAATTGATCAATCGCTTCTCTCCCCCCGTGACAAATAAATGAAAGTGCTGTCCAGCATCGACTTGTCGGAATCATTATCCTTGTGCATCGCCCAATTCGCCCGATTAGTATATAGCCAACCACATTGCATGCCAATCACGCTGCCTTCGAAACCTAAGTCTTGCTCCTCAATCTTTTAACAGAAGCATTCGCAGCACTCGCAGCTATATCACTGGTCAGCATAACCAAGCCCATCAGAACGACTTCGAACATCTCACCAGCACTCGCAGCATTCCTCCACTGCGCAGCAGAAACACATCGTTGCCAAGCAGGCGACTAGACAATTCCTCTGCGACTTGGCATTACCGCTGCCCTTGGATCCAGGGGGTGGTTGCTGCTGGTACTGCATGGGCGGCTGACCGCCATACCCTCCAGGTGGTCCGCCGTGCTGGTACTGGCCAGGCGGGGGATATCCGGGCGCGTAGTTACCTGGAGGAGGTCCATACTGGTTATACTGTCCCTGGGGAGGCGGGCCTCCGTACGGCTGGTCTGGTCAGCAACGGGTCTTGGTAGCTTGGTGCATTCTCAGGGGCCGCGCGGCCTTCGAGAAGACTCACAGGTTGAGGAGACTGAGGGTAGCCCTGGGGCGGTCCGTAATTCTGGCCGCCGCCGCCGCCTTGATAGTAGTCCTGAGCCGACATTTTCGTATGCACAAAGTTGAGAGATTAGAGAACGGACGATTGCTGGGGGAGCACAGGAGAGGAAAAGAAGGGTCACCGTTCTGGCGTGGCAGGTTACGCGGAAGGAGGGACCAACCGACCAGAGACGTTGCTGCTTTAAGGAGTGGATACGTTCGGCACTGGCATGTTGGGCTGAAGGCTAGTTTAACGAGAGCATCAATTTCTTGTATGACAGTTCGACAAAATCGTACCTTCTTGTCGTAATATCCTGTAAATTATTTGAATTCCCTAGCGTTTGGCAAAACCCCCAGAGATTTTCCTTCGAATTACCCGTCTACTGACCTCCATGTCTGGACGCCCTTTGGGCTGGAGTTCAAGCGGCAGCGCTAGGCTGCCGTTTTCGGGAGTCGTCGGCCTTATCGATAGTGGCTTTAGTGGGGTTTCGCCCAGCTGATGCAGGGTTCCACTTGCCGAACTGCCAGTGCCATGCCAGTGCAGTGTCATGTGTGGGGATCGGCTGACGAAGTTCGAGGACTGGACTCGAGATGTTAGAACAGTTACTCCGACCGTAGATAAGGAATATACGTAGCAGTGGGACTTGCGTAAGGTACTAATAGTATGCAAAACGGCGCCTCACGAAGTGTAAGATCATTAATAGTCCAAGATTGATCATACAGATACATATGATATCGAGACTCTATGACACACGCCAGCCCCTGCCCTGCAGGCTGCGAGTGCCGAACTGCTCGTACATTTACAGATTCAGTCCCTTGGCGCCTTAAAGTCCGTCTCACGTTTGGCTACCCTCGCTGAGGAAATCTCGTTCAGCGGTAAATTGAAGTATGAGTCACGAGATTATTTCAAGTACGGCTCAATTTTTGTTCCTCTGTAGCTCGTCTCATCGATGTATCAGAAGTTAATAATGCGCGACCAACCCGGAAGCCTTGGGACCGGATCTCGGCCCTGCCCCCTGGTAAAGATGGCTTATGTTCGCCTTCCAAGGCCCAAAAAGAGGTCAGCAATTGGAGTATATGGCAAACAATTTTTGACGTTATTCCTTCAGAGTGGAATATTCTACCGCGGCACTGACATTGGTCCACGAGCGTCAAAGCAACAGTTGTGCTCATCACCAAGCCTACATACTAGTTATATCACCAAGGATGTTGACTATAAGACATTCTAGGCCCGAAGTAGGTGTAAAAGGAACTCACTTACGAAAAAAGCATTAGACAAATAAAGATTGACCCCTGATTGAGTTCGTACTTTCGCAAAAGAAATAAGGGGTAAGCCCTTCTAAGTGCTTGTTGGCCATGTCATCGCCCAATGCATGTACTCCGACCCCATGTATTTCCACTCCATCGACCCAGCCTTTACCGCAGCTATCCTGAAATGTGATGGGAATCATCGGCTGTCCGGATGCATCTAGCCTGAAGCTCTCTCGTCAATGCCAGGCTCCATGTCCCTGGCCCATTCCGATGCACAGGCCATTTACAATCACAGGCAACTTGAAGGTACGTCCAATTTGGTCTCGCAGTGATTGCACATGTTCACTCTTTCAGACGAGGAGTCTTTTGGGTACTGACCATGAGCCGAGTGTCGAGTCAAGATCTATTCGCATAATATTGATGGATCGATTGTCCCCCCCCCCCTGAAACACGCGTTACCATGCTTCATCCAGTCGCATACAGCGAGTCTGTATTTAATAGGCCGCATTCCTACTGCGCCCGTCGTCGAAATCTCATGTGAGGGTAAGCCTGCAGTGCTTCCCCGATTGTCGTATGCGCATCTGCTTGACATCAGGGACAACTAAAGACACTGGGAGACCAAACCGCGTGATTATGGAATCGGTGAACCATTAAAAGTAGACTAAATCCGCATCCAAATACTATCAAACACTTGTCTAGATCAACGCTGCCCGTGGCCATCTCGTGACAACATCACATGCGGACTTGGATGATGCTCGCTTTCGTTCAATCTTAGCTTCTGTACGTGAATTTGATCGTCAGGTCACTCACAGCGCAGTCCATATATACCTGCTTTTCAAGTCCCCTGATGTAGACTGGAAGCGCAATCTATGCTCTGTTCCCACCTCGAGTAACTATTGCTAACGACTCCATAACAAGGACCCAAAATAGCCTGGGGGAAGTTGGGCCCAGAATCGGTGCTGGTGGACAGGAAGGCCGACCTTGTACTTTGCTCGCCTATTTCCAAAATGTCTGTTTAATATTAGAAGTCATCGTTTTTTTTGTTTTTTGTTTTCATAATCCACAATCCAAGCAAGAGGCGTGCGGCATTCAAAGTGGTCTTTGAATGAAATGAAGCTGGAGGAATAAACTCGGGCCAGACGTTGCTTGCCAAGCCTTCTAATGTCGACTCTGTTGTACCATTGTCAGTCTGGGCTTCCCCAACTTGAAGCATTCCTGTGCCCTGTACTTACAGGCCTCTGTTGAGCAGCATTTTCCAATAACCAGACGCAGCTCGGTGGTTCCCTGAGTACAAGACACAAGTCCTCCAAAGACACTAACGTTGAACCTCTCGATCAATAGTTCCGTAGGGAATCCGCAATGTGTAATATGAGATATCTGCCGAGTGCCTTGCGGCAGGGTCGTTTTCCTCCTCCGTGCCATCGACTATGCTTTGATAAGAATAGTGATGTCGCCTGACATAAGAGGCCACGGACACTCGGATATACGAAGTCTAATATGACAGAGCCTGGTCCTTGTAACGGCCTCCAATATCTGGGCCCGTTATTCATGTCTGCCTGCTAGCAGTGAAGTTCTCCAAGGTACCACTCGCCGAAGCCAGCCATGTTGAAATAAGACACGCCTCTTATGCAAGTTTATCACAACCAAGCAATTGACCACCTTCTGGTTCAGGAAGGTGGTCGGCTGTGCGAGGGGGAACCAAGCTCTCCGGGCAAATGGGATCTTTCCAATTCTGCAAGCTCATGCTGACCCCAGGATTGCCAAGCGTTGGAGATCTCCGCTTACACCAGATGGCGTCTTGAGCCTATCTCGCCATTCGCTGCCGGGTCAATGCCGCTCGACCGTTGTGAGCGCCATGGACATGACTTCGTCAGCTCCCCAAGACCAAGGTCCGAGGGGACGTGTTCTAGAGTCTTCTCAGGCCAACAATAAGCACAGCTGCAGATGCCGAGAGAGAACGGTGACTGGATGCAGAAGGTCGAAACAAAACAGCACGACTGCATAGGTCACATTTACATACTGTAAGGACGTGTATAAAACGAGCTCTGCCTCGTGGCTGTGACCCGATCTGATGGTCTCCTTTGCATTAACATTTGCTCCTGTGACCTTGAGCTGTGGTGCAACGTCAAAGTCAACATGGTCCGTCTGTCATCCGTGAGCCTCGTTGGCTCTGCCCTGGTGGGCATGGGCAGCGCCGCCGGTGCTGGTTCCAAGGAGGACTATGCGTCTGGTCGTGTCCACCACAAAATCATGGACATCAAGATGGTAACTAGGCCCATTTGACGCCATTCTGGTGCTTCTTATTGACGATTTCAGTCGCAATGGGCCGAGGAGGAGGCTGCTGGTCTCATGGACTCGTCGCGGTATCCCGAACTTGGCTACACGCCCTGTGTCAACGGCTTTGCTGAGGCCATCCCCGGGGATCCTAGCAACACCTTCCGGTGCAGCAATGTAGGTCTGAACGCCACATGAGCATTGTCAAGTGCGCTGACTCGTCCCAGGTCGATCTCTACCACTTCCTGTCCCACGCTGAGCTCGGCAGCTCGGCCAGCCGTGGATCATCCTCCTGGGGTTGGACTTCTGCTGATGGGCGCGAGTTTGTTGCTGTTGGCCAGTACGACGGCACCGCATTCGCTGAGATCAGCAAGGAAGGCAAGTTTGTCTACCTGGGCCGACTCCCCCAGTACGACAGCATCGGCTCCAACTGGCGCGAGGTCCGTGTTGTTGGCGACATCGTTGTCATTGGCTCCGAGGCCATCAAGCACGGCATCCAGCTGTTCGACTTCAAGAAGGTCCTTGATCTCGACCCTGCCAACCCCAAGACCTTCGCCCAGGAGGACCTGGCCGGTCACTGGGGTCTTGACAAGGAGGACGCCACCGGTGAGCCCGTTCCCTTCTGGGATTACCTGCCCGTCGGCCGCACCCACAACGTTGTCGTCAATCAGGAGCTCAACTATGCCATCGCCGTTGGCTCTGTTGGCGGCAACGAGACCATTCGTGTTCGTGACGACCTCCCCTGCCGCGGTGGTCTGATCTTCCTCGACATTGACGATCCCGCCAACGTGCACTCCCCTGGCTGTGCTGCCGGCGACGGCTACGTCCACGACGCCGAGTGTCTCGTGTACCGCGGCCCTGACAAGCGCTACTACGGCCGTGACATCTGCTACGGTTACAACGAGGACTCCGTCACCATCTACGATGTGACCGACAAGAAGGGCAACACCACCAACATCATCTCTCGAATCGAGTACCCTGGTGTCGAGTACTCACACCAGGGTGTCGTCAACAGCGAGAAGTGGCAGGAGTACCTCTTCCTCGACGACGAGTTCGATGAGCGTGATGCCCGCGAGGGCCCCGAGTCTCTTGGCCAGGGTCTGCCCACCACACACATCATCGACATCCGCGACCTCGAGAACCCTGTCTGGACTGGTTCGTTCGCTGGCAAGACTCGCTCCATTGACCACAACCAGTACGTCGTCGACGGTCTGCTGTACCAGTCCAACTACGGCAACGGCCTGAACGTGTACGACATTACCAGCGTCATCGAGGACCCCACTGGCGACAGCGTCTGCGAGGTCGGCTTCTTCGACATCCACCCCGAGGACGATGAGTTGGAGGGTGGCGGCACCGTCGCCTTCCTGGGCTCCTGGTCTTCCTACGCCGCCTTCAAGTCCGGCTTCATCCTCGTCCACACGATTGAGCGTGGCTCCTTCATCGTGAAGCTCTCGAGCAAGGAGTGCCCGCAGGCTCCCAAGTGCAACGCCGACAACTGTCTCCGCGCCATGCGCGCCAGCCACATTGACGGGCGCCTCGAGGAATCCATGGACTTTTGCGGCAGCTTCACCCAACGCCTCCACACGGACGAGGGCCTCCTGCCGGACTACGCCGTCAAGGCCTGCCCCGAGAACAGGGGCAACGAGCCCATCGCCAGGGTCAGCAGTGCGTGCGCTTGCCTCCCTACCAACCCCGTGCCTGAGCTGCCAAGGACGACCACCCGTGGTCCAGTGCCCACCGTCCTGCCTCCCAGGGCCTAGACTAGTTGAGGAACGCGAAGGATAACATGATGCGCGCTACACAGCATCATTAGCACGTAGATTTGGTAGTGTCAATCAAAATAGGTGTAGAAGTATACATGGGCATCACGTCACGTAGTCGATTTGACATTATTTCGTAGGGCGAGTGCATGTAGCCACGATAAAACCATAGGAAGCCGTCACTGGTAAGTGAGTACGGCCTCCCTCAAACGAGCGGCTATGAATTCGGTCTAGCAACGTTCGAGCCTCTAGCCTGGCGTCGTGTGGATCGAATTGCCAGGCGTGCAATGCGCTGAAAGGCGTCATTGTTGAGACCGTGTTGCGTTGTTGAAGAGGAAGAAACTCTTTCTGGTTGCTGCGCAGAACTTGAGGTCACTGCAGGTTTGCAGGTGGGTCAGTCTGGTCCCGTGACTCAGTCCTAATCACATTCTGCCTAACCTGTATAAGTAAGGTACTAGTAGAGTGTGTATTCGCCTTTACTCCGTACCTCTCATCGGAAAAGAAATTGACTGGTTTTATATCATTCAGAGCTGAAAGGCGGCTCCGTCGAGCTCTGTCATAGAGTTGAGCTCAATGTGAGCCTAATTGCTGCCCCCTGTGACGGTTACTGCTTCTCCCCAAGAAGCCTTCGTTGCCGATACATGCCTGCGCAAGATGTATTCCGTGTGAACAGAACGTTGGAAGCGGATGACTTTGCAATAGCGGGCATGTTGCTCAGCTCACATTGTGTATTGAATCACCGAGCATATCCCACTGAAAGAGACTCAACCTCGAGCAACACGATTATCCCAGTGCACACCACTGATGAAAGCTACCATTGACCAAATGCTCCGCGAGGACGATTCAAACGCCAAGAAATGTACCCAGATCCCAACCATCTTATTCATCGTCGCTGTCGACAACATTGCGACGCCTGCTCCGTGATGCTGCCTCGGGCGCCGGCTCAAGCTCGTCGCCCGAGGCGTCTTCCTCTACCTCAGATGCCTCCTCCGTCCTGTGTCGTTTCCTCGGCTTCTCCTCCACATCGTCCAGGATGTCATCATCATCCTCGTATCCCTCTTCCTCCTCGTCGCTGTCGACCAGGAAGCCGTCTTCCAAATCATACTTCTCCTGGCGTCCTACACCTTGTGGCAGATCATCATCCGAGTCATACTCAGGCCGACGGCGTTTGGGCTTCGCACCAGGGGCGCCCCTCTTCCTGCCGCCGCCAGCGCCCTCGAGAGCACCGATCGACAGACCGCCACGGCCGGAGCGGCCCAATCCGAACTCCTGTTTCGCGTTCGCATTCTCTTGTTTCCGGAGCGCCTTGTTCCTCTCCTTCTCCAGCTGCTCAGCCTTGCGCTTCGCCAGTTCGGGGTCTTCGGTCTGTCGGATGATCATATCGGCCGCAGTTCCTCCCTTCTCGGCGGCCAAGCGCTTCGTGAGCTGTGCCATGGCTTCATCACCAATGGACTTGTTGGGTCGGACGCTGTACTGCTCCGTGATGTGGCCCACTGTCATCAACAGATTGCTGCTGAGCTCCGCAGCGGCAGCATAGTGGTGCGCATCCTGTTTCGCATTGTATGGCTGCCCTGGTGCTGGGGCGAGTGGCTTCCTGTAAATCTCGTACTGCTCACCCCCTACGGAGATGGTAACCGAGCCGTCGCTCCAGCGAAGAATATTGGTGTTGCTGACGAGTTTGCCCGTAGCTTCGTCCCGTCGGAAACGGACGTCGTATTGTGGCCGTTCCGATTTTGCATTGGCAATGTCGGCTTCTGTGGGCTCAAAGGTTTCCGAGTTGTACTGTTCGGGCTGGAAGGTTATAAATTCGGGGACCTTCATTGTCCGAAGCTGAAGACGGGTCAGTGCCGCCGCTCAAGATACCTGAGTACGTAGAGAAAACTAACAACGCCATCACTTGGTTTCGGTATGGGATGGCGATACGTGGTGACATCTAAGACGATCGCATCGCGCATCTCCTGGTCTTGTTCCGGCGAATAGCCCCGATGTCTTGGCCGCGCATCTTCATCTGGGTCGGAGGCGAGGTCGTCATCGTCTAGGATCTGCTGCTTGGCCGGCGATGGTGCCGCGTCGCCAGCATCGGAATCATCGCCAAAAAGATCATCGCCGCCCTCGTCAATGGGATCAATGGGCTCGTCGGATTCGGACATTTTGCTGTTTTCAACCGGGATTCGACGTGTATGATGAGAAGAAGTAGAGGCGATGTGTTGCCTAGAACTGGAATCCCAATGAAGGCTGTTGCGAGCTCTGGATGAGGTTGGCTGTGCGAGCGACGCAACTTTGATGGCGCGCTTTCGCGACAAGAGGCCAAAGGCTGAAATGTGGCGCGCGCCTGGGCTCACCAGCCACAGGAAACAGGCAAGTAATTGGTCGGAATACTTCCCGAAAGGGCTAGCGTGATCGAGAGCTTCTGGACGTCCTGAAACCACCGCCATTCAACAGGCGGCCACAAGATGAACCCACACGGCGGCTGTTCGTTCAGGGGACTGGACTGACGCTGAGACGTCGCGTGAGAGCCCACAGGGGGTTGCTGCCAAAGGGAGGAGGGGCCATCCGCGCGCATACGTCTCTGATCTTACTCCAGTGGCCGCTCACTTCTGTTGCTCTCTCTCATCCATCAACTTTGCGACCACATCTCTAGCACCCCTCACATACAAGGAATACAATTGGTTCTGCGCGCCAAACGATAGATCGAAAACACGGCCCTCACGAGGCTGCCAGCGTTGCCCCTCTCTACCAGGTCTTTCAGGGTTGAATCGATATCATGTCGAACCTCTTTTCCGGGATGTGAGTATCCATCACATCACTAAGCTCCCGGGAGCCTACACGTGGATGCCGGAGCAGCAAAGTGGCGATCATGGGGACGCATGTGGTCATACCGCCAAGGATGGCCAGACCGACGTCTATACCAAGACTGTGGGGGACACGTCTGAGGGCGGAGATGCCAAACCCATCACCCGTCATGCCTGCTACTCAAGTATCAGCCGTGCAACGACTGACAAAACGTACAGCAATGCTCGCTTCAGAGGTGGAGGCTCGGCCAAGCCTCCGTCGCAGTCAAAGAGCCCAACCGCTTCCTCACCCTCGGGCCAGATCAACTCACCAGAAACGCTCTCACAAGCCAGCCAATCCTCCACAAGCCTTGCGCCCAAGCTATCACCCCTCCCCAACTCACCGTCGTTAGCCCAGAGCATTGGCGTGGAGGACACAAGCAACATGTCTGGAGATGAGATTATCGGTTCTTATCACCTTCCCCGACCGCTACCCCTATGGTTGAACCCCCAGTACGCCAAGCACATTGTCAAGGGCAATTTCATGACGTTGAGCGCGCGACCCAAGACGGTGGAGCCAGGTGAATGGATCGCACATCAGGGTGAGTGAGAATCGAACATATGCTACCAATGGTCTGAGCAACGATAAGTCTAACTTGCCTAGTCGTGGATCACTACCGTCTGCTGTGGAACTTTGTCCGAGTTCTCCACGAAAAGGAGGAGGACGGCAGCACCATCTGCAACCAGACAACATGTCCTCGCATGTCTGCCGGGTCGTAAGTCGTGACCCGTTTCTTCCCGTCCATCTCAACCACACCAACTCATCACGGCGATGTAGCAACCACTCCTTCACGTGGCTCAACAGCCGCCGTGAGCCTGTCGAGCTCCCAGCGTACGAGTACATGACGCTCATGCAGCGCTGGATCTCAGGCAAGATTGACGACGACAAGATGTTCCCCACCGATCCCTCTGGAATCTCATACGCCCACAACCCGTCCATCACCACCACACCCCTCTCCCAGCTCTCCAACCCCGGTGAGCCCGAGTGGCCCGGCAAGCGTTCAGGCTTCCCCGAGAAGTTCATCGACGTCTGCCAGATGATCTTCCGGCAAATGTTCCGGGTCTACGCACACCTGTACTGGGCGCACTTCGCGGAGCCCTTCTACCACCTGAACCTGGAGAAGCAGCTGAACAGTTGCTTCTCGCACTTTGTGCTCACGGCCACGGCGCTCGACATGCTCAAGCCGGCGGAGCTCGAGCCGATGCAGCCGTTGATCGACCTGTGGGCGGCGAACGGGACGTTCCCGCCCGAGTCCAAGGCGTACGAGTATGCCAACATCAAGGCCGGCCAGCGCCTGCTCGAGATGGCTGGATTCCCAACACAGTGAGGGGGTAGCCTGAGTTACCTGTCAAAAGTCGTATGTAAAGGTACCATATTTGGGGCTGCGTGATTTCCATTCGCCGAGATTTACACACATAGTCAAACAAAGGGAGTCGTAAGGTGCTTGGGGTATGATTCAGGGAATAGACTCAAAGGTCCATAGGTCATGTTCATATCAACAGAATACGGTACATTGACAGATTGATTAGCGGCGAAATACTTCAAAAATTTGGAAAGAATTGTCCAAGTCTCTCGACACTCCTGGCCATTTGCGTACGGTGATATATCATGATCATGACGAGATAGCCTTCCAGGTAAGAAGCAGCAGTACCATCAAGTCTCTACGATAAGTTAATCACTGCCCGTGGGGTAATCTTCCCCTGTCAGCCGCTATGCCGCTGGTCTTGTCCTCGACAACGAAGCGTCTAGAGCCGACGCCCATCTTGTCCTCGAAAGGGGGGAGTCCGCCAGACTTCCTTTGGAAGTGAAACCTACACGGCTATATTCCCCGTCAGCTACGATAAGGGGGAACCCTCCCTCGTCGTTCTACGCAGTCGTGTATCATCTATGCAGCCATGTATCATCATACGGGTGCAATCGTTCCACAGCAGCCCGGCCCGGTATCAATGAACATTCATCGTCTTGCGGGGTGCAATCAAGCTTTAGCCTTTGGAAGCGAGCGAACGGCGCCACATGGCGCTGGTACTACGATGTCAAAGCAGATGCTAGATGTGGCGATGGTTGGGGTACCAGTGCCCCGTGTGATATCACTTGAACTTCTACCACTTGCGGGCGAGGATCATGACTTGCTTCCTTGCTATGAGTAAGAAAAATCGGCGGTCATTCGAAAGGAGCATGTCACAGTGGGAAGGCCGATATTCCTGAACGGCCAGGCTCTTTGTGTATCGCAAGCGGGAATATCTTCCACGGATCAAGGTCTCGTTCTGGCGTTCACATTAGATGGCTGTTATAGATAGATTAAGCTCGACGGGAACTGATGCTGTGCAACCCCGAACCGGGCCGACGCCGAATGTCGTGAAGGAAGGTGACACCAAGAAAGCATCCGGGGGTCAAGTTACCATGTCCAGCGTGTGCTCCGGTAGAACACGCCGACGGCCTTTCGATACCGAGGTTTGAACTTCGACGTGACGACGAGCACTGACGAGATTACGGTGAAAGGCCGTGGCGCCATCATTGCATCGCAGTTTCGTCCCCTTGTGGCACAGAGGCCGAGGATCGAGAGGGTCATCCTGTTGAAGGATTACCACTGGCATAGGTAGTCGCCATCGAGAACTGGCGGACGGGAGCCCCTATCTTGTCCGAAGTACACATATGACGTGCCTCTAAAGCTGGAATCGAGTAGAAAGAAGATGATACGTTATGTGCGCTATAGGTGCAGCTCACATTGTTAGTATCTGGCGGTCAGGAGATCTAGCGTACTCTGACCGTCACTGCCATGACAACGACCTCACCGCGTCGAGCTGGAATTAGCCATCCAGGACTTTGAAGGCGATATCGCAAGATGGTTGCCCTGTGAGTCACCTTTAGCACCTAGCTAACGAGGTGTGTCGATGTTTTCCTGCGTGTTTGTCACTTCAAGACCCACCGCCAAACGCAGCCCGCTCGCATGGGACAGCATGACACTTGTCAATGCATAGTTCAAAACACGGCGCCGGCTGGAAAGATTTTCTCCCCGCGATTGTTTTGATTGCTCGCGGATCGTGACTTGCTTTTGCGCGGCCAATCCAAGATCAGGGTCCCAGTAATGTGGATGCTAGCTGTTGACCGCAAGTTTGATCCCGACTAATACCTGTCGACTTTTCCAGAGAATTCAGGAGGCTGGGCTTTCTGGAAACAGGATACAGATCCTCGTTCAGTGCTAGAGCCCGAGGGATCTTGGTTTATGCCGCTGTTCGCGTGTTGCTGAGTGAGATCAAAGCCATCTAGCGGCTGTTGAGTGTCTTGCTGCCATGACGTGCCATAAATCGCCCTGGGATATTGATTGGGTCAAGTTCAAGGGCAAAATCCTGCCTCGTCGAGCTCCCACAATGGTAAGCGTCACCCGAGGGTCACCCAGACAAAGCCAATGTTGTACAACCCATAGAGCCACTAACAGGCAGGACGATGAGGCTCGTTGAGCGTAGCCTCGGGCTCGGGGACGGAGTTGAGTAGTCGAGCCGACAGGGCCCCCGGGCTTGAACAGGAGGTTGCATCGGTGCCCAACGTGAAGAGGCCCCAGGAAACGCGTCGCGACGACTGTATCCGCCCTCGACGACAATTCAGTGGACGAGCAGACATCGATTCAGGCCGATTTCAGAGAGCCAAGGCGAAACACACCGACACTTCTGGGGGTGGTCGGCCGGCTGTTATGCGACCTCTTAGCACAGTGGAGCAGGGCTAAGACTCTCTGACGTTATGGTTGGGTGACGCACTGTCTTGGCCTGGGAGCGCGCGTGCAGATACGCGCAGGAGATCTGGGCCTGGTGAACAGACTCTGGCCAGTCCCCAAGCCAGCAGACGAGTGATTGTTTGCGTTGTTGGTGGGCGAGTACCGCGGGCGACAGGGACCGGAGGGCCGAACTGAGCTTCAAAGAGCGACGCTCTGAATCCCGAGGGAAGAAGGGATCACGACATTGAGGCTGGGGACGGGATCGGTCAGGCGGTAGCAGTGTCGAAAGAGGTCTGAGGAGCAGAAGCTCCCGCCGCACGTTAATTGGCAGTAATAATAGCAGTCGTCAACTTGAAAGGCGTGGGAGTGGTTTGTTGATGTGAGACTGATTAACATTGTGAGACCCTCTCCTCAAGAGGGGGCTCCATCGAATAGGTCAGGTGGGAAGAGCTTGCATGCGCTAATTCGTAGTCTGATACAGACGTCCGTACCTTTCTGCCGCCGACACCGCTGATAGGTACCTGGACGCTAGCACCACAGGCCAGATCCCGCTGCATACATCCGCCTTCCTGCCTCACATGCACCTGCACCTGCCATTGCGACTGGACATCGACATCTCCAGTCCATGTCCATGTCCCTTGCGCACGCTCCCAGTGATGGACATAAACCCCTCCACATTTTCACTCGCTCACTGGGGACGGTCCCTGTATCCTCGGTCCCAGAGCCAGCATGAGCGACCGCATGTTGGCCTAGCTGCCTGCCCAGTGCTCCTGTGACAAGCAATGAGAGCTCTTGTACGACGACAAAGTGGCACGCGTTCTTCATCACTTGCCTCATCTCTCGCTGTCGGCAGAAATTACATGTCAGCTCTCAAGTACGTAGTGCCTGTAGATATCTTCGTGACGGTACGTACGCACTTGCGTACGGTACTAATTAGACTAGTCAAAATATAAGGTACGTAATTATTTTACTGTAGAAGGTAGGCACGCACGGGCTGGCCCGCGACGGGCCTCTCCTAGTACGGTCCTCCATTTGCGAAAGCCTCTACCTAATCGAAAGGTAGGTACGGATAATAGTCAGCAATAGCGTTGGGCACAGACGTCCGGACGATGATGGATGGGCCGTTTGTGCCCAACCCAACACCCGTTCTGTCTTCCGTTTCGTCCCTGCTGTGCTCCCATTCTTGACCGGCCCTCTCGGGAGGGCCTGCCGCTAAGAGTCTGGACAGACAGGCGTGCCATTTGTTACCTGGCTGCCCGAATTGGCAGCCCATCCGTGTTTAATCGCACTTCAGTCACGCAGACCTCCCATCGACCGTCCCTAATTCGCTGCCTGTGGACGTGGGGTTTAGCGCTCCCACGGTTCTCGACTCAAAGCACACACCAGTAGCACGACAACGGACAGTGACTGCGACAGCCATAGGGATGTTAAGCCGGAGTGGAGGCATCTGATACAGCGCCTAACAAGCCGACCATACGGCCATACGGCCAGGAACTGGACCCCCAAAAGCGGTCAACTGATGGGTACGTAGTAGAGTGACTGGTCTAGAGGAAACGAAAAGGGACATGGACTTGCAAAGCCACGCGGGATGCGTCGTCGCAGCACTGCTCATACGAGACTTGGGCCATGACGAGCCCTGATTCCCCACCCGCGCACCACATGGGGGACGTTGTATCCAAATGGGGGGCCAGCCAAGGTGCGCATGTGGCTCTGGCCCTCTGTTTCGAACTGCGAGCAGTGGGAGCAGGAGGGTGCGTGTGGCTGCTAATGATCAAGGAAATCTTGGAATGGGTCGACCGTGAGACCGATGATGGGCTGCTGTCCCAGATCTCCGCCGGGGTCGGCCTCGATGCCGTGTCATTCATCGTCCTTGCTGCTAAGCTCATTGCTGGAGAGTGACAGCCGTGCCTCGCCCACACCATCACTTGCTGTACGTACTTCTCTCAGACCAGAGAGGCCGGCTCAAATGGCCTCCAAGAGCCTGAGAGAATGATAATGAGATGACGACGGTGGATTGGCGCCCGACCCGGTGAAGGGAGCCGCTGTCACCTGTGTACCTGTTCCTGATGATTTACCTGTCGAACCTCCGGATAGACTTGCGTACGCGCCTCCCAGGCCACGACCGAGATCAGTCTTCAACAACAAACATAAACCTCGTCTACTGGATTTGGCAGACGGGATATGCGCAGCACTAACAAGTTACGTACCGGGCCGGTGCGATAGACGGAGACAGATTGAGTCAGAGACTCGGAGGTACCTGAGCAGAGTCCACTGACCGCATAATCCAAGGCGGGCGGACTGGAGACCAGAGTACCCCATGTACCCTTGGCCAGCCAGTATCTGCGGTACCCGCCCCAGCCTGCACCGCTTGTCCCCGATGGAGTCTAGAGGACTGGAGAGACACTGGGAGAGCAGCCCTGCGCCGGCCACCTACATTAACCGTCCTCGCCCACCTCCTCGCCTTACCGCCTCGCCTCTATCACCAAAGATAACCACCCAACAAACCACCCTCCGTGCGAGTTCGTATGAGATTCTGTCTGCTTTTCTCGCAGTCAGATCATCATCACCACCGCACGCTCTTGCTTTCGTCTCGTTCCTCGTTGTTCGTGCCGTCAGCCTTTGTTACTTATCACCTCTTTGTCTTCGTTGCCCCCGCCCCTCTTTTGTCCTTGACGAACATTTGATCGGTCTCTTTTGTTGACTACGAAACGACTTTTAACGACGACTTACGGCCTTGCTTTGCGCTCGCCTTTCGTTCTGTGCGAGTCGCCTGTCTCCCTTTCCGTACTTCTCTGCTAGGTACTGTCATCTAAGCGACACCTTGTGCATCACGAGTCCGCTTCTGCTGTGTAAGTCGAGAACCAGCTTTCTCTTACAACCTTCACCTCACCACACTGCGCCTTTGCGCTTGGGACTCGTGCACGGAGAAGCGCACGTGCGTTGCGCTGCACTGTGCAAGCAAGCAATGGGGGTTCACAGGCTCTTCAGCGACTGTATATCACCGCATTGCCCCTTGCTTTCCCTCGTTGATGCTCCGGCATTCACTGGTCTCGAAGATATTACTTGCCTACCTGCTTCATCACACATCAATCGTTCATCGACAGGCGGACTAACCGGCTTTAGACACTACTTGAAGCACGTTGACTTCCTGGCTCACTGTTCACCGCGTACCATGGCCACTTCATATGCGCCCACCATGCAGCAGCAACTGTCACAGCAAAGCCATCACTCAAGACACTCTCAGCAGCAACAAATGGCCTTCCGCAGCACACGACTGTCTGTGGACACCAAATTGCCGCGGAGCTACTATGATGGCGACGTTGAGCAGGCAGCTGCTGACAGCAGCGCTATGGACTCTGGGCTAGAGCACTCGCCACCCATGGGGGAGGCTCTTTCAGACAACTTTGGTGTCACTGGGACGCCCCTGTTCTCGCCTGCTTCCAAAGCCGATGACTGGTCAGCCGTGGACATGCAATCTCAGCCTTCCAACAATCCGTTCTTCACCCAACAGCAACAACAACAGTTTGCGGAGGGCTTGATGTCGATTGACGAGAACGATGCCGCAGATTTTGATGCGTCGAATCCTTGGATGCTCCCAGCCGGTCAGTTCATGCTCGACAACAACGGCTTTCCATTCGTCAACGGCGCGATCGCATTCAACCCTCACGGCAACGTGTTCGCGGGCCAGGAGAACCAACAAAGGCCCAACATCGCCCCTGCTGTTTCCGGAGCACAAGGCCAGGCGCTCCCACAATCTCGCTCGTCAGGTGCTGGTCGACCCAAGAAGGCACCTCCAATGAAGCCTGTCCAGGCATCGAGCGGCGGCATCCGCAAGAAGAATGCGCGCGTCGACATCCCTGACAACTTCACCACGGACAACATTGACGGTATCATCGACAACGAGAAGGACCCCGAGACCAAGAAGTACTACCGCCATCTCAAGCGCCTCCTCCGTAACCGCCAAGCTGCCCTCGACTCGCGAAACCGCAAGAAGGCCCACACGGCGCAACTCGAGGACGACAGGAAGCACCTGACCGACTACGTCACCGAGCAAGACGACGAGATCCGCAAGCTTCGCCTGCAGGTTGAGTACATGTGGAAGGAGAAGCAGGATGCGACCGAGTACATCGCTCAGCTCTCTGCAGAGCGGGACAACCTGATCGCAGCGCACACCCTGGAGACTGGAGAGTTGAGGAAGAAGATTGCCGTCCTTACAGAGCACGTCCATCGTATCGAAGGGGATCCTCCAACATCGACAATCCCCGAGACCTCCACTGGCGGCTTCGATCACATGAACGACTTTGTCCATGGATGGGATGACGTGAACTCGTTTGGGGACAACTACCAACCGCAACCCCAGGCCAAGCCTGAAGCACCCAAGGCGCGCCCAGCCAACAACGCTGTCACGTCCGACAAGGGCACTGCGCAACACGGCAACTTCTTCTTCATGCTCTTCCTTGTCGGCGCTTTCGTTCTGTCCAGGCAATCAGCTCCCGCTATCCCTCCCGTCTCCGACGCCGTCCGTTCTGCTTCCGCCAACCTGCTCGACAATGTCTTCAAGGATGCCGGTGTCAGCACGCAGACCGTCGAGGCGGCCCCTTCTGCTCCCCAAGCTTCTGGTACCTGGAACGATCCTCTCTCTGGCATGCCCGTCCCCGAGGTGGGCACCGATACCGTGTCGCCATCCATGCTGGACAACCTCGTGCAGCCGACCGTCGAGCAGACCAACGAGCAGATCTTCTCCTTGACCACTCTCCAGTACGCCAACGCCCAGGACGACGCTTACATTGACAACAGCGGTTTGGAGCATCGGCCGCGCCGCAGCCTTGCCGACGCCATGACCGATGCTCTTGCCGCCGTCGATCTCAGCGACGCGCCCAAGGACGCTGTGGCCGACGTCTACTCCCGCTCGCTGCTCTGGGAGCAGATTCCTCGCAAGGTTGTCCAGGACTTTGCGCGATATGTTGTCGCCAGCAACTCCGGGTCGCGCCAGCGACACGATGGCCAACAGCAACAACAACAGCATCATCACTACCCCATTGCTCAGGAAATATCATGATCAAAACGAACTTTACGAAACCAGTCTACGGCTGAGAAACTTTTCTTTTAATGTTTTTCCTATCTGCTTTCCTATCTCTTTTCGACAATGCGATACGACAGAAATGACTGCCTTTTTCGCGGTCCAAACGTGCGCAAACCACCAGAATTGTTGTTGCTCACGCAACGAAATGGACTACATTCAAATACTTTCTCCGAAGCCCTTTTCCTCGCGGAAAACCTGCCCCCTCGGCGATATCCCCAAGGGATTGTGTGCCATTTCGGACAGTTTCTCTTTTTTCTGGATCTTCAGCAAGCGAGCGATTTGTGATTTTATTTTTTCCTTTCTACACTCTGCATTTCTATGGGATCAGGCGAGACAAGTGATACGAGGCGACTGCGGAGGCAAGGGAATCATGACGAACGAACGAACGAACATTGGCACCTCCCTGTTTACGGGTGGACATTGCTACTGCGGAGGAAAGATTGCAACTCTCTCACGATGGACATGAACGATGACGAACCAACTTTATTCTTTTTTAACTTCTGTGTATGCCGTTTGACGGTGAAGAGAGGACTCGTTAGTCTCACTTTGAGCGAGTCCGTCCGCCCACCCGTCCTGCTAAGGGCGGGAGCGAGGGACGGATTAGCTTGGTGGGCAAGCCTCGACACCTGGCTGGAAATCTTCTTGTGATAAAGGGGTTATACGAGCAGCTGGCTCTTTTTTTTTTTTTCCTTTGGAGGAGTAGGATTATTCCGGTAGCATGGGCTTTGCAGACGTGTGAATCATACTATCTTTTCTCTCCCCATGACTGTTCTCACCAGCTGGCTTGCTCTTGTTCGCCCACTAGTCAACATGTCCACATGAGGCTCGCACTGGGAGGACGTCGATGTTCACTGCCATAAAAGCGGCGTGCGTGGCGTTGTTCTGGTTGGGGCAGGATGACGGTGTGATCTAGGTCATCCGGCTTCTGTCACTCTCCTCCATGCCTTGGAACACACTGCCCTATACGGAAGGGTGCGACGTAGTCGGAGAGAATATGCCGTGGTTTCGACGCCCCCGCTGAGCGCAGGTGATACATTTGATTCGATGGAAGTGTAGTATGTGCTAAAAAGGGGGGGCAGTGTGTCTCAAAGTCTAGGTGGCTTCGCAGTCATGCTCAGCCTTGCTGGTCTATCATCGCTGTCGACCTCTGACCGACTGGTGTTCAATTATTGCATCAGAAAGGGATCATCGTCACTGACCATCGTGATCATTGAATGTTGGTAAAGTAGTAGCTCAATCAAACTGGTATTTATTGACCCCCGCGGAGCAGTGCTTGCGAAAAAAGGGGGTCTCAGTATAGTCTCGGTGAGAGGCTGGACTTTTACTTCTTAGGCGCGTTCTCAGGGTTGTACTTATCCTTCCAGATCCTATTCGTGCGGCGGGTTAGCAAAAAAGTGACTGATATCGTGAGGCAGGCCTATAGGAGTACGCTGAGTGCTAAGCAGGTTGTGTGCCCAGCTGACGCGTGCACTCCTGTTGCATCCACCGGATCACCATATTGGCTCACGTACCATGAGTTGCCCAGGGTCTTGCTGCCTGCATTCTCCGCGAGCCTGTAATATTGCGCGGCCTTGAACTGCGCAGCAACATGTCAGCCTCACGATCTGACAATGCAACGACTGGCTCACACCCGCAGACGCATTGCTGCCCAACCTCGATCATTCATGCGGAGAGGTATGCGGCAGCGCGAAAGAGCACGTCGGGGATTGCATGGGGAGATTTCCCCGTGATTCGGATGTGTGTGCACTTACCTTGTCCTTTTTGCAGCCATACCCTTCAAGATAGCACCAAGCAATTTCGTTCATGGCGTCTTCGCAGGTCAGCTCATCGCTCAGATGACAGTCTTCGGTCACAGTCAAGACGTACCTGTATCTCCTAGATTGGCTGCAGTTTCGTAGTACCGCTGCGCGGCAACGGCGTCCTTCTCGATGCCCCAGCCGTGGCGGAAGCAGTTTGCCAGCTCGAAGATGGCGAGCACCAACTCGCCCTTGGCGGCACCACCCTTCGTCATGCCTGCCTGCAAAGCAAGTTGCTCGATAGACGCGGCGTTGGACGCGGCCGCCGTCAGATGACGCACTGCACCCGCCGGGTCTGGCGCACAGCCCCAGCCATGCCTACAACCTGTCAGCCCAGAACTTGAGGGGAACAGAACCGATGAGCCTCCTACCTCAATGCAAGTCCGTACAGCACCTGGCTGAGCGGATTGTTTGCCCCGTTGGGATCGGCCAGTCGCTCAAACATCCTCGTTGACTGTGTTAGATCGCCAGCCTCATGCAATCTGATGGCCTCTTGTATGTCCGCGTCAATTTCCTGAGAAGTCTGAGGTCGACTCCGAGGACTCGACCGCTGCTGTTGCGCTTGTAGCTCGTCCAACCGCCCAGGGGTCACACTGCTCTTGCGTCTGGTCCTCCCACTATCACTAGGTGTCTGGGGCCCACTCCGAGCCAGCTCGTTCTGTCCTGCTAGCATCGTCGCGCGTCTCTCCCACTCCATGTCATCAACGTCGCCCACGGGGGTGCGTATCTCCGGCAGGTCCTCCGGCACACTGTCCGACGTATCATGCTCGCGGCCGCCGAGATGCAGTCGTTGCGACAGTCGGCGGCCTGCCGAGTCTCTGTGGGCGTGTTTCTCACTGTTGCTAACTTGTGACGAGGCGGACGCACTGCGCGAGCGACTGCGCGGCCGAAAGACGTCGAGACTCCTACGGGCTATGTTGGGTCCTTTGGCAGCGAGGTGTGTCTGGTTGTCATTGGCAGCTGAAGGTTCGATCACATCTTGGGGGACGGTGTCGGTGCGCATTAGCACGAGCTCGGGGATGTTGGCATTCTGGTACTGCTGCTGGTGCTCGTCGCGGGCGTTGATGTCGTCCTTTTTCTTGAGCATGTCGCGGAGACCCATCTTGGCGATGTGCGCAGCCCTATGGAGAGTCGCACGCTACGGGGTGGAGCGAAGTTGTATGATGGAGCCGACGATTGTATAAACGTACCGGCAAGTGAAGATTGATATGTGACTACTCCATCAAATGCCAGGGACAAAGACGTTGCAACGTAGCGGCCCAGTGACTGGAGGGGCGAGGCTGATCAACCAGGCGCAGCACCTCAGCGTCCAGTCCGTTTCTTGCGCCAGTGGTCGTGCCCGTGCGTTTCATCCACAGTCCTGCGCGGCTAGCGGCGCCGCCAGTCGAATTGTTGCTACGTAGTGTCAGTATCGCCAATTCCATGTCCGTCGGGCCATCATTCGACCAGAGCTGAGTCCAGGTCGTCCATGGGCGATCTTGTGAGGGGACTGATGAGGTTGGAACTTGGAAGGAGGGGGTCTTCAACCCTGGACCCAAATATAGCACAGGCCGCGATGACTTGCAAAGCACTTCAAGGTAAGGTACTCTTTCACAATATTGATATATTTTCTCCATAGGTACGCAACGCTACTAAGACTGAACTACTTTCTTTCTCTCTTTCTCTTTTCTCTGCTCTTCTTTCTTGACTTCTTTCTTGCTTGCGTATCGTTTTCATCCCTCTGCTCCTCGCGCGTGGATATCTTGGAAAACGTAACTATCAGGGCGACGACGCGACCCTTGGCAAAGTGGTTGCAATGCAATGCAATGCAATGCAATGGCACAGACTGAAGGCGCTAGAACAAAGCCCTGGGCCTTCGGGTAATTTCCTAAGGTTAGCTCACAGACGGATAAAGTCCTGTCGATCTTCAATCTCCGAGGCATCAGAGTCCGCGTCAATAAACTCGGCCACGGCATCAGAGTCAATATCATCCGAGCCGGCGTCATCATCGTCGCTGGACACATCGTCCATTTCGTCGTCGGGCTTTTGTTGCCCTCGCATAAGGCTGGCGCGCTCCCGGTGCGGAAGCTTGCACCCCTTGTGCTTACAACGACCAGTGTTGCTAAAGTCGGGACACTCAAAGACGTGGCGCTCTGTGCACTCAGCGCCCTTATCGCAATAGCCGAAGAAACCAAAAGCATTGCAAACAGGGGCATTCAGGGTGGCTTTGGAATGCGTAAAGGGACACTCAGCCTTGGTGCAATTGCCTTTGGCGTAATGCACGCAGTTCGGTACACGCTCAGGAGACATCTCGTGTGATAGATCACACGCGTCTCCGTTGGCGCAGCGCCCTTCACGGAGAAACTCTTTGCAGAGCGCAACCTTGTTCGGGTCGTGTGTATATCGACATAATGGCCCTTTGGGGCATGAACCTAGAAACGAGTCAGCACGTGAACAACTCACCGCTTCTGTGGCGTGCGGGCCCCCTGATCATGGGCGTGATAAGCAATTACCAGACGAAGAGAAGATCTTGCACGGCGTGTCAGTCTTCTTGACTTTGCCGGACCGGCTATTCAACGTTAGTGTGTTCTGCGTGCCAGCCGGGCACACGCACCGGTGGTCCTGGACGATCCTGTTGGCAACGAGGTTACCAGTCTTTGTCCTGAAAAACTTGACCCCTGCAATGGTGGTGCTTTTGGGGGTTGGCGCGAGGTTGGACGTATCTGGGACTCGCGCTAGTTTCTTGCCGCCATCGAGAACTTGGAAGCGGATTCCTTCCACGGTAAGCTCGTTCGGGACTGCTGTAGGGTTGCTGTGCCTATTCTTCGTCCCGGTAAGCGCCTGCTGGTGCTTGTAAAAGTTATTGAACCGCGTCCTCTCCCCGCTGCGTTTACTGTCGACCTTCTTTCTTCGTGTCTCCTCGATAGCCTTGGCGCGCGACTCTTTATCCTTCTCAAACACGTTCTGGTTGACGATCTGTCGATGGCGATCATTCCTGGCCACCCAACCGGAGGAGTTCGACGCTGAACTGTCACCGGCCTGATCTTCGCCTGACCTGTTGAAGGTAAGCGTGCGATGGCGGTATGGCTGTGAGCGGTAGCCTCCCCGGCCTCTTGGTGGATAGGGTGCGCTTGATTGCCGGTATGTGTTGTCTGTACGTATTCTTAGTGATTGCCTGTATATGGGAGCCGTGAAACATACGTCGATGGGTCGGTGCATGAGGTGCTGAGTGCTGTGTCGCTGCTTGACGGTTCTTGTGGCGATTGATTTGGCCTGGATACGTCAGTTACATTGAACGCGCGCCATTCTCGTAAATTCAGGAGCGCATACCCGCAAGTTCCCCGATCCGAGCGAGGAGCTCCTGGTCTTCGTTAGACATGTTGTGTTATCCGGTCGACGACGTTTTTGAGTGTGAAAGAGGAAAGTGAATCAAGAATTGCAATGATGTGTTGGTCGTCCCATCTTCGCAGCCGGATGGGAGAAGGCCGCGGAAATAGCTTAGTAATGGGCTCTGATGCGTGTGATTGGTGCGCTCACCTGCTCATGAGCTTTGGTCCCTCAAGTCGACAAGGCTGAGGACTGCACCGCCAAAGGGTTTGTCGAATCACTAGATCGTTTGCCTAGCATATTCATTCAATTGCAAACAAATTTCAGCTTCGAATCACCTCACCGTCAAGTCGCGTATCGTATTTCACATCTAGTGCACCAAGACTACAGTTTCTCCAACCATCGAGCGAAGGATATCCAACAGCGACCGGCGCGCCTCGCCATCATGACTTCCTGGGAACTGCTCAACCCCGAGGCCGAATCAGAATTACACAAAGATCGTCTCCTTCTCGTCGAGCAACGGCCGTTCCAGCGCATACCGAAATGCATCTCCCAATTACCTTCCTTGATCACGCCTCAGCCCAGTCTCCAGTCGTCGCGAACCGCGCAGCAAATCAAGGAAGACTTCACCCTAGACTTTGCGCACTTTGACAGCTCCATCTTGCGACTACAATTCCTCCACGAGGCGAATGTACGGGAGAGAGAACGCTATGCCGAAGATGAAGAGAGGATCAAGAAGGAGTGCGACCAGGCGAGAGAGACAAATGGCGTTCTGAGGGAACAGCTGGAGGGCGCGCGCGCGACACTAGCACAAAGAAAGAAGTTTGACGAGATGGCCGAAAAGATCACCTCGAATCGTCTCCTGCGACCACGCGAGGAGCAGCTCGCGAATCTGCAGAAACTAGAGGAAGAGTGCCGCGAGTTGGAGAAGGAGAGTGAAACATATGCTGTCACATGGCGGGAGCGCCGCGACCAGTTCAACAGGATCATGGATGAGGGCATGATGCTACGAAGGCAGATCCGCGACGAGAAGGAGGAAGTCGACCGACGCGAGGGCATGAACGAAGGGGCAGACGATGAAGGCGCCATTACACCTCGACCAGAACAGGGCGGTACCAGCACACCTGGTCCTGAGAGTGACGGCCAAGCCAAAGAGGGGGGCGACACGCCCATGCCGACTGGGGCCTCCAACGCGCCTACACCTGCGGTGGAGGCCGGCAATGGTAGCAGCCACCTGCACCCTGGTGACGGTCTCACCGGTCAATCTTTCCAGCACGGCAGTAGGCACGTTAGTCGCGAGCCCACACCGCTACGGCAAGAAGTCGAGGACGAAGAGATGGACGAGCCCAAGGAATCCGGCAACGCGACAGAGGTGGGGACACCGCGGGTTGCTGTTGATCCTCCCAATGACAAGATGGAGGTTGACTGATGCATGACACAATATGGCGTTTGGCGTATCCCTGTACAGTTGGAGTAGTTATTGCACCCTTTGATCGATTCAAGGATAAATCATGAGACCAGGTTCCCAGGCGGACAAGTTCTTGGTATCCCGTCGCGTGTCATGTCCCTAGCTGTGGTAGTTGTACGATCAGTTGATGGCAGCTTTGGCCTGTCCAAGCACTGCCTTTGCCTGCTCGATTTCCGCCTCGGGGCCACCCTCTGCCTCTTTGAGCGCAATCTGCTCCTCCAGCCTTGTCACGGCATCCTCAACCTTTTGCTTCAGAGGTCCAAACACAGCCTTGGTCTGCTCGGCCGCAGTTCGCTAGTTGGCGGTCAGCTGTTGCCGCCACACAAACAAGGCACATCACGGGCTCTTACTTCCTGCTTGAGCATGAATTCTTGGTTTTCGTCAGATGCGACTGCTCCACTGTTGATCTTCTCTTCCAGGATCTTGATCTTGGCTTCCTGGTCAACGAGCTCTTTGTGGTAGGTAATCTCCTCCTTCAACAAGCGAAGGACAGAGCTCGTGGCAATGGTGAGTTGCGAGGGGGCAGGCATCGTGACGACTGTTCAAAGAAGAGTTTGTGCAGGGTGAGTGTTGTGAAAGTGAAGCTTGATGTTCTGGGTGTGCTCTGGAGAAGCGAAGTTGCTGTTCCCTCAATCCGAAGTCTACAAATGAGATCACTGGCATTTTTGGTGGGGTCACCTCATGCCCGCCGCCATTCACACTGGGTCGCTCTCACGCGTCAAGCTCGCGTGACGGGGTAATTAAGTATTCAGTACCAGGTAGTAGGTTGGATTTGGAGACAATCAGTAACGAAAATGTGTATCATTGACGCTCAGAAAGAATACCATGAGGTAGGTATTCGCCAACACTTGGGCATCCTACCATCACTACGCTATCACAACCAAGAGCCTCCTCAACTTCAGTCATACAAACCACACACAAGTTCCTTTTCCTATCCCTTTACCTTTCTTGCCGCACAAAGTCCAGTGGTATCATCGTAATCCCTCCAACGCCAGTGGATCAATCCAAATCAAAGTGCAATACCCGCCGCGCCGTACCCAAAAGGGGGCATGTTAAAACGCAAGCACCAGCCAGAAGCCAGTGTCTACCATGACAACGAAACAGTATCGAAACGCAAACACGGACGATTTATGCCCCGACAGCCACAGCGGAAGCACCCATTGGAGCCTGGTCCATGGCGTCTCCTTCTTCCTCTTGGGCGCCGATCTCGCCGCCAGCTTCCCGCTCAGCCCATTCACCCCAGAGGCCGCGCTTCCCGCGCACGCGAATGGGCGCCCCCATCTCCTCTCCCTGCTCCACCTTGATAGCATCCTTTGTAGCCAAGACAAGGCACTCAAAGAACATCTTCGTAGCTTCGGCCTTGCTTGTGCGCTTCTCAGGTAGCAACTCCTGGAAGACCACGATGTTGTTCTTCCTGGCCTCTTCATTGTCCGCGGCCTCATCACCAAACAGGTCGCGCAGAATGTGCACCGCGTGCTTAGTGCCGAGGGAGATGGGACCGCTGTTGGCGGGGTAAACAGTCGGGGCAACGGTGTCGTCAAAGTTGGGCAAGACTGTGTTATCGTCGGCGTCGTCATCGGCGATGCGCAACATGGTGCCGTCCTCAGCGACACTTTGGTCGCCAACAGCGTTGGGTGCGATGATCGTATCCTCGTCTTCGTCCAACTCGATGCGTGGCGATTTGGGGTTGCCTTGTTCGCTCTCCACGTCCGCAACACCACTGTCGCGCTTGCGCTTGAGCTCGGGAGCGCCTTGGAGGGCCTCCAGCGACAGCAGGCTGCGCAATTCCGGAGCCCAGCCGTCGCTACGTCCATCAAGCAAGATAGACGAAACGAATCCACCAGACTTCTGCATATCCATCAAAGCGAGCAAGTACGGATCACTAGGCAAGAACGAGGTATCGCGTGTGATGTTGGAGCGGTCGACCTGTTGCTGCTTGAAGTGAGCATTCGAAAGCGAAGTCTCGTCATCCGGAAGCAGCACCCGTTGCTTTCTGGCGCGGTTGGCGGGACGGCGGACGAGTGTGGTCTCAGTCTCGTCTGCGGGCTCATAGAGGTCCGTCTGGCGGTTGGTGAAAGTAATTTCAGCGTCCCTAGCCATGTCCTCGTCAATGTCAGAGAGGGGGCTCTCCGAAATGCGAGCACGGTCGAGTTCGGGCACAGCGTTCAGCTCAGGAAGAGCAGACTGATCATCCGCATTGAATCGGAAATCGTCATCACCCATGGCAATGTCGCCCTCAGCATCAGCTATGCGCACACCATCCGATGGGAAGTCGGCAGCCATGGATTGATCCCTGCCTTTCAGTGGCCCGTCAAAGTCGCTGAAGAGATCATCTTCCACAGCGCGTGGTGCGGGCGCGTCTCGACCGACTTCGACACTCTGCATTGTGGGACCTTCGGGATCAAGTCCAAAATCCAGGTCCAGATCCAAATCGTCCAGGTTGCCGAGGTTCTGCTCGTTAAGAGGATTGCCTTGCAAGAATTGACTGTTGTCAAAGTCCTCCTGCATGAGCGTGTCGCGATTGTTGTTGTTGCGGCCTTTGCGTCCCACAGGCGCGGGGGTGAGCTCGGCCGTGGGACCCATCAGCCATGATGCATCGGGTGGAGGGGGGAGGTCCAAGTTATCGAAGGTTGTTAAGCGATCAGGTAGCAAGAGTGACTCCTTGTTCCCGGCCTGCATGCTCGACGTCATATCGTTGTTGCCAGTAGAACGAAAAGCCTAGACTGTGTCAGCATGGTCCCTTTCGCGCGCACGATCCACGTACCAGTTTAATCTTCATCATCGCCTCGTTGCAATCGTCCAACAGGTAGCGCGTTTTGCGCTGGTGAATTCTGACAACGCCAATCATGAGCTGAGAGCTGAGGCGCAAAGCAAATGGCGCATGTGAGGGGCGCATGATCTCCTCCACGCTCTGTTTAACATTGGACTGCAGTACAGCATTCTTGGACAGCTTGCGCTCTGTCGAGTACGATGTCCACACGCGGGCAAGAGACCCGTTGGTCTTGAGGAGATCCCCAGACCAGAACATGATGGCTCTGGGTGACGCTACGACGCGTCAAGTCGGTGTTGTCGGTGTCGTGAAGCAAGTGGCCGATGAATGGAAGCACGCTCAAGCAAGACTGGTTTGTCGAAGTGGTGTTGCACTCGGTTCGACGCGCAGGTGGTAGGTGTCGTCGAGGTAAACAGACAGGCGCGTGCTGAGGAGTGGGTCGAACACAGTGCAGGCGTTGACGCGCTTCGTCTGATAAATAATTGCGCAGGGTGTAACGACCAGCAAATTATAGCGCCGAAGCTAGTCAATACGAGTGTGATTGTTTTCAAGATTATCCAAGTCGCGGTTTGTTAGAAATGAACGTGACAGACGGCGTTGATGGTTTAGGCTGGGATTGGGGAGCGTGCAGAAATGGAAAGAATGGATGTAGCTGAAGCTGGAGGGGGGCCCTTCGTGACCTGGTTGACGAAGGCGCGGCTTGGCACGTCTGGCCTGTGCCAAAATGTCGTGGCTGGGAAACGGGAGCAGGCTGACCAATCACAGTCGTGGCGGCTGCCAACATCTGGCGACGGACCTAGCCAATTACGGTTAGTGCAGTGGCTGACTTCGGAACAGAGCTATCTCCGCTTCCGTCATCTCACTGAGATACGCCCCAAGATGGCACCTTTACTAGCTCGCACCGTTGATCTTGGGTCTCGAGGTCCGCCAAAATGATCACCACCAGTCCACACTGCATGCTACCAGATGGGGCGAGCGATATTGTATGGTTTCCGTAGATGTCTATAGATCAATAGATTTGTCTCTCTTGCTTCAATGGCAGCTACATTGAAGACAACGTGCACAACTGTGTGGATTTCTTCAATTCAATGGCTTCAGTAAGGTAGCCTGAGAAATGGTTCAAAAACTCACATCAGAAGAAACACATTGTAATTATATGCGAAAGTATGCCACAAAGCATCAACGTCATCTCTAAATACAGTACACAACCCGCGTGCTGGGCACCCGGTCGATCGACAAGGCTGTAGTTCAGCCACAGGATCTCTGGACATTTGCGCCACAAGCGCGGATCGCCTCCCGCAGAATAGCGCGTATTCCCACTTCCCAGAATTCCGTCCGCTGGATTTGGTACTTGGGGCAGGGAAGCCAGCTTGGCTTTTGCAACACCAATTTTCTCCATCAAGTCTGCTTTAACGAGCAGTTGCTGTCGTTCTTTACATGAGGCGCGGGAACCTGAGCGCTGTTTTCCCACAAACCCCCAACGCGAACGGTAATTGAACACGGCACTCTCTCGACACCCACGTATCACTCGCCGTTCGATGCTCATACCTGCGGCGCACGTTTGAAGCTTGCCAACATGCAGCTGCCATGGGCAGGGCATGACAATCATGCAGCTCTCCTCCCTACGGCCAGTATACCGACCATAAGCGGTCTGACTGGCGAGCCATCCGATACCGAGAAACCTCCAACGCGACCTCGCCACGTCAGGACCACGTCGACGCAGGCTCGGGTATGGCCTGCCAAATGTTGAAACAACAATGGATGTATAGTCTGACAGTATGAGCAGAGTCTAGCAGATGAATTCTCCTACATGACGCCTAGCGAGGCGGCTGCCCGGCTTCGAACCTCCCTATCACAGGGACTTCATCCGAACGATGCTCTAAAGCGACTTGGCGAATACGGCCCGAACGAGATTCCCCATGACCCCCCCGAACCTATATGGTTGCGCTTCGTCAAGCAGTTCCAAGAGCCTTTGATTCTACTTCTCCTGGCGTCTGCTGGTACGTCGCTCTTGCTAGGCAATACCGACGATGCCCTCAGCATCGCGGTCGCAGTGACCATTGTGGTCTCTGTGGGATTTGTTCAGGAATATCGGTCCGAGAAGTCTATCGAGGCGCTCAACCACCTCGTACCGAATCACGCCCATCTTGTTCGGGGACCTGGAAGCAAGTCAGCGAGCATGGCGCGAACGCCAACGTGGCCTCCACCAAGCGAAGAGCGCGCCCCTACGCCGGGAACCACAACGCCTGTGGAGGCAGTACTCGATTCTGCCTCGTCAAAGGTCATGGCCTCGCAACTGGTGCCCGGGGACTTGGTGTTATTCACAACGGGTGACCGCATTCCGGCCGATATACGTGTTACCAAGGCTTCGGATCTCTCCATCGACGCGTCCAACCTGACGGGCGAGACTGAGCCGGTCTGCATCGGCTCAGAGGCTCGCACCCGCAATGTGAGCTCCTATGGGCTCATACCACAACCGCCAAGTAAAGCAGCACTTGCGCCCGGGGATTCTCGTGCTGGTGCTTCGGAGCCTGACCAGAACGTGGTTGCCATGGGAACTTTGGTGAAGTCGGGGCATGGTCAGGGTATAGTGTTTGCGACTGGTGGCCACACGCACTTTGGCACAATTGCCGCGAGTGTATCGGGCACCGAAAGCCCACGGTCGCCTCTACAGCTTTCCATGGATGATCTGGGTTCGCAGTTGAGCAAAGCTTCTTTCGTGGTCATTGGACTGATCTCCCTTGTCGGCTGGTTGCAGGGGAAGAAGCTGCTCGAAATCTTCACCATCTCGATATCACTGGCCGTGGCTGCCATCCCTGAAGGTTTACCGATCATCGTCACGGTCACGCTGGCTCTGGGTGTCCATCGCATGGCTAAGCTCAATGCGATTGTACGCCGGATGCCCAAGGTTGAGACTTTGGGATCAGTCAACGTTGTTTGCACTGATAAAACTGGAACGTTGACGACAAATCACATGACGACTGCCAAAATCTGGTACTTTGGCGCACAGGATGCCCTCGATGTCCAGTCAGACGACGAAGACACTGAAGAGGAGCCTACAGCCGCCTCGCTGCGCATTATGCGCATTGGAAACATTGCAAACAATGCAAGACTCGGTCAGAAGTTTACGGAGAACGGCGCAGCTACGAACGCTGTTCTTTCTTCAACTATGGGTCGGGGCGATGCCAATATGCATACGAGATGGGTCGGCCAGCCCACGGATGTAGCCATGCTCGACCTTCTAGACCGATTCAAGGAGCACGATGTACGCGACTCGATTGGCCCTCGCGTGCTCGAGACGCCTTTCAGCTCTGAGCGGAAGTACATGGGAGTAGTCATCGGCGGCGACTCGAAGAACGATAGGGAGTTTGCATACATGAAGGGCTCGATCGAGAAGGTCATTGCTGCTTGCGACACGTACCTGGACAAGGATGGGCGAGAGATCGTACTGGACGCGTCTCGCCGCAACGATGCCATGCAGGCTGCAGAGGCCATGGCGGTCAAGGGACTCCGAGTCATTGCCTTTGCGAGCGGCCATGTTAGATGGTCGAAGAACAAGTCGAACCGCAATGGCACCCCTAGCGCAGAAGCAGCAATTCCGCGTGGCGAAGATGTGTACAAGGGACTGACGTTTGCTGGTCTCGTGGGAATGAGGGACCCGCCTCGCCCGGGCGTGGGCCGCTCGATCAGGAGGTTGATGAGAGGAGGAGTCAAGGTCATCATGATCACTGGCGATGCCGAGACCACAGCCCTTGCCATTGGCAAGCAGCTAGGCATGAACGTGGCTACGCCGAGCGCCCACACCAAAGGGCAGTCAACTGTGCGGTCTGTCATGAGTGGTGATGAGGTTGACGAGTTGTCCGAGTTCGACCTGGCTCAAGCCATGGAGCACACGACCATCTTTGCGCGAACCAATCCAGACCATAAGCTCAAGATCATCCGCGCTCTGCAGTCAAGGGGCGATATTGTCGCAATGACTGGCGATGGTGTCAACGACGCTCCGGCTTTGAAAAAAGCAGACATTGGTATAGCAATGGGACGCAACGGCACTGATGTTGCCAAGGAGGCTGCGGACATGATCCTCACAGATGACGACTTTTCAACCATTTTGCGAGCCATTGAAGAGGGCAAAGGCATCTTCAACAACATCCAGAACTTCTTGACGTTCCAGTTGAGCACAAGCGCAGCTAGTTTGTCGCTGGTCTTCCTGTGCACATGTTTTGGTTTCAAGAATCCGCTTAACGCCATGCAGATTCTTTGGATCAGTGAGTACTTGTGGTTTCTGATGTCGAATCGTGCTAATTTCAACCCAGATATCATTATGGACGGCCCTCCAGCTCAGTCTCTGGGAGTCGAAAGGGTCGACCCTGATGTCATGAACAAGCCGCCACGCAAGCGCAATGACCCTGTCTTGACCGAGGCCCTGATTAAACGAGTGCTGACTTCCGCTACGATTATCATGCTCGGCACCATGCTTGTCTACCTTCGGGAGATGCGCGACGGCGAGGTAACGAAACGCGACACCACCATGACCTTTACGTGTTTCGTCTTCTTTGACATGTTCAATGCGTTAGCATGTCGATCAGAGTCGAAATCAGTACTGCGCGGAGAGGTCGGTCTGACCTCGAACAACCTTTTCGACTGGGCAGTGTCGCTCAGCGTCATTTGTCAGTTGCTGGTCATTTATTTCCCATGGCTACAGTCCACGTTCCAGACAGAGGGCGTTGGATTTTTCGACCTGGTCAGACTCGTGTTCCTGTGCAGCACGGTATTTTGGGCGGATGAATTGCGCAAGTATCTCAAGTACGGCGCGGCGCGGGTTACTGGCGGATATAGTCAGGCAGTATAGATGTGTATAGATGATATTACGTACCGTCCATGTTTATCTGGAAAGTTTGACACTATGCACATTGTAGCCACATGTTTTCAACTGGCGCTGGTCTGGTATGAAAAGGGGCTTGTCAGATAAGCCACAACAACACGCAGGATAGATCAAATGAGTCCCCTAGAACGTCTGACACCTCTTAACAATCATGCGATCATTTCGAATTTTTATCCCACCTAGTGCCTATTCAATTGATCGGAAACATTACGCCCGATGGTCGTGGCTTGGGACCTTCGACTGGTGTTCGGCCTCGACACAGGGTAGTCTAAACCCACCACCGCAACGCCACCTGGTCAAGCAACAGTGACAGCCTCAAGCTGCCAGACCACAATCCACTCCTAACGCTTCCACGAATCCGACCACGACCACTGAAGACTACGGCGCTGAGCCAGGCAGCTATGCTCTTCCCAGTACAGTTTGCCTCCCGCCAATGTCTGCCCATTCCTACGGCGCCGCCCCTCACGACAATGGCATTGTCGCAACAGCAGCAGCAGCTCCCGCCGCCATAGCGAATGCCACCTCTGAAGTCGAACTCCGCGCTGCCCTATCAGACCTTCATGCCCGCGAAACAACGATCACGAAACGACTCGATGGCTTGGTATCCTCGCAGGCGAACCTCTCGCGGGACTTGGGCCGGCTGGACCTTCTCAGAGCTGGCCTGAGTGCGCAGGTCATTGCCGCAAGGAGCATCAGCAATGACATGCTCTCGACGGCCGCCGATACGGCGGGCAGGCTCAGCAATCGGGTCAAAGAGTTGGATCTGGAGAAGAGTCGGGTGGAGGATACCCTGCGTGTCGTCGAGCAGGTCGCGGAGCTCAAGGCCTGTGTGCATGGCGTGGTAGGCTCCATGGGCGCACCGCAAGATTGGGAGGCAGCAGCCGGCTACCTGGATCGTGCGTCCCGCGTGCCCGAGGAGATTGCGCGGGGAGCCTTCGCGGCCAGCATCGTACCCAATGTGGAGGTTCCGGATGCTCCCTGGGTGACGCTCGAGAACAGCAGGGAGAGCCTGTGCGGGCTGTTTCTCAGAGAGTTTGAGAAGGCGGCAAGCGAAGGCGACGGAACCAAGGTGACGAGATTCTTCAAGCTGTTCCCCCTGATTGGGCGTGCCGACGTTGGCCTGGATGTCTATGGGCGCTACGTCTGCCAGGGCGTTGCCGGGACGGCGAGGGCGACGCTCAAGGACGGCTTTGGCGGCAGCGTGCGCAAGGAGGGCCTTTTCTATGCAAACGCGCTGACCAAGCTGTTTGAGCACATTGCGCAGATCGTGGAGGGTCACGGCGGCCTTGTGGAGCGCCACTACGGCTCCGGCAAGATGGTGCGCGTGATAGAGCGTCTGCAGATGGAGGCCGATGTCCAGGGCGGCATCATCCTCGACACCTGGAGCGATGAAAGGAATATTGACAGGAAGCTGACCGACGTCAAAAGCTATCCCTTCTCATTCCTTGTCCAAAGCTTTCTACCACAACCACCCAAGGGCGCCACACCCAGAGTGAACTCACCAGCTGTGGGCGCAGGGGCGAACGTTCGAAGCAGCGAGGACGAAGGTGTCAATATGAAGGAGGTGGATGGGTTGCTCAATGAGATTGCCATTATGCTTGGGCGATGGTCATTATACACAAGATTCCTCGCAGGCAAATGCATCGTAAGTTTGCCAGCCAGAAGTTGATTGAGCTCTGTCACTGATGCCACGCAGCCCACACACACAGCAGAAGATCCCACTTTGACCGTGCCGGAGGTCCTGATTAAGTCAGCGCTATACCGCAAAGTCACGGGCAAGCTCGTCAGCCCGTACAATGTCATGTCGACATTCTTCTTCCGCCGATCAGTCGAGAAGGCGTTCCAGCTCGACGAGTACCCTAGTGGGTTGTCACTCAGTCTCAACAGACCCATTGACGGCAATGCGCCTTTTATTATCCTGGCAGTGGACGATGTCATGTACATTGTCAATGCAGTCATTCAAAAATCGATATCAACCTCCCAGAGAGACATCATTGCCTCTGTCGTCCCTACCATCGGGAGGGTTCTCAGTTCGGATTTCGTGGGTATGATCCAACGCAAGATGCGAGACGAGTCGTACCCCAAGCCTATCGTTCAGGGAGGATTTCCACCGGAAGACAAGATCATACAATTTATTGTGTTGATCAACAGTCTGGACATGGCCAACGAATATCTGACGAGAATCATACAAGGAGGTCTAGGCGTCAATGACGGCGCAGTAAATGGTGTCCCGACGCAGGGTCCCTTGAAAGACGCCTTTCCGTTCGAAAGGGACGTCGCATTTGTCGCCAATGCGCTCAGCACACTCGAGTCAACCTTTGTGGCCAAAACTACCGAACTACTCAACGAGGGAATCCAGGTACTATTCAACCAGGTTGTCAAGCTGCGTTTGCGGCCTGTTCTTACGGATACATTCCGCGATGCGGACTACACTCTCGTGGAAGACGAGATTGCCGAGCTGGCCCGCCAGAATGACGAGGACGAGGATGAATACTTGGCACAGGTACCTCGCCGCTTCGAGCACGGATGGGATCTGCTTATGAAGTCGATCGCCCGTCTGATGACGCCTGCCACATTCAGCAGTCTGCTGGACCTTACGGCCCGCTATCTCTCCAAGGTTCTGGAGAAGAGGATATTGAGCCCCTCGGCAAGGACCAACCCGTACGGAGCCATACGTATGGAACGAGACTTTACAGCCATCGTCAACACAGTATCTGGGGGCGACTATGTGGTCAGAGAGGTGTTTGCCAAAGTGACGCAGCTACTCATGGTGGCGAACATGGAAGACGATGAGTGGGAGGAAATTCAAGAGCTAGGCGATGAAGATGGCATTGACTGGGTCTTGACAGAGGATGAAAGGAAAAAGGCGCGGAGTTTGGTCAGGATATTGTAGCGCCTGATACACGTCATTCAAGATAGATCAGCATATATGTCATGTCATTATGCAAAACAATCCACAAGGCAAATCCGATGTGATCACATATGTGACTGGCATCGAGAACTGCGTGTAATGCAATCTCAAGGTGTTGGGCCAACTTGGGCGTAGGTCGACTCTAGAATATCGACTTTGGCTCCGATTGCCGCTCTTCTCTCGCAGAACCAAAGTCTACATCATGCACTCTCCACTCCCCCATCACCGTGACTAAGTCCTCACATGCCGCAGGCCCTGCATCTGGATCTGATAATTTTGCTGCAAATATTTCTCATGAGTCAGATTAGACGCCTCACCCACCCTTGCCAACTCATTCCTCAATTAACCTCATCGTTGCGTGGAGGCTCGTCACTTCGCCAGCCATACACTCTGAAATTTTCACCAAGTCACCAACATTGCGGAAATAGCTATCTCCCCATACCATCCAGCTTGCAATCTCGCCGAGGATACAGCTGCGCAATGGAAACCCGAATAGTCAAGGTCTCAACGAGGCAGCCTATTGGGCATTTCACCAGCCTCCAGGGACCAGAACGCCTTGAGACCTTCCAAGTCGACACAGCACACGAGGCATACCCTGCCATCGAGGAGGCTGCTACACATCTCCGGGAACGTGATACACCTGTGGCCTTTCCTACCGAAACAGTATATGGCCTGGGGGCTGATGCCACGAGAAGCGCGAGTGTTCGAGGGATATACGCGGCCAAGAACCGACCTGCAGACAATCCTCTCATAGTTCATGTCTCGGACCTGGACATGTTGAGGAGTTATCTTGGTGGAGAGGACATACCGGAAAAGTACCAACCGTTGATCGAGAGATTTTGGCCAGGTCCGCTGACCATGCTGATGCCCAACTCGGATAACTCGAGACTCGCCCCGGAAGTGACTGCAGGGTTGAAGTCGTTTGGGGCGCGGATGCCATCCACAAGTCTGGCGTTGTCACTGATCAAGTTGACGGGGCGACCCCTTGCTGCGCCCTCAGCCAATGCTTCCACGAAACCTTCACCAACGATGGCACAACACGTCAAGTACGACTTGGACGGGAGGATAGAGCTCATCCTTGATGGAGGCCCCTGTGAGGTTGGCGTGGAGAGCACAGTCGTCGACGGGCTTTGCGACCCGCCTGCGCTGCTTCGGCCAGGCGGCATAGGCATCGACGAGTTGAGGAAATGTCCTGGATGGGAGAATGTGGTCAAGGCCTACAAAGACCAAGGGCACGATGGAAAGACGGCACCAAGAGCCCCTGGCATGAAGTATAAGCACTACAGTCCCAAGGCGAGAGTCATACTCTACGAGGCTTCATGCGCAGATGGCGCGGAGGGGATTACCGCAGCAGATGCAGAGCGGGCACTCTCGCCCGAGGAAGGTGTCGCAGATACTTGCAATGCGAACGTGATGCGCAAGGTGGGCGTCATTCGGACCAAAAGATGGAGACAGGCGGCTGGCTTGCACAGTAACAAGCTTGCCCCAGCAGCGTCGACGGACGATGCTCGAGATGGGGACGATCAACAGCCCGGCACATCGTATCAGGTGCTCCAAGGTGAACTGATCAGCGCAAGTGGTGAGGTCCGCGGAGGCCTGCTCGACATCGACTTGGGCAGGGAAACGCGCGGTATTGCCCAGGGGCTTTTCTCAGCGCTGCGAGAGCTGGATCAGCTCGGGGCCGCCATAATATTCGTGGATGGCATAGACGATGAGCTCGACATTGCAGGCGCAGTGATGAACCGCCTCCGCAAGGCGGCCTCCGAAATTAGAGTATAGAAACTCTCATCAATAGACTCATGATACCCGTTAAACACCCCTGACTCTAAGTGGTTCACCGTTTCTGCCAGGCGCTATGTGAAGACAACGACCCAATCTCCCCAACCGATTCTGAATCCCCTTTACAGACCCTGTCGCAACCAATCCGCCAGCTTGGACTTTCCGAGTTGCGCCAAGTTGTTGACGCCCTGTTCGCTGAGATCGATGCGGCCGAGCGGTACGTCCTGGGTGGGCGCTTTGCTGACTCTCTGCACGATAATAGTCGGGTCGGTCTCGAGGATGATGCCGTCGTCGACGATCTCGTCAATGGCGAGGGAGACAAGGTCGTAGTTCTCGATAATCGTCCTCTTGTCCACGGATTGCCTGCTACAGTCAGCCAAAGCTCGCAACCCCGAATGAGCTCTACACACTTGAACAGGAGATGTAGCGAGTCCCTTAGCGCCAGTGTGGTGTTGTACAGAAGAATCTCGTTCTCGTCCACACTGCCAATCACGTAGATCATGACATCCGACTCGAGCTTGTAGAGGACAATTCGATTGTCGTAGAGGATAATGTCACCATTTTGTTTGCCAGTCTTTTCGATGAGACCCTTCTCAAAGGCTTTTTGTGATTTGGTGTCGGGATAGGGGTTGGTTGAACTGCTGCCAGCTAAAAGAGGACACCTTGATCAGCATCTCGAGGTGCAACCATGGAAGCAGAGGAGCTTACCGCCCGGAGCGCTGTGGGGTGATGAGTAGTACTTCGCGAAAATGCGCGAGCCATCCTCGGAACTGAGGATAAGGATGGCTTGCACCGAGAAAAGGGTCATTCCTGGAGACATGATGGCTTGGGTTGTGTTATTCTTGTTGCAAGCAACAACGCTTCACCAGAGACCGTTCAGATGCACACGCCCGTGGCCCCTCCAAGGGACCGTTGCAGGCAGAGCTCAGCCTCCAGTCCTCTCCTGGCGCCACAACGCCACACTTCAACGGCAATTGACTGGGATTCAGTCGGCGACTGAGTTTCTCCGTCCACCGCTCGCTGAGGTCTCGCGTGCGCACGGGCCACTTGGACTCCAGCCGCAGTATGTATCGCGTCGCGTCAAGCAAGCACTTTACGCGTCTCCACCACTTTACGCGCCTTTCTCTCCCTCCCCTCCCCCCTCGATATCGACATCTGCATGGTGCTAACATCACAAAAAATCGACGTCAAATCTACACGCACGCGATAACAACAATGTCGTCACCGAGCCATCGTCGTGACCGGCGCTCACAATCAGGCACACCTCGTCCCTCAGGTCAGGATGGCACACCGCAGAGTGGACAGCCAGGAGGGCCATCGGCTTCGAGCCCCTTGTTTTTCCAATCCTCGCCGGCGCCACAGAACGATAATGATATCAACATGGTGTCCTCGCCGCTGCGACAAATGAGTAACAGCCAAGACACACAAAGCCAGAACATCATGGCAGCAGCACCAAGCTCGCCTCTGGGGCAGATGACTGCCTCTCAGGAGACGCAGGATGGGCAGAGGACACCGAGAGCTAGAGGCCCAATTCGAGGTGATTAGAACGAGAAACAAATCCTTGGTGATATTTGCTAATGGTCATAGAATCGTCGCCTCTTCACTTCACGTCGAGCCCAGGACGTTCCGTCAGAGATATGCACTCAGACCTACGCAGCGAGACGAGCGGCCTTTTTGTTGGCTCGCAACACGGGACACCCAGGTATAGCCGCGGTGACATTGGCACAGACTACAACTCGACCCCTCGCCAGCCTGCACTGCGACGTGTGCTGCTCGACGGTGATGGCAGGCCATTGCGCGAAGGGGAGCTGCCCACATCAGATGCGCACACCTTCTCCAACCGCGATTACAACACATCGGAAGCGGATATCATGGGTGGCACCGGTGACGGGCTGGTTTGGGGTACCACAATCTCTCTGACAGACAGCATCCGCACCATGGAAGACTTCATCCGCAACTTCAGTCTCAAGTACCGCCTCTATCGCGAGGGCCTCACCGATGAGGAGGTGGCTGATACGCCCTACTCTGATACCAAAATCTACCAAGAAGCTGTCGAGAACATGGTCACCTTGGGTCAAGACCGTCTCTATCTCAACCTACAGGACCTCAACCTATACCCGCCCACGAAGAAGCTGTACCATCAAGCTCAGGTCTACCCAGTCGAGATCATCCCCATCCTTGACCAGGCCGTGAAGAATGCGGCAGTGGAGTTCGCAGCGCTGGAGGACAGCAGGAATACGCAATCTCAGAGCAGTGTGGGACACATTTCGGGCAACACTCGTGAAAGCTCAGAGCCAGCTTTCCCTAGTTCAGATCACCCAGAGGGTCCCGAGACGCCGCGCGCACCACAGACAGTGGAACCCCAGGAGACCCTCAGGGATCAGGTCAACAGGATGTACTTTTACGTGCGTCCTTATGGCATGGAGTCATCGACCAATCTGCGCGATCTGAACCCATCTGGTAAGTCACTCGTTCAACAAGGTGGAGAATCTGGCTAATTGTACAAGACGTCGACAAGTTGGTGTGCATCAAGGGCATGGTTATCCGAGCCACGCCCGTCATCCCTGATATGAAAGACGCCTTCTTCCGCTGCAACGTCTGCAATCATTCAGTCAACGTCGGCCTGGATCGCGGACGAATCCGTGAGCCTACGGTGTGCCCTCGAGTCTCTTGCGCTTCCAAGAACTCGATGCAAATCATCCATAATCGATGCGCGTTCGCAGACAAGCAAGTCATTAAGTTGCAGGAAACGCCAGACGCCGTCCCGCCTGGTCAGACACCTCACTCCGTATCTGTCGTTGCTTACAACGAGCTGGTGGACTTTTGCAAAGCTGGTGATCGTATTGTGGTGACCGGTATCTTCCGTGTCAACCCCATCCGCGTCAACCCACGCCAGAGAGCGCTCAAGAGTGTTCACAAGACATTTGTTGACATGGTGCACTGCAAAAAGGTGGACAGCAAGCGCATGGACGCCGACCCAACAACGTTGGACGTTGATGAAGCGGAAGACAACAGCCAAGAGGAAGGCCTACAACAGGCCCGCAAAGTCACTCCTGAAGAGGAGGCCGAGATCAAGGCTACTGCCGCTAGGCCCGACATCTATGACCTCCTGTCTCGTTCATTGGCACCATCAATCTACGAAATGGACGACGTGAAGAAGGGCATCTTGCTTCAGTTGTTTGGTGGCGCCAACAAGACCTTCGAGAAGGGTGCCAGCCCCAAGTACAGAGGCGACATCAACGTTCTCCTTTGTGGCGATCCTTCGACGTCCAAGTCTCAGATGCTGTCCTATGTTCATAAGATTGCGCCTCGCGGTGTTTACACCAGTGGAAAGGGTTCTTCCGCTGTTGGTCTGACCGCATATGTCACTCGTGACCCAGAAACCCGACAGCTGGTCCTCGAATCTGGTGCGCTCGTCCTGTCTGACGGCGGTGTCTGCTGCATTGATGAGTTTGACAAAATGTCCGACTCCACGCGGTCAGTGCTCCACGAAGTCATGGAGCAGCAGACCGTCTCCGTAGCCAAGGCAGGTATCATCACCACCCTCAATGCCCGCACAAGTATTCTTGCCTCGGCCAACCCGATCGGCAGTCGATACAACCCCGACATGTCGGTACCTCAGAATATCGACCTCCCACCCACCCTCCTCTCGCGTTTCGATCTGATCTACCTCATTCTCGACCGTGTTGATGAGAAAGCGGACAAGCGCCTGGCCAAGCATTTGCTCTCGCTCTACCTCGAAGACAAGCCCGATTCGGCCCCATCAAACAACGACATCCTCTCTGTGGACTTTTTGACACTGTACATTTCCTACGCGCGCTCCAACATTCAACCCAAGATCTCCAAGGAGGCAGCCGAGGAGCTTGTGGAGAGCTACCTCGAGATGCGCGCCCTTGGTCAAGATGTCCGTGCCGCGGATAAGCGTATCACTGCCACAACACGTCAACTGGAGAGCATGATTCGACTGTCTGAAGCTCACGCCAAAATGCGCCTGTCCGACACCGTGACCAAGGACGACGTCCGAGAGGCGTACCGTCTCATCCAAAGCGCGCTCAAGACAGCAGCAACCGATTCCCAGGGACGCATCGACATGAGCCTCCTGACAGAAGGCACAAGTGCTGCGGACAGGAGGCGCCAGGGCGAGATCAAGGACGCCTTGCTGAAGCTCCTCGACGACATGACCTCGGGCGGCAACTCTGTTCGCTGGGGCGATGTGGCTAGGAGGTTGACCGAGGGAGCAAGCTTGCCCATTGAGACTCCGGAGTTCAACGAGGCGATGCGTGCGCTGGAAGCAGAGAATGCTATCATGGTTACGGGTGAAGGCGCGAGGAGGAGCGTGAGGCGAGTGACGGCTGTTGTATAGACATCTATGAAGGCGAATAGATTGACGAGGCATGGGAATGAATGACGGTTAGTGGCCGGCGTTTGTAGATCTGGTTATAAAATATAATGTTTTCAAGCGCTTTACACACCAGTTCACCGCATTCTAGTTGTCACCGATGGAAGAGTCTGGAATCAATTAATGCTGAGAGTGACATATGTACACCATGGGCCGTATCTACTATCCATCCCGGTGCCACGGCTGGCCTGCCTACTGTTTTGCACGCGCGCATCACCACACCTGGCGCTCACGCCCCTCGAATCCGAAGTTCAGAGCCACCGCAATGAACAACGCTCCGCAAAGGACACTGGGGCCCCATTTGTCAAAGTACTTGGCAGCTCGCCTCTCGCGAATAGCACGACTGCGGTACAGGTAGATGACGACTGAGTAGATCAGGCTAAGGATGGCCAGGAGAGTGAAGATGCCAGACACCAGGAAAGACGTCTTGGTGGGGTGACTGCCAAAGTTGAGAAGTGTGACGGCGATAGTACCGATGTATATGGAGAATTCGAGCTGCACACGGTCAGTAATGCGTCGCGATAAGAAAAGGGCAACAGGTTTCACGTACCCAGCCAAGGAACGTGCGCTCGGCCGCAAAGTAGACCTTTGGCTCGACACGCACAGGGACGTAGATCTTCTTCCCCTTGGGCGCCTTGAACTTCTTCGTCTGAATGGCTTGGTCGCCAAAGAGCATTTGCTGGCGCGCGCTTCGACCAACCTGGGTGCTCCGAGGCGCCGGCATGACGAATTTCAAAAGGTCAAGCGCCTTGTGGCCAAACTCACGCCCCTTTGTGGTGATCAGTGTGTGGTAGTAGTGCCAGCCTCCAACACGCCTGGCCTCCTCGAGCTCGTAGTCGTCGTCGTACTCTTCGTCCGAATCATAGATGGGGAAAGCTTCATCAACGGCAGCCGGAAGGTCCCTTGTCTGATCTTCGACATCTCTGCGACTGTCACGGCTCTGCCCGTTACTTTGACCGGCCGGACGCGAAGGCGCAGGCGGCCCGCTTGCAGCGGCGACCCGATCCTCCTCGTACGAATCCAGATCATCCTCGTCGTCTTCGTCGTCTGAGGTTGTAGTGGTGCCAGACAATCCAGGACGGCGAATGCCAAAGTCGTGGCTCGCGGGCTTGCGAATGTCCACATCCATTTGTGGCATCCAGAAGGGCAGCAGCTTGATACGATCCGGGAACAGGCATGCCGTGCCATGGATGAACTTTGAGAACTTGGGCACAGCCTCGACGAGGTGGGATGCAATAAGCTGCCTGACCCACTCGGGGGGTTCCTGGCCGGCTTGCGTCTGTAGCTTCACCTCAAGAATGGCGTAGGGGAAGCGAACGACATCCTCAGGAGGAAGCTGCGAGAAGGGATAGTCGATGCCAATGTCCATCCTTCGCCAATTATCACCGCTGCGTTTCCGTCCATCCAGGTTGTCTTCTCGCACCATGGTCAACTCCGTGTCCAGGGAGATACGCACACGGGCGTCAGCCGGAAGCTGGAACGCTGTGCGGTGGTAGAACGAGCGGCAGACGGGCTTGTACCCCTTCTTGATACAGGAGTATTGAATCTCCGACGCTAGTCGCTCGTCCTCAGCGATGGCTTTCTCGGACTTTTTCCCTTCCTTGCGCGCCTTTTCGAAGATGGCAGGCGGTAGAAGTTCGCCCCTCATGTACGCGTTGACGTTCTTCTCCTTCATGCTGAAACGAGCCTTGACGGAGCTCTCGCCAGTCCAGTCTTCGCGATGCGTCTTGCGTTCGACAAAGATGGTTTCGGTCTCCATGCCGCCATACCACCGGAGTCGGATAGCCTCAGCACCTTCCGTCTTCTTGAGGCGACCCTCGTACAGATCCCACTTCTCAGGATTGTCATAGTAGATTGAGGTAATGGCCGAGTCTTTGGGATCAAACTCCTTGTTGGCGTTGAAGACCAGGACCGGCAGATGTTTCAGGATGATGAGCTTCAACTCGGTAATGTTGTCTGGATGTACCCAGTATTTGGTGGTTTGTCGTACAAAGCTGGCCTGCGCACCTCCAGCAGCACTGTCGCCCTTGACGGGGTTTCCTCTCGTCCGGACGAGGTCGTACAATTTGGACAGCTGGACAACAGACGCATCGTAGTTTTCCTTGTAGAAGGGCTTCGCTTTGAGTCGGGTTTCGAACGCCGGGCGGAGATACCACTTTGTGCTTTTCTGCAATCAAAATGTCAGTAAATCATCGGGGTACTTGGCAGAACCACCTACGTCGTGCTTCTTGATTATCTTATAAAATCCCGTGTAGTTGAGCTGCACGAATTTGGCGAGATCGTGAACATCGGCGATGATGTCGCTGAGGTCCTCTTCCAACAGCATGAATTCCTCCTCAGTCGGCCCGGTCTCGTTAAGCCCTCGTTCGTTGAGGCGGTTGACAACGTCTCGGACCTCGCGCTCGCTAACCGCGATCCGTCTGCTGATCTCCATAGCCTTGACCTGCTGCTTCGTATGCACCTTCTCGAGCTCGGCCTCGAGCTTGCCGACGAAACGCGTCTCGTCCGCCTCGGTCCATTCCTGTTTGCCATCGTTGCCGTTGAGGAAAGGACCGGTGGCATTCTTCAGGTCCGCCTTCAGGTCATCGTAGTCGATGTAGTACCACTGGTACTCGCGAATGATGCTCGACCGAAGCTGCTCTCCGAACTTCATCACGACGACGCCAGGTTTCACCTGGAACTGCTTCTTCGATGGAGTGACCCAAGTCTTTTGCCGGGTCTTGAGGTCCTGCAGTATCAGCATAGGGTCAATCAGGAAGCCATGCGAGGACAGTGGATTGTGTTTCGGAGTCACGGCAAGGACGGTTGACGCTAGAAGAAGATCAAAGCTCACCAAAAGAAGGGATATGAATGTCGCGCACCCTCGTAATTATCGCAAGAGGGACTTTACGTGAAGTCTGGCTAGGAACCGCCAGGAAAGGGCTCCTGTTACCTTCGACAAAGTCGTGGATCGGCAGTGAGCCAGTGACGAAAGCAGCGCAGGCAGGAACGACCGAGTTGATGCACAGCTCCCGACTCCCACGGAAAGAAGTGGGGGCTTTCAGATAGCCATTGCCCAATCAATCGCCGTTCTGTCGCACGTGAAGCAGATTAATTAGCGCCCTTTCGGTTCTGGCGAGGCTGGAACCTTAGTGGGGCGGTCCTGGCCGCAGGCCAGGCCATCGATGGCGGGGTCCCTTACCTTAGCTTGGCAGCAAATACAAAACTTAACAAATTTTGTAAGTGGTGACTGAGAGCCGGCGAGTCGTTGTGAGCTTGGCAAACAGATTGAAGACTTGGAAAGACGATAGTCTCATATCTCCCGCTTGAGAGTTCCGCTGAACGTTCATTATGGCTTCGACTATTGACGATTCCATGCCCGCGCGCATACCAAAGGACTGCCCTGACGACGTGCGCGATGTCCTTTACACTGCATGGAGTCACGATCTTGGTGATCTGAAGAAGATTCTCAAGACAAGAGACGATGCAAGCAAAGCACAAGATCCCACAACGGGCGAGACACCGCTCCATGCGGCAATTCGCGCTTGTGGCCCCAGGGAGCCTTCGACCATGAAAGACGATGGACATGCGGCATCTGGAGATGAGGAGGACGAAGACGATGGCCCAGTGGGAGAAGCCAAAGAGGTTATGGAGGCACTGTTTAATGCTGGGGCGATCTGGAACGACGTGGACTCCAACAACGAAACGCCAGGCTGTGTCGCTCTGCGGTTGGGCAGAAAGGGGCTATATAAACTCTGCGTGGATGCAGGGTTTCGAGCAGAACTTCTCCTAGCCGTTCTCGACGAATATGAGGAGCTACCATCAGAGGAAGAATATGCCGGGGACGATGATGCAGAGGGAAAGACAGATGCCAATGACCAGGATGAAGAGATGGCGGACGCTGAGATCCATGCCTCAGAGCAAGTCGAGGCCACATCGACGAATGCGCGCTTCGTTCCTCCCGATGCAGATGAAAAGAACATCATGAGCCAAGACTACCTCAAGTCGGATCTTACCTACGACGACGACAAGCTACTAGACGCCGACTTGAACGGTGTAATGATGGCCTGGGAAACAGACATCATGGAGAAGTCGGTGCAAGCGCTGCTTCCAGAGCAAGCAACTGGAAAGAGGATACTGAACATTGGTTTCGGCATGGGCATCATCGACGGCATGTTCGCAGCACGCAATCCAACAAAACACCACATTATTGAGGCGCATCCTGCCGTTCTGGAGCATATCGCCAAGCCAGAGTCAAAGTTTGGTGCCAAGTGGGAGGAATCCGGCCCTGAGCCGGGGGCTTTCAAGGTCCACAAAGGGCGATGGCAAGATGTGGTGCCTCAGTTGATGAACGAAGGCGAAGTTTACGATGCCATCTACTTTGACACATTTGGCGAGGACTACTCTGAGCTGCGGAGATTCTTCACAGACATGATACCCGGCATCCTTGACTTTGAAGGTCGCTTCAGCTTCTTCAACGGCCTGGGTGCTGATAGACAGGTGTGCTATGATGTCTACCGGCACGTGCTGGAGGTGCACACGGAGGAAGCTGGCCTGGACATTGAGTGGGATGTCCACGATGTGGACATGGGTCAACTGGACGCGGCTGGGAAAGGTGATTGGGAGGGTGTTCGTCGTCGCTACTGGACTCTCACGAAGTACTGGCTGCCTATACTCACGAACATGGGATAGGATCTACGAAAATCCTATAGCAAAAGAAAAAGACCTTTTGGGCTGCAATGAGCTGTAATGTGAGCGGACGACGTCCGCAATTCACTAGTAAACATTGTCTTTTCTTGTTTTTCTACTTCGATTATTCGCCCCAGCAGTTCTACCGTGGCCACTTCATGATCTGATTACTTGAAGTGTTCTGGGTGGAGGATGCCGGCAAGGTTGCCTGCCTTGACACGCTTGAGCGTCAAAGCGGCAATCAACGCGGCACCAACGCCACTGCCATCCTCAGCAGCAAGCACTTCAATGGGGTCCTCCTCCTGAGGGTTGCTTTTCTCGGGCCAGTCCAGGATCTCCTTGAGTGCCTGGGCACCGCGTGCCTTGAAGTGAGGGTATTTGTTGAAGACCGATCCGTCAGCGCCGACGTGGCATGACTTATAGTTCTTCTTCTTGGCGATGGCGGCAACACCGCAGGCGGAGAGACGGGCAGCGCGGGTGCCGATCAACTCTGCCAGTCGGCGGATCAACTCGAGCTCGGGTAGCTTGCATACAATGTTCAACTTTTGAGCAAAGGTATCGTAAGTCTCCTGAAGGTTCTCAAAGGGATCCCTGTCATCTGTTAGCTAGTGTGCTCAAATGCGCTGTAGCAGTACCTACTCCTCAACGCCAGATAGGAAAGAGGAATCCAAGCTGTACGGCTTGCGGAGGATGGCGATGTCCTGGCCCTTGAAGATGTTGATCTCTTCGTTATCGTGCAGGTCAACGAGCACGAGTCGGAAAATCTCTCCCAAGTAAAGGCCAGCAATCATCTTTTCGAAAGCTTGCTGGCCGGGGCGGGGTGAGTCGCGATCGATGGCCACGTCATAGCTCGTACGGGGAAGAACCTTGTGCTCGTTGTCAAAGGCACCCCACTCGCAGTTGATGGCCATGGGCGTGTCGGCAGGCAGGTTCAGGTGAGCGAGCTTGGGGATTTGGCCGACCTCCTCCATGTAAGCGGCGTTGCAGCCAGTGCCAAAGATGCAACCAATCTTCATCTTGGTGTCGGTGTATGCCGAAGCGATCATGGTACCAGTCGTGTCGTTGATCAACGCAGTCACGCGAATCGGGACGCCGCGCTTTGCCAGGGCAGCGTCAAGCATAGGCACCACGTTCTGGCCCTCAACACCATTGATATCGAAACCCTTGGTCCACCGCTGCAGGATACCCTCATCGATGTAGTTCTGCGTCGCAGGATAGGAGAAGGTGAAACCCAGCGGAAGGACATCGACCTTGGTACAGTCGCCGTGGTGAGTCTCGACGAATTGGTACAAGCAGTCGGCAATATAGTCCCAGAGCTCCTCATTGTTGTTCGTGGTCTTGAGCTCCTCAGGCATCCTGTACTTTGATTGAATGATGTCAAACTCAGACTTTTGCTCGGTCAGGGTGATCTCGCAGACGCGAAGATTTGTGCCACCCATATCCAGAGCAAGATAGGTGCCGGTTTCGTGGCCATCGGGAAAGGCCATCACCCAAGTAGGGTTCATGGGCTACCATGTTAGCGTGGTTCCATAACCTGTGCGTAGACTCATTGGGTACTCACAATGCTTCCACCCTCGACACTGAGACCCTTATCAAGCTCGGAGACAAAGTGATCTGAGATGGCCTTGAGCTTCTGCGTGTCAACGGTGAACAGCTCCTCAAGGTATCGGATCTGAGCGATGAGGTTTTGGGGCAAATCCGTCTTGGAGCCTGCCATGGTTTCTGTTAGAGATCAAGAAAAGACTTTTGAGGTAACGCGCCAGCAGTTGTGAACAGAGACAGGAGAAAGTTCACTGGACAGACGGAAACGTGCAAATATTTCAAAGTCGTGCTGTTGTACAGAGGTGCCTTCGAGCCAATAAGCCAGCCCGTACAAACGACGGAACGAGGTTGGGCACTTGCCAGGACCACTGTGCGACTCCATTCTGCTTTACCAACTCCCGGCTTGAGATTGACGCGCGCATTGCTTCTTGGCTCCGCCGGCCTCTTGACGACATTCGAAACGCTGCTCCTTGGACCTCATCCATGGAGAAGCATCAGGGCGCCACGGTACGCATTACACAGCTCTGTCTTGGATTCCAACGTGTTGAAAGACCCAGGAGCAACACCGGAACCAATGAAACACAAGTTGAGCGAGATGAAGGTGAAGTAAATCTGACATACCCTGCCTCAGGGGAGGCGGACGTGGTCCAAGGCCTACCATCTTGACGGATCGCGGGGTTTGGCGGGGTAGCTGGAATGTGAGAAGAGTAGGTCGGGTTGATTCAGTGCGTGAGTGGCAGTTTAAATAATGAAAACTGAATGCAATTGACTTTACGTATTTGCAAGTTGGAGGTATGAGGTCAGAAAAGGTCAAATCCCGTGGTTGAGATTCTGGGCAAGGCAGAAGATAGTAGAGAGACATTTGCTGCCTGCGCTAGCCTGTACCCCCAACCCTCACCAACGGCGGCTGCGTCAAGTGCCCACCGCCTTCGGCTTTGGCGGAGGCAGGAGTGACTGGCAAACAACGCTGAGCCGTATCTTTTCCCAGTAATAAGAGCCAGGCCAATCCAAAGAACTGGCATGCACAAGCAAGCCGGGACACTATAGTCTATTACCCTCTTCGGGGCAAGCAAGTTCTCACATAGCTCCAAAAGGCATTTGCTGATAAGTCGTCATTGTTTCCACTCCACCCCCACCGGCTTCGCAGCTGGCAGCTGGCAGCTGGAGAGCTCTCAGTGTTGGGGTCCCTCGACGAAGTGCTGTTGACGGAGCGGAACAACCATGGGGTCCCCACTCATCACCTTCGAGTCGATTGGTCGTTGCAGAGCTACAGGTGGGCCTTCGCACCCAAGCAGCGACGTATGCTTCTCTTGGTCCAGCAGCTCCTTAGCACACCTCGAGCTCGCCAACAACTGCATGCACCTGGGCGCAAGAAGTCAATGAGTGCCCGCATTGCTCAGTTCTCACCATGAAGCCGTTATCGATCGCAACGGCCCTTTTCGGCATCGTTTCGACTGTTCTGGCGGCCGAGCCACGCCAATCTAAGGACATCCTCCCTAAAGACTTCAAGCCGCCGCAAGTCTTCAAGAATGCGAATTTGGTACACATCATCTCATTGGAAAAGAACTATGCCAAGGAGCAGATCAATGCTGTCATTGAGAATGTGTCCCCCGAACTTCAGGACGAGTATTACGTTCCGTTCACCGCGGACCAGCTAAGCCGAGTTGGAGGGTTCGAGGTCAAGGATCGTAAAGACGCCGGCGCTGGGCGATTCGTCGCAGACGTTGCAGAGTATGATCCATTGAGGTTTGTGTTCATCTCTCATTCCGGTTTTGCTATTGCTGACACCCTTTAGTGATGTCCAATACTACCGCATCCGACTGCCGACTCCTCTCAAGGCTGGCGGCCAACAAACTCTCGGCATCTCGTTCTACTACCTCAGAGCCTACAAGGCCCTCCCCGCCTTGATTGACCAGACCGACGAACAATACCTGTCTTACGAATTTTCCATCTATGCCCCCTCCGCATACCCGACGTTGAAGCAGAAGACTGAGGTCAAGGCCGGATCCGCGAAGATTCCAGACTACACCAAACTGGCCGGCACAGGGGACGTCCCAGAATACCCACAGAAGCAGGGTACAAAGTTGACGTACGGCCCGTTCGACGAGAAGCCCGCTGGCGCATCTTCCCCGGCCACGGTCCGATTCGAGTTCACCAAGCCAGTTATCCACATCTCAGCCCTGGAACGTGATATTGAGGTCAGCCATTGGGGCGGAAACGTTGCTTTCGAGGAGCGCTACACAATCCAGCACCTCGGCGCCAATCTTTCGACTCAGTTCAACCGCGTGAAGTGGGCTCAGTCACAGTTCATGAACCCCAACTCGCATGCCCTGAAAGAGTTGCGCGTTCCTCTGCAGGTCGGAAGTGACGACGCTTATTTCACCGACACAATTGGCAATGTGTCTACATCCCATTTCAGGAGCAATAAGCGTGAGGCTGTTTTGGAACTGAAGCCGCGCTACCCCATCTTTGGAGGGTGGAAGTACCCCTTCACCATCGGATGGAACTCGAATGCCGCCAACTACTTGCGCAGGACCGCAACTGGTGGTTTCGTTTTCCGAACACCTTTCCTCGAGGGGCCCAAGCAAGCAGAGGGTGTCGAGTACGAGCACATCGACCTTCGCGTCTTGCTGCCTGAGGGTGCACAGTGAGTCATCCGATTCGAGCATTGAGCAAGGCTAACATGCGTAGGAACGTCAAGCTGCTCGCTGATATCCCCGAGTCTTCCATCATTGAGCACACTGTTGGTCTACATAAGACCTACCTGGACACGATTGGTCGGACTGCTGTGCACATCAAGGCGCGGAACCTCGTGGACGAATTCCGTGACCGCGAACTCATCATCACATATGACGTCTCGTCAAGCATCACACTGAGGAAGCCATTTATCGTGTTCGCCAGCATGCTGGCGGTTTTCACACTAGCTTGGGCGGTCGGCAAGATTGACGTTGGGTTCTCGAAGACGAAGCAGGCGTGAATTGATGAAAAGAAGCCATAGATTTCCAGTTGCAATGACAACGCTTTAGATTGTCTTCAGGACAGGCGACGTAATGGCACCCATGCGACATGCCAGGTGACTGTGAATTTCTCCTGCCGACGACAACATTGTGGCGAAGCGTTCTCAATTTTGCCTTGTCGGTGGCTAGCTGCCAATCGAGCCGCAAATTATGGTCCTCGGTGTTTTTTACGTAGCTCGCCTATAAGGCGTCAATTATGCATTTTGGTCGTATTCGAAACTGGGTCGCCTAATGACGACGATGTCATGCCAGGGGGCTGGGTCGGTTGATGGCGCCGGCTCCGCCCCTGGCGCCTGGGCTGCGTGTGCCTTGGAACTTCATTAGAATCTCGCCCAGCTTCGACGTTCCCTTTGGCGCTACGGATACAGCCTGATACGGACAATGCGCATATAAAGCCGACACGGCTGCACCTGTGGCCTGCAGCCAACTACCAACCCATTCTCAGCATTCACGCTTGCAGCCCTCAGGTGGAAGCAGTGCGACATTTTGCAACATCTCAGCATAATGTGCTTCAGCGCCGAGCCCAGGAAGCAGTACTACTATCGCGAGGAGATCATTCCTGCGCGGCGAGTGTCTTACGTGTCAGGCCACCATCACCATGGTCACCACCACGGCCATCACCACCACCACCACCAATCTCCACGGACGAGCTACAGCAGCGTGAGGAGATCACACCATGGGCCGCGACACAGTTCGAGCAGCTACCGGGCGTATTGATCGGGGACTGGTGCGGAATACCAACAAAGTCGGGATTTGGGCCAAGGCAGCCAAGGGAGTTGGGGGTTCATCATTACTTGGAGCATGAGAGAAGCAAGGCGTTATCTTCCACATCTGTTGCGGTGCTTATCAATGGGAATCTCGCAATCAAATTCCTCATCACAGCACTTGTGAGAGAATCATCTTCAAGCTGCTCATGGTTAGTGCAACCAGCGTCCCTGGTAAGGTATGCTTGTCGTCAGCGGGGGCGGGACCTCTCTGGTGACATCATACCGCATTCCGGCGTCCAGTCTTTCGTGTATCGTTGTGAAGCAGCAACAGCTCTCGATGAGACCATCTGACCGGACGCCACGGAACTATCGAGCCAAGATGCGTCTAGCGGCGATGTACTACGTACACGTACAGTACTGTAGCATAAATGACAAGCTTGTGATATAACAGTGTTCCCGTGCGTCATTGCCCTCCTAGACCCCTACTTGACCATTTCTCATGACATATGTCGTTTTCTGGCGGAAGGCAACTGAACGCACACTTCAGGAAGGATCACCTGCGAGACTCATCAAAGGGCAAGTGTGATCAGTGACAACAAGACGAACATCATCTACCACAAGCCGAAGCAAGCGCCTGCAAAAATGTAAGTCAGATCAACGACGCCCAGACAACAGCAACACGCAGTGCCAGTGTCGCGCCTCGCTATCGTTGCGAGATATCGCCTGCGCCAACAATGTTCTCCTTGTGACGAGCCCCTGCCCGATCAATGCACTAATCTACCTGCAATTTGCTAATCATATCTTCAGGAGCAGCCACCGCACCCTCTCATTCCGCTCTGGAAAGTCGTCCGGGCGTGGACCGACCCAAGGCACAACGGGCAAACCTGGCTTGTCCTTCAACTCCCTTCGTGGCAATGTCCAGCCTGAGCTCTCCCGCCGGCTCTATAAGCTCATCAAGTCCGAGAACAACCTGATTAATGCCCATGAGGCGGCCGGACGTGAGCGCAACAGCATCGCCACGCAGCTCTCAGAATGGGGTGAGCAGACGGGCGATGAGGCGATCAGCGATATCTCGGATAAGGTTGGAGTCATATTGAGCGAGATGGGGGAGCAGGAAGACACCTATGCGCATGCGCTCGATGATTCACGAGGCGTGCTTAAGACCATCCGCAACACGGAGAAGAGCGTGCAGCCCAGCCGTGACAACAAGAGCAAGATTGCCGACGAGATCGCCAAGCTCAAGATGAAGGAGCCACAGAGCGCCAAGTTGGTGGTACTGGAGCAGGAACTCGTCCGGGCTGAGGCTGAGAACCTCGTCGCTGAGGCACAGTTGACCAATATTGTGAGTAACGACAGCGAGACAGAGGTTCCACTGCTGACAGCAAAAGACCCGCCAGAAGCTCAAGGAGGCCTACGAGTTTGAGTTCGCCGCGACTATCGAGCGAGCAGAGAAGCAGATCATCCTGGCTAAGCACGGGCGACGCCTGTTGAACTTGCTGGATGACACCCCCGTTGTGCCAGGCGACACCCGCACAGAGTACGAGTATGCCGGCGAGGCACGCCAGGTTCTGAACGATGTGGAGGACGACCTCAGGGACTGGCGCCCGGAATCACAAACACAGCAGTACGAGGTCGCCACTGGCGGCGCTGCTGCTCCCCTTGAAGAGACGCATCAGCCACGCAGGACAGAGGAGGGAGCATCGGCAGGCCAGAGCGAAGCTGAGGGGGCAGCAGGCCAACCCTCTGCTACCTACGCAGAGCTCAAGGCTGCTGAGGCCGGAGGCACAACTCAATCTGCGGCCGAAGGCACCGCAACCACTGGTACCTCAGCTGGACAAGCTATCTGAGTTGGGCAAACTGTGAAGCGTGGGTTTGGGACTTTGATGTTTGCCATCGCCTGTGCTCCTGTATGCAACGGCAGGCACACGTGTACCTTGAAATTAGTTTGTGATAGTCATCATACCTGTCGTTTGCGAGCTATGACCTTGGTTCGCGTGTTGACCTTGCATTTGTCTGTCTCACCGGCTGGTTGCTGTTACTGTAGCACCAGAAGCCAATGCGACGTTGTGGCGCTCAGCCTGTTGAGGATATGGGTCGCGTGCGAGGTCGGCACACGCTGAGCAAGTAGAGACTTCCCCAACTGCTAATTGATGTCCGGTCTTGATATGTATAGGAGTAAGTGATTACTGCGTGCTCAGGGAGACACTTTCGATGCGATCCTTCATGAGGCCTCAGGCCGACACGCTTGGGTTCAGCCACATTTCGGCAAGTCCAAAAAGCCTGTCCCTTTCATCAACCAACCATTCTCGCCCAACTCCAGTCCCGACCGCGCCAGTGCGACGTACCTCGGGTACAGTCAATCTGCGTCACCTGCAGCGCAAACGATAAGGCACTTTATTACCCAACCATCTTCCCGTCGGCCGTGGCCACTCGACTCTGCCTTCGGTAGGCGGAGACGAGGGACCATTATCCCCTAACATTCATGCTCCTTTCACGCACGGCAGTCGCGAGGTGGCCACGCTCCTTGCTTGTGAGACGTTCATTGGCCAATCGCCCCCGAATTGACATCGCTGGCCAACAACAGCCTGCAGCTGTGGCTAGTAGATTTCCTACTGCCATAGGGTCAGCAATGGCGGGCGATTACAGTGGCGCACAGCAGCGCCGTCACGCAAGCGACGCCGCTGGCGGGAGCATCAGGGCCACTGCCAGCGGACAGAAGACCCCGCCCCCTCCATCTCATTCTGCAGCTTCCACCTCATCAACGATCAAGCCCCTCCACTCTTCTTCTCCTTCTTTCTCCCAAATTCCCTCTCAGAGAACTGCCCAGATTGCTCGTCACTTTTCAACGTCGAGCCCGTCGCAGGAATCGTATCAAACATCTGCCCACACCGCCAGCATGGCCTCCGAATACAGTGTCCGCAAGGTTGGGGCTCCCAACACCCTGGAGCACCGCGTCTACATTGAGAAGAATGGCGTGCCCGTCTCGTCTTTCCACGATATCCCCCTCTACGCCAACCAGGAGCAGACTATCCTGAACATGATTGTCGAGATCCCCCGCTGGACCAATGGCAAGCTTGAGGTACGTCATTCCGTCTGAGAAAAAGAAACGCCGGATCCATGGGCTGACCGAGTACATCTAGGTCTCCAAGGAGGAACTCCTTAACCCCATCAAGCAGGATGTGAAGAAGGGCAAGCTTCGCTTCGTCCGCAACTGCTTCCCCCACAAGGGCTACCTGTGGAACTACGGTTGCTTCCCCCAGACCTGGGAAGACCCCAACTCTATCCACCCCGAGACCAAGGCCAAGGGTGACGACGACCCCCTCGATGTCTGCGAGATCGGTGAGCTGGTCGGCACCGTTGGCCAGGTGAAGCAGGTCAAGGTTCTGGGTGTCATGGCCCTCCTCGATGAGGAGGAGACTGACTGGAAGGTCATTGTCATCGACGTCAACGACCCTCTAGCTCCCAAGCTCAACGACGTTGAGGACGTCGAGCGCCACCTGCCTGGCCTGCTCCGCGCCACCAATGAGTGGTTCCGCATCTACAAGATTCCCGATGGCAAGCCCGAGAACCAGTTCGCCTTCACCGGCGAGTGCAAGAACAAGGAGTAAGTGCCGAGCCTCCATTGGCAGTTTTTAGTGCACGTTTGCTAATAGTTCCAGCTACGCCATGGACGTCGTCCGCGAGTGCGCTGAGGCCTGGGAGCGCCTGATCACCGGCAAGACCAACCCCGGCGGCATCTCGCTGACCAACACTGCCGTTGCCCACTCTCCTAGCCGCGTCGCTCCCAACGAGCTGCCCCAGCTTCCTCCCCACCAGGAGCTCGCTCCTGAGAAGATCGACTCCTCCATTGACAAGTGGTTCTTCATCAGCGGTGCCTCTGCTTAAGCAAGCTTTTACAATAAGGAGTAAAAGTCGTGGGATACGTATGGCATGTCATATTCCAAGGCTGCCATGTGTAGCTTGACATAAAATATACAGAAATGTTCCCCCATGCTTCTAGTGGTACATGACATGTTGTACAAGGTGTTTTCTATTCGTGATGTTTCCGTAACGCCGTGAAATGCAATGTATCCAGGACATGGGTTTCAATCTTGCAAGTCGTCCTTCTTTTGCAGCGCGCGCGAGTGTCGGTCGCATTCGTTTGTCAAGCCGATGATGTTTGTCTTGTCGCACGCAAAGTTCATCTCCTGGCCGTCCTCTGCCTTTTGTTAGCTTCCAAAGTCTTGCTTGGTCGCTCGGGTTCCGCAAACGCACTGAACTTGACGTAGACTGAGCTCGGTTCGGTGGCCCCCTTGGGCAACAATGTCGAGGTGATCTTCATGCCATTTGCCCGCGCGTTGGGCGGTAGTTGTGTGAGGAAGAGGCGGGCCGGCTTCGCGCACGGCGAGAACGGGTTGAACTTGGCAGTGACCTCGGTCATGAATTTGGTAATCATCGTAACGGCGTGCGCGGATCGCGGCTTAGTCGATTAAAGAGTGAGTGTAGTTCGTTCGGGGATATGAGCAGTTCGCGGTTGAGAATTTGGGGGTCGCGCTTCGCTTGATGCATTACCCCGATTCATGAATGTGGATTTTCGGGACAGCTGTTTCGTCACAGCACCTCAACCCACGTCACAAGCTACTACTTACGACAGGATTGTCCACCCCAGTGAACACACGAAGAAGAAGAAAGGCACAGCCAGAATGTCCTTTCAAGGATTGCAGGAGCGCTTGTCCGCTCTGCAAGAGACGACCTCCCAAATCCAAGACCTCATCTCTCGACTTGCGGAGCTCAAGTTCCAACCCGGCTCGGTACCCCTCGACACGAACGAAGAGGGCAGCGTGAGCGGAGAGCTCAGCACGGAAATCGCAATTTCTCTGCGCGAGTGCGAGGATGAGCGAGAGCTACTATCCGAAGATGTGGAATATCTGCGCAAAGAGGAGAAGACGAGGTTGCGGGAGGGTGTCGAGCGCCAGGCCCACGAGCTGGAGCGGTTACGGGCCTCTTTCCGCCAAGCCCGCCTCGCCGCCAGAAAGAGCCTACTGGACGCACAGAGGCTGGAGCGGCAGCTTCTCGTCAAATCGTACTCGATACCGGATCACACCTCGACCAACGAGACAAACGACGAGCAACCTGCGTCCGTCCACATTCCGCAGCCTATCCGCAAGCAGAAGCAGTACGAGACGGGGACGGTGCTGTCAGAGAAGGATCGACAGACGGTGGGCGCGAGCTCTCGGGTGACGGACTCGCTGCGCCAGATGCATGCCTCGCTGCAGTCGGAGTTGGAGCGGAGCGAGTACGCCAAGCAGACCATGGCCGAGTCGAGCGCGGCCTTTGCGCAGCTGGACGAGTCGTACTCGGGATTAGAGACGATGCTGAAGCGCTCGAGGGATTTGCTGGGCACATTGCTGCGGAGCCAAAAGAGCGACACGTGGTACCTCACGACGAGCTTCTACATGTTGATGGTGGTGGGGGCGTGGCTGGTGTACAGAAGATGGCTCTCTGGGCCGCTCTGGTGGCTGGTCCTGTTTCCACTGCGGATACTATTTGGCGTGGGCAAGGGAGTCGGCAAGGTGGCACTCAAAGGGCACGATGGGCAGGTAGTGGAGATTGGGACCGATGAGGCGGCCAAGGTAGAGGTGGAGGGGATACCGGGGAGCGAGCTGCCGACAGCCAGGGTAGCAGGCGACCACAAGCCGGAGGAGGATGTCGACGCATTGCTGGAGAGGGTAGGTGGTGTGATGAACGAACAAGACGTTGTTGAGCCGGTGGAGCGGATAGAAGTCAGTGTGGAGGAAGGACAGCCCATTGCGGCGGGCGACGATGCACGTCCACGAGATGAGCTATAGACATATGATGAATGATTCAACTCTGCGAACCCAATTCTTGTTGAATGCCGACCCCGTCCAGTTTGCGCCTCTTTGCTCCAATATCAAAGGAACCCGCCATGTTCATCGCTGCGGGCCGACAGGCGTCACCTCGCTGATCCACGGCAAGTTGAGCCTCTTCATTTCCACGGCCAACTGGAACAGGTAGTCCAGACTCTCACACTGCGTCTTGGCCTTGTGCACGTTGTCGCCCCACACGTAGACGCCATGTCGCCTGACGAGCACGGCGTACGTGTCTGGGTTCTGGCGCATCGCCTCCTCCAAGAACTCGGTCAAGTCCTCTTCGTGGGGCGTGTTCTCAATGACGGGGATCCTAAGGGTGTCGTGGTATCCCAAGTTCCCCGTCTTCTGGAATCCCCTGCCAAACCCCTTGATCTGCTCAATGTTGTTGATCTCAAACATCTTGGGGGAGTCGGTGCTCTCGAGCAGGAGGGTCACGAGCACGGCCCAGTGGGAGTGCGTGTGGATACAGCAGCCTGCGCCGCGGAGGGTGAAGGCCGCGAGGAAGAGGGGCGTGCATTGGCTGGGCTTGTAGCACGGCGGCGAGCGCAGGTACACGCGGTTCTTGAGGGAGGCGTCCTGGGCCGCGAGGGAGAGGACGTAAATGTCTGATGGCTTCATGAGCTCTTTTTGCACACCAGAGGGAGCAATGTAGACGAGGTCACTACCAGGTTGTTAGTGAAAATAGGATCATGAAGGAGGCCTGGCTGTGATAGCTCACTCTTCACAGATGGAGCATCCGCCGCCGGTACCTGTGACCCATCCCAGCGTCCAGAATTTGGCGCACAGAGATGGGATGAGGTTGGCGGGGTGTTCCGGGTTGGACGAGGTCACAAGCTCGTCTCCTGAAGCCATTTGAGCAGTGTTCAATTCCTCTGAAACAGTGTTGAGTCTCAATGCCAAGTAGGAGAGAAAAAGTGAGGTTGTTGGTGATGAAGGATGGTGGGGTGAAGTGATCTCTCATGGTGGGGTAGCATTCGACATACCATAACTGCCTGACCTTAGCTAGCCACTTGGTGCAGACGGACAACATTCAAGCGAGCCATAATGTACACCCCCAGGATCAATTGGCATAGAGACGGAATAAACAGTATCAAAACAAGCATCTTAACTCGAATCAGCGAGTATCCCTCGCCAGCTACTCACAGCACTAAGATGGACACAGGTTCTATAGGGTAGTCGGGTGCTGTAATACACCTCGGACTGGGGCGAAACCGTACGAACAACTGTGTGATTCAACATTCGAGTGAGAGTGGGCAGCAAATCGTAGCAAAGATACCTCAGAACGAAGCGTATACGATCAAGCATGCTATCGCAAGTGCACATCACCAATAGTCTCGACAATACATGTGTAGACTAACTAGAGCGTGCAGGGGGTGTTGAACAGCTGACATATGACGTCGCTCGTGGCTGTAGATTCCATGCATGCTTAACCCCGGAATGTTTGACCAATACCCCGGATTTAAGTCCTCCGCGGCACGATATCTTACAAAGAGGACCAAGACGTTCAAGCTACATAAAGAAAGCAAAGACGAGGGAGCAAAAGATAGACTCACCTCACTCTCATAAACTTGAACACACAGTACTTCGAGCCCCTCGTAATGACTTCCTACCTTATCACGGGCGCAAGCCGCGGTCTTGGACTGGCCATGGTGCAAGCGCTCGTCTCGCAGCCTGCAAACCAGGTCACCAAGATCTTCGCAGCGTACCGCACCAAGACAGATGGCATTACCGAGCTCTCCTCGTCCCACAACGGGAGGGTCGTCCCCGTCAGGATGGATGTCACCTCCCCGGACGAGATCAGGGCTGCTGTGACAGAAGTCGAGAGGGCGCTGGAAGGCCAGCCTCTGGACGTCCTGATCAACAATGCAGGCGCGGCGCCTACCACACCCGGCGGTATTGTAGAAATGTAGGATCCCAAGCCCCGTTTGCGCATCGAGCCGATGTTGACAGTTCTCAGGAATGACCTGACTGCCACTTTGGATCTCAATCTTGTGGGCGTGCAGAGAGTGACGCAAAGCTTCATGCCCTTGCTGGAGAAGAGCGCCGTGAAGAAGATTGTCAACATGTGAGCCAGACCAACCAACCGCTCGGTGACAGGCAGTGCTAACCAAATGCGCCAGTTCATCAACGATGGGCTGCTTCGCGTACCAGGAGTACTTGGCTCAGGTCAAGACCCCTGCGTACAAAGTAAGCAAGGCAGCTCTCAACATGTTGACTCTGCTATGGGCCCAAGAATATGGTCCCAAAGGCTATGTCATTGCCGGCTTGTCGCCTGGTGTAAGCTCTTCCTCCCCATGTATCTTCATCCGAGACTGACAGCCATGCTCAGTATGTTAAGACGGATCTGAGTGGCGACGCAGCCGACCTCGAGGTCTCCGAGGCCATTCCCGCTATCATGAAGGCCATCGAGGGCATGAGTCCGGATGACAATGGGAGGTTGCTGGACATCAAGTTGCCAGGATGGGAGCCCAGGTATCTTGGCGGACCGCAGCCATGGTAGACGCCCGTGGGTACTTGCCGGAGCGTACATGTACAAGTACGGACTGAGCCGAGCCAAATTTAGCGTGTTGAGTTCGCAGTCGCAGCTTTGAGGTGGAGAATGACGTTGCGATATTCATGCTGGCAAAGACTATATATATGTCTGTGCAGCGCCGTGGACCGTGGCCAGTGTCTGGACCGGTCTTATGGAGTTGGTGGTTGATAGGATCCGCAACTGGGGGGCTCGTATTCGTGCATGTCGAACGTGCCACTGGACACAATTGCGTGTCGAGAACATAGAAGGGGGCAGTGTCGGTTAGTCAGGATGCAAAATCAAATTTTTGTGTGTCAGAGCGCCCTCTTGCTTCCGGGCTGGCAGGATTGAATACAGGTTGTTGTTCATCACCATGGGAGATTCAAGGGAGCGAGCTTTGAGTTTGAGTTTGGATTGAAGTGAGTGCATGTTCGCGCTAGCCGTTTTGGGCAGTAGCTTTACTTGCACGGCACTTGGTACGTGCTCGTAGATCGGGAGCGGCTGGAACCCACCGACACGCGCTCAGGCCGTGTTGTTAGGCTCGAGCTCCAGGCTCCAGGCTCCAGGTCCAGAAGTCCAGTCGGCTCAGTTCAGGACGCTTCGCTTGACCACTTTGGGCAAGGCGGGCCTCGCTGGCCTGGCGACGAGACGCGGCGCGCCAGTCGACTTTCTCAGTCTTTCTGGCCCGGACTCGACGACACTTCACCTTGTTGATGCAAAGGCAGGCCATTGCTCATTTCGGACACCTGCACTTGGGCCGTACGACATGCTTAGAATGCGTCCATCGGCGCCTCCGACATTGAGAGTTTTACAGAAAAAAAGAGAAGAAGAAGAAACGTCAGATGAAGAACGCCTTGCTAGCCTAGACGTGTTCGTTGGCGCGTGCCTGAAACAATGTCGTGAGAAGGGAAGCACCCCTCCAATCCCAACAACAGCGCTGTGGCGTGCTGCGCATAACGATGGGACCAGGTGTAATCACGAGCCCGCTGGAAAAGCAAGGCATGATGCCTGCCAATTAATACCAATGGCACTGGGCTATAATACTGTTTGATCGTGAACATCGGGTCTGTTCAGGGGCAACTAGGTTAAGGTTCGGATGGCGCCACGCCTCGTATAATCCGCACTAAAAGTCTACAAGCAATTAGTACCTTACGCAAACTGCGTCTTCAGCAACCGCGACAAACATGGGGATGAAGAGTCTCTCCGAAAGACAAGAATGCAGGAGAATCAGTCCCTGACCCTGATCAAAGCCAGACATGCTGATCCCGTCCCGTGGCTTGCAAGTAAAATTGGCCGTCCCGGTTCCCCAGACAAAATCACCAGTTGCGCGATCGGCATATCCTTGGCGACCCACAATACGAGCGGCTGCTGGCCGATTATCCTGCTGGCCGTCCTCAACTGTGCATGTTTATCCACGTAATTACGGTGCTTTGTTTGCTGAGGCAGGGGACTGGTCACTGGTCACAAGCATGGCAAGCTAAGCAAGTCATTCATTAGGTGCTAGTGGCCGATGCGCCTTGGCTCCAGCTCCTCTTATTAAAGACCTGGGCCTCCACCCCCGGACACGTCCCTCTCTTCCTTTCCCTTCTCTTCCCTCATCCACACAACTCGCTTCTTGCTCCAGTCTGTCGCTGTCCGTCTGTCTCAAGTACACTTATTAATACCAGTCACTCGTTCGACTCTCAACTGTTCGTCTTGGGCCCTTACCCAACGTCTTGTCCTCAGCGCAAGCGAGCTAACAAACCTGATAGTTCAACATGCGTTTCACATCCGCCCTCGTCGCCGGCTCCCTGGCCTTTGTTGCCAGCGCCCAGTCCACCACCGCGAGCCTGAGCCCCGCCCAGACCTCGCAGGTGGCCTGCATCAAGGACTGCGACGCCGATGACCTCGCCTGCATCGCTCGCTGCAGCCCCGTCCCCAACCCCAACGAGGACCAGGTCGAAGCCACCCACAACTGCATCAGCAAGTGCTACGACGAGCACGGCCAGGGCACCGCCGAGAGCATCCAGGCCTTCTCCCAGTGCCAGAACCGCTGCATCGCTGCCGACTACTGGAACTCCTCCGAGGGCACCCCCAAGCCCACTGGTGCTGTTGGTGGCGGTAGCAGCGGCGACAAGGAGGAGTCCTCGACCGCCGCCACCGACATGGCCTCCGCCACGACCACTGTCACCACCGGCACTGCCACCGTGACCGAGACCGGCACCGCCACCGAGTCGCCCAGCGAGTCTGGTTCCTCCACCGAGACCACTGGCTCCGACGGCGCTGCGGAGACTGGCGGCAACGGCGACAACGCTGCTGCCGGCCTCCTCGCCAAGACGGCTGCCATTGTCGGCGCCTTCGCTGCCGTCTTTGCCCTGTAAAGTGGCTGAAGACGTGCTATGGTGACGATGACGAGTTTCAATTCGCCATGTATATGTATGCACATGTTCATGCAGCGAGTCACATTGTCTCAAAGACGGGGAATGAAGGATGGGTGGAGAACACGGATCTAGGGTCCTTGCTTTTCTTGGATGATGGCAGGGACACACAATACATTAATTTAATACCACGAGCAAACGGCCACTTTCTTGACTGCGTCTCGATCTTTGCGGTGCATGCTACGATGGGGCGAGAATATTGAACTTGCTGGGTAAGATGCCAATACTGGACTCTGGAGGTTCTGCTACCCAGTCAGTGAAAGGTTGCAAGACCCTGGGGTGAGCGGCACTTGGCCGTGAAACATTTCAACATCTGCCATGTTTATTTGTTGATACTGCCGACCAAATATGAGCCCACGCTCGGCAGGGTCTCAGACTCGGTCTCTGACCTACGTATCAATAATAACTCCGGACTTGGTACACTTGGGCGCCCGTCTAGAGTCTAGACACCGCCGTAGCCCGTAACATGAAGATTGTGGCACCTGTTGACACGCCGATATGCGTGACTCAGCGGGAATTTGAAGATATCTCCATTTCAAAATGGAAACTCGCGGAGAGTTTGCGAGATGATCTTCAAGTCTGTTACATGTAGTCAGATATAGTTTACCAAGTGTCGTATGCCACGTTGGTTGTTGGCCCCACTTGGCTGTTAGTGCTTATTGATTTCCCGACGTAGATTTTCAGGGGCATGGAGTTGAAGACAACATGAAGACGCTTCCAAGTTCATCTACATACGTGTAGGCCACCCACAGACTCAATTCAGGCCCGGGAATCCCTCTTTGAGACCCTGAACGTCCAGGAGGCACACCTCATCACGGGCGCCGTCGTTGACCCTGAAGCCCTCCCTACAGTGTCACTGGGCGCGCTCTGCCAACAACAAAACTACAGCCGACCTCACGTGCACGCAACATGGCAAGTCCGCTACCTCCGCCAGTCCTCAGTCTCGGGCTCTTCGTGGCTGCCTTCTCGTTCGCACTCACGACGCGGACAGCCGCCCTCCAAGCCCGCCTCGGAGCATGCGGCCTCCTCGTCGCATTGGTCTGGGCCACGTTGACAGAGGTCCGCAAATTGAACGACAATCACGACTTGCTGTACGTATACGCGACGACTCTCATCGTGGTCCTCTTCCACGCCTGCGACTATCTCGTGGTACTGCGCGCTTCGTCCAGGGAATATGTCGTCAGCCAAGGCACACAACCGACTTTCCTGCGGCAGTATGTCCTGACACCCGTGTCGATGCTCTGCAACTGGCGACGCATAGGAACGCAATGGCAGATCGACAAGATCCCCCCCTTTTCCCCACGTAGTCCTGCCAAGACGCCTTCACGCGCCTATCTGATCGCTACGCGTGTGGTATGCATGGGCCTGTGCTGGGTGGCCATTGATCTCTGCGAGGTGTCCGTGCTACAGTACTCGGAGATGATGACACCTGGCGTGGTCCTCGCGCGTGTCGACCGTCTCACGATGCCCGAGCTGCTATTTCGAGCGGAGTTTGTCGTCAGGTACTTTATCTGCGCCGTCACGGGCGTCTACATGGGATACGCAGGCGTCACGCTCATCGGTCTTGTCCTGGGGCTGAACTCACCACAAGACTGTCCACCAATGTTCGGGTCGCTCCGGGATGCTTACACCGTGCGCGGGTATTGGGGGTGAGTAACCCAACAACCATGTCTATATGGGAGCATGGGTGGTGTAACATACTGACCAATGTCTGCCAGTGACTTTTACCATCAAGGACTGCGAAGGGCTATCACCGGTCCCGCGGACGCCTTTGTGGATCACATTCTGCGCATCCGGCGTGGCACATTGCTCTCACGCTATTTACGACTGACCCTGGCCTTTGCGCTGTCGGGTGTGATCCATTGGGGCGCAGAGGTCAGCTCGGGTGTGGCCAAGCCAGATCGTAGCCAATTCTTGTTCTTCACCAGCCAGGCCTTTGCCGTCATGGTTGAGGATTCAGTGCAGAATCTCTACAAGCGCTCCGGACGCCCGCTGCCGGCCCTTCCGGAGGGACTCGTGGGATATGCGTGGGTTGCAGGCTGGATGCTGTGTGCGATGCCATACATGGGCTACAGTGGAGTTGTCTATGGCGATCCGTTGCCTTCGAAACTCAAGCCCGCCATTTTTCGATTCCTGGCAAGGCTCTCATAAATGTTCGATGCGCATAAATGGCAGCCTGGCTCGCGATGCCTATCTAGCGCCGAACCCTGGGGACACAGAGTGCTGTGGTGGACTGACTGGCTATGGGACGTTGCGCTTCTCCATGCGATATCCCCATAATGGGCTCGAGGCAGCAAGCCACCATGCACGTGCTAGACACACATCAACACGTCCGCAGCAGTCGGCCCCCTCCATCACGCCCCTGAACGTATGCAGCATGACAGACCGGCACATTGCAGCTCGACTGTCCCTAGAACCTGGGAGAGGGGTCCTCTTGCGTACGTTGCGCCATGGCCGAGGGAGGGACGGATGTAGTGTAGGGAACTCGGTCTGTTGGTCCATAGAGACATTGTTGGGAGCTGCAGAAGTATCCAAGTTGTCAAACATGCACTGCCATCTGACGTGCACTACCATCTGACGATACGGCCAGGCAGAGGTCGAGGACCAACGTCGGGTCTGTTCAAGTCCAAGGTGGTAGACCGCCCGCTCATGTGACTGTCACCTATCGCATCTCGGCCAAGTTCCAGCTGTCCATCGTCAACACGACCCCTGCTCGATACCAGACGGCAGAGCTAATGCGTAGCGCTAGGCCCAGCCTAGTTGCGCCTGCACGCATATAGAAGTTGGTCCGGAAGCTACATGTAACTTGAGCGATCCATGCAATCACTCTATGTCCAAGTTTGAGGCACCTTTCTCATCAGCCATCACATGTCCCATCTGCGGCAGCGCCCCCGAGGCATCGAGGAACAAGATGTATTAGAGGCCAAGTTACCGTTCGAGTACGTACTGCATACTGCTTACTCAATAAGGCTGAGCAGACATGTTGCGGAGTAATCCCTGAGGCACTAATGATCCCCTCACCTGGGGTAAGCTGGCCGACTGGAGCACGTAACGTTAGCAGCTGGGGAATATCAACTGGCTCGGGTATTTTCTTGTTAAAAGGATGATGAGTGCTAGTGCTGCACACTGTGGATTCTCGCGGCAGGCACCTCAGCAGCAGCCAACGTCGAGGCGCCACACACACTTTTTCTTTCTCTCATGCATGTCAGTACATGCCGCACGAGGCTCGCACAGCATCGACCTGGCATTAGCTTCCTGTTCAAGGTCGCATCGAGACTATCGCCGACATGGATGGATGGATCCCTGCGAGGCCAGTTACCTGGAATTAGGATTTCCGTGGCGACTTGTTGGCTGCTCTTGCCCCGTCTTGTCTGGCGCGATGATTGACTTCATGTCGACAGATTGCTCTTGCCTTTTCTTCCCGTTGTCACATGATACCTTCTGCGCGGCAGACCACTACTAGTAGTATCACTCAACGATCAGTACTAGGTAGTAATTACTTCCCAAGTGACCAGTTCCTCACAATCAAGCTAGGTGACTCCATGTACGCGGCAGCATCATGTCCATGTCGCATGCCGAAGAGATCCTCGTCCGGTCAGCCGTCAGCCGTCAGCCACGAAGACCCAGTCGTTCCCATTTCCCATGGGTATTTCCGCCTTCTCTCCAGGTTGCTCGGTGGATGGAGGGTAGCATGATATCGGGTGGCCGGATTTCAAATTTCCCTCCAGGCTTCTGCAAAACCGATCTTGAGGAGGGCGCTCCACCTGCCGAAGTCTTGGCTCATCCTTGTGGAATGAGAGGTCGGGCCCATGGCCAACGAGTTGCCATCGACGTGGAGATCAAGAACCAGGATGCAAATAGGATCGAAGACTAACACAATCGAGGATTCCAGCTACAGTACAGTCGCGAACCGGGAGATCAGCCCAAAGGCCCAGGGCCTAAGCAGCCAGGCCTGACAGCGGTCGCAAGTCGCACCCTGGCCCTGGCTCCATCCAGTCGGTGACAAGACCTTAATTGCTGCGCACAGGCCCAGCGAGTCAGCGGCTGGAGCCTGGGATGGCCCGCTGCCGCTGTGCATCCTTCAACCAAGTCGGGTTGGGCAGCTAGGCTAGGTTCCCCGTCAAGTTACGTATTGCCTAATTATGGTGCAGTCTGCAAGTGGCGGGCAGCCTGCGTCTCTGGCCACGAACGGACTAACAACCCGAGCCATGATGAATCGATGATCTCGCGCCGGTCCTTGGTGGCCTGGGCGCTCGAACCCCCATGCCTATCCACTCAAAGTGCCTTACATACGGTAGGTCCAAGTCTCGTGTGGAGCGGTGCGCGGGAAAGAGGCGGACATGGATGGATCTGAGCAGGTCTCCAGTCTCCACGACTACAATTCACAAATCATTCGAGGCAACTCAGCAGGCACTCGCAGCTCCAGTCCCGCCACCATTCGCCCCAAAGCCCTACATACGCAGACGGCGCGCGGCGAGCGTGCGGGCGGGCGGTCGGTCGGTCTCTCGAGCAGTCGTCGATCTGGCTGGTCCAATCCGACGTGGGCGCGCACGGCATCCAGTCTCTTTCTCCCCTTCATTATCAGCTCCCACCTCAATCCACCTCGACTCTTCACCACCACACCACGCCAGCCCAGCGTCAGACAAGGTCACGTCGTCGTCGATTCATCGCTGCCACCCGCGCGCCGAACCCCTTGCAGTGCGCTCTCAGCCTGCGCTGGGAGACCGCCGAGTGGGTTGTGTCTATGTCTCAGTAGGGGTAGGTCTGACGCCTTCTTCCCATCACAAAGGCCCATCCCATCCATTGGCTCCTGGCTCGTCCTCCCGCCGCAGTCACATCCGCATACCAGCTGTCAAAGGTTTGCTCGGATCGGGGCGACGCCGCGCAGCACCTCAATAGCTCACGCTGCCATTGTCACCGGTTCTACGAGGATACAGTGCAGTAGCTTTGTTACACGCCAGGTGGGCACCTGGACCCTTGACTGTGTGTCATTGAGGTCAAGTGCACCGCAATCTCTCGGTCTAAAAGCACACATTGCTACCCTCCGAGAACGAACGACGGCAAGTTCCTCCCATCACGGCTTCGCCTTACAGCCAGACTGAGACATCCAACCTCGTGGAAGGGCTTACCACGGACACGGATACGCACGCCAACAGCTGAACAGCTACGTGCCAAACGTCTCAGCCTCGCGCTGGCAAACGACTGTGGCGTCCAAGCCACCCGCGTTGTCCTCAAACGCTCGTGTGCACTCATTCCACCCGTCCGTGGGCGCTTCGCAAGCCGGCTTGAGGGTCCTACCACGCTAGACACTCGTCAAACCCTCTGGTGACAGTCTGTGTCGGCATCGACAGCACAGACGATAATCCCGCTGACCATATATCGCCTCTTGCAGCCCTGACGACCCCCATTGCTCACCAAGGACTGGCCCAGTGCTGATGACGTCCATGGGATTGCGGCGACTATCAGGTCTGGAGCAAGACGCGCGACAACGTCGTCTCGCGGCTAAGCAATCAGTCGTCTGCGACTCCAAATCAAAGCCCTTCTCTCGCTCCCTCTCTGTCACTCTGCTCTTGGGTTCTGATACACCCCTCCTAAATTTCTGCTTCTCAAGGGATAGCTTTCGCTGTGAGGCCCACTGTCCCCGCAGTGACTGCTGGGCAAAAGCCACGTCTAGGTGTCCTGCGTGAACGTGCATATATCTTACTGAGCCATTGCCGCGATATCACTTGCCGCACCGGGTCGACCTCCCGAGCAACCTCCGCCATGTCACAGAACTATCCGTTATGGGGGCCTGGTGCTTACGCCGGACAGCATCCACCGCCGCACGCATCTGGACCTCCTCTCCCTCAGCCGCCTGCTCAAGGCGCGGAGCCACGCATAAAACTGCCTCCTCTAGCGAGTCTTGGGCCCGTTGGATCGGAGCACGCTGAGCAGCAAGGCCACCAACATGGGCACCACCCTGTCCCGCCAACGGGACCGCCGCAGGCAGCGCCTCGAGAGGTAGCTCACGGACATGCCCATGTACCTCCTCAAGGTCCTCCTCCAGCGCCATATGTGAACGGCCCACCGCCTCACGTGCAAGCATACCACACCCAGCCGCCGCCGCCGCCACAACATCAACACCACCACCAACACCAACAACAGATGAACGGCCATTACGACGACCCGAGGCGACATGGAGAGCAAAACGCCCCCACGTACGCCATGCCACAGCCTTCCTACTACACAACGACACCGACCTCACGAGACCGTATAATGGATATGAATAATGGCGAGCGTTTCGAGGTGGCCGAGTCCCGGGGGTATCCCCCTTCTGCTCCGTCATATGCACAAGGGAACATTCAATCCGAAGGACCCCCTCTACATCACATGGACACGCACATGCATGCCACCGAGCCCATGGTGCCGCACCCGGCGGCCGTGCAAGAGCGACAGTGCGTTGATATGGGGGGCGCTATACCTAATCTCCTGGGCGAAGATCGAGCTCATCTGGTCTCTACCATCAAGTTCAAACTAACGTTGCGCCAGCAGCCCAAAGCGGCCCGAGCCTGTGGCGCTGGGGAGAGAGATCGACGAACCATTGACCCGCCGCCGATTCTGCAGCTACTCATCTCGAGCGATGCGCTGTCCCGGGAAGAAATTGCTATATACCTTCGCCACGAGCCCTACGTGATGACGGCGGAGATCTTTGACGAGACCGGCACCCACGAATGCGCAAAGATGCCTGCCGAGTTCAAGCACCAGCGCCGCATGACCGGCTCGCTAGTGGGCAACCCATTCTTCGGCAAGGACGAGTTCGGCGGGGAGGGCACCTTCTTCCCCTTTGGCGATCTCTCTGTCCGCAGTCTGGGCACCTACACCCTCAAATTCAAGTTGTTCATGATCGACCCGCAAGACCCGCGACGTCGCGCCCCGTGTCTGGGCGAAATCACCAGCTCGCCATTCCAGAGCTACGCCGCCAAGGGGTTCCCGGGAATTGAGCCGAGCTCCAAGCTTGTGAGAGTGCTGAGAGAGCAGGGATGCATCATCTCCATCAAAAAGGGCCACGACAAGAAGAGGCCCTACAGGGACAGCGCAGAGCCGAGCGGTGGCGAGGACGATGATGATAGTACGCCCAGCAACCGTAGGAGACGAGGGGGGGTGAAGGAAGGGCGCTGATGTGCGTGTCGCGGTGTCTTCCTCTCCTGCTACGCCCTGTTTTTCTAGTTCCATGCTTCCAGGCTGTGAGCTACACTTTCACGTGCTATGGGTACATTTGGCGGCGTTGGATCTGCATATCTTGGAAGACCAGTCGACATATCATGGACAGCAAATAACCACGTCAATATACCTAATGATATGGGTCCATAGTCTTTTATTCAAGAGCGATATTTGTTTGGGAGCTGGACAAGTGACAGGCCGTGCATGTCCGCGTATGATCCATACGTGAACGGCTGGCCTAGGGAGGGTGCCCGTTTCTGTGAGTCTGCCGTCGCGAAAAGTCATACCTTCAAGTTAGAAGTCCAATCTTGCCTTCGCCATGCGGCTGACTCCTACCGACATCAGAAGCGGCTTTTTTCACCTTCTCTGCGCCGCAAACTGTAGGTCTCACAAGGGTCAGGCGTTGCTTTTTTGCCAAGTTCACTGTACACGTGGCCAGGTCTTGGATGGCCGAGGGCACGTGTGTGCAAGTTTGCTAACCTCCTTGTCAGATGGCACCGGCTCGAATCATGTGATGTGTGCCATGTGTGTGCCGCTTCTGGGGCAGATGAGATCTGATGCTGGATACCTCGTCATTGCGAGGGCTTCGCACAACGAAGATAGCCCAGGGGCCACAATGCGTTCTACGGTACCATGTGAGCGGAGCCTTGATGCTTGATCGAGTACTACGCTCGTCGGGTATGTCCAGCCGATTTGACATGCGCGTTTCAGTTTACGACTTGCTCGCAAACTAGATGGGACTTTCATGATACCAGACGCAGAAGGCGGGACCTCATCAGGAAGGTCACCGGCAGGAATTGCTCTCAAACACCGGAGGTCTTTCGATCTATACTGGTCTGTCTGTGCCTGGGAGGGGTAGTAAGCAGCGTGCTTGGATTAAACTCTGCGGTGTTTTTGGCACAGAGTCATTTCCTTCCTTCGAGTCCGCGCTCTTGTGAGTCTTTTCTATCCCTACGCTGGCTTTGGTTTTGTCACTGTCCTTTATGGACAGGCTTTCGTGGGCTTGTGGTATCAGTCCAATGTGTTAATCAGCCCGAAACAGCGATGTGATTGGTAGGAAGAATCCTACGAAGCAATTAGTTGATGAGGATCTTGAGATGTTGTTCGAAGGGAGTGAACGCACGCAAAATAAAACACTGCGTTACATTTGGCTTCAATCTAAGTTACCCTGCACCTTTGCTACTGGTAGCTAATTAGTACTTGGTAGACTAGCAGAGTTTCGTCCCATGATGCCTTGTTAATGCCCGATTGACTATACTACTCTACTGTTGGTTTTCTATATGTAATCCTATTAATAATAACAAGACGGTTGCATCTGTTCTAAACCTAGGCTGCAGCTTGCTCAATGGTGTTTGAAAGAAGGTAGCGCTTTGTGCCACACTGCCCTTTGAATGCAAGGAGTGGCTGACTGCAGACGACGTTTGGGCCACCTCACGCCGTCATTAGTGCGGATACACGCGCCCTGATCAGGGTCAAACATTCGTAAATAGAACGAACAAATAGCTGCCCTTGGCTCGGGTAGCCAGGCTATCTCTGCAAGGACGTGCAGACACTCGAGAGCGACTCGCCATGCTCAGCGCCATTGAAGCAGACGAGAACACGATGAAGATGGCGCGCGGTTGGGTGTATAGCATATCATCATTCTCGGTGAGACTGGCCGGCGGCTGGGTGACCTTGACCGCCACTCTACGGGATGCTGACTGCTGGGCGGACCAGTGCATGACCTTCTCCTCTGATACCTACCTATCACAAATTCACGATGGTGCTCTGTGGACATGGCTGGCCTGCCACGTCGAGAGCGCAGGGCGAGGCATGTGCCCTCACGCTACGGAGGACGGCGTTAAAAGTTTTTGGTCGCGCTAATTCTATATATCGACGTAAATAGCTAGTTTTAGTATAAATTTACTAGCGCCGTTCCCCGCCCCTCGATATACTTATTTCTACCCGCTAATTTAATAACCTTCTAAACGTACCTCGGGATATGTTTAATCTACCGCTATATCTACTCTTACGGGAGGTTTTTTTAAGCCTTTTCTTACCTTATAATAGCTTCCTTTCGTATGCGCGGCGTACCCTTCTTCGTAATATATCTCTTTATCTACGGCTAGGTAGGCTCGATTATATTAAGGTCCGGCGAGTTATTAGGCTAAGGAAGGCGGCGCGCGCTTTCCTAATCGAAGACTTAATATTAAAGAGAGTATAAGTATACCGGAGCCTTATCCTCTTAAATTAATATACCTAGCCGGCCGGTAGCTTTATATTCTTTCGCGAAAGGAATTAACTTCGGCGTTAAGATAATCTTCTAATAACGCTATTAGTCGATATTACCTTTACCGCCTCTCGTAAGCTTCCGGGTCTTTTTAATCTATCGTTATTATAGTACGCGGCCGGGGGCTTTACCCTCGCGAAGCTTTATATAATTTATACTAACCTCTAACTCCTATATTTTCCTTACCTCTAGCTTAAGTATTTTATTTAAAGCCTTAAGTTTTTTCTTAAAGGCTCGTTTCTCTTAAGTAATCTTTAGGTATTAATAATAATAAGGACCTTTCTTATCGTAAGAAAAATAACCCTAGAATATAAACTTAGAAGACCCTTTTTATCGCTTATAAATATAGCTTTTATTAATTTTCTCTTTAGGCGTTCGCTAGATCTAATAACTACCGCGGCGATATAATAATACTATAAAGGTCTCGTTAGATTAGATTACCTTTTTCTAATTATTAAGGCTCTAATCCTTCCTTTCGAGGTACTATTTAAGCTATTCTTTCTTTATTTTTTATATTAGACTAAGCTTTTTTATAAGCTTAGTCTTCCAGAAGCTAGCCCTACGGAGTATTCGCCGGATCGTTATAGCCGATATCTCGATACCGAAGTAACTAAGATCGCTAGTAATATTAATATAGCTTTTCTCTCTTCCGTATCGATCGCGGTATATAAGCTTTAAGACCTCTTCTTTAGTAGCGGTTTGCTTAGAAGGACGGCTAGAATAAGGGTTATCGGTAAAGAGGGCGTCTATAAGGACGATCGGCCGGACGGTAAGGTCGAAGCCTCGCGCTATAGCGCGGGTAAATATCGTATTAATTATACTCTTACTAACGCCTATAAGGGCTATTACCTCGATAGTAGTCTTATTTAAGGCCTTAAGGCTTATAATTATAGCCCTTATTATAATATTAGTATATAGTATCTTCACGGTCGGCTTTAAAAGAAAAAATAATTATATTTTATTAATTATAATAACGTTCGATAGTGAGGGGAAAGTCGGCCTAGTAGATTTATACTTAATATAGTGTAAAAATTCTATAGGTCTAGCTAATCCCTGATCTTCTAGCGTCTTAGCGACTAAAAACTTTTGACGCCGTCCTCCGTAGTGAGTTGAACATTGTCGCGAATGGTTGGGGATAGCAGTGGCGCTGTTTCAAAAGTCAGCACAGGGCGCCAGCCGAGGGCCGGATTGAGTCAGCGCGCGTGCTGGCTGGCTCCTTCGCAGCACAGGCCTGCCTCCTGTCATTTTGTTCAACGCTGAAGGGATGGAGGGACGGAAACTAAAAAAAAAGAGAAACAAAACGCATTGATTTGAAACAAGTCTACGAGGCTAATTATGAGGCAGACCATGCGGCCTACGGGCCACGGCAGTACGCACGTAGGTAATTGTTGCCAACAACAGCCAGCGTGCGCATGTTGAGGGAGGATCACTGGCGCCCCCGCTGGAACGAGCCAGACTAGCCAGGACCCAGGGAGAGGAGAGGAGAACGTACGGAGTTCCTGCACGACCGAGAGCAATGGATCCGCAAAAGAGACCGACCTGATTGAGAACATTTCGTGATGGCGATGTTGAGGCTGAGCATTGCTGGTCTCAAAGGTGAGACTGAGTGCGATCAACATTGGGTTCGATGAAGCTTCGTTCTTAAGCTTGAGCCTCCAGACTCCAACGGTCCAACCTTAATTTCTCAGCGGGTGGCCCCGCTGTACAGGCCGGAGGCTGGCCACTGAAGACTCGCGGCTGTAGCCTGTAGGTAGCGCTCAGGGGTAAGGGGCTCCAGTCGGGAAGCGCCAGGCGGGTCTGAGCCAATCGGGTGTCTCAGAGGGCCTCTCATGGTAGCGCGTTTCAGGGTCTGCAGGTACGAACAAGCGTTAAAGTTCCGGGGCCCGCAGGCTCCCCCGTAGCAGTGCGTACTGCGTTCTCCGTTCACAGCACCGCATCACTGGCCTGTTTGCACATTACACCGCGTTCCGAGTGGGCAAACAAATGCATGCGGCCAGCTCGGGAAGATGAGGCCTTGATGCGAAACGTGGGCACATCTCACTCGGTCGTCCAAAGACTTGACGTTGACCAAGGCGTGGCCGCGTGGGTGATGTGGCATCAAAGACACGATCCACTTCACCGCCGGCTGCTGGCACGAGCTTTCACCAAGCCACCATGCGGTACGCAAGGCCAACTTTCATCGACAATGAGCCAAGAGGATGGATCGCTCCTGATGCGTTCCTATGTAATCGAATGTGGTTGGCAATCGGCCGCACCCTGAGCTTTACGAGGCTGGTCTCTCGCTGAGCGTTGATCTGTGGACCCCGGGCGTCCATCGTGGAGATTGAAAGATCGAAACACCCGACCGAGCTTAATTGCCTAGTGGAAACAACTGTTCACGATCATCGATGATACTTTAGACTGCCGTGGGGGATCATGTATTCGACACGAGGGCCGCACGACCTACTTATACTTACGCATAATTAGCTGGCCAGCAAATCTAGGAGCAGCAGACAATTGCCAAGTCCTCAGTATCTGCGCTCGATCCCTTGCGTAAAGGCTTTTGAAAGACTGCTCAGGGGCCTCCTCAAGGACCCCTGCCACATCTGAGGCACTGATCGTAACAAAGCGCGCCGGCATGCAAGGTACAAGCGCGCCCATGCCGGGCACCCCAGTCGGTGCCAGCCACGCCTCCCTGTCGCCTCGATACCTGCGAATGGCGGGAGGCCACGCCCAGACTGCGGTCCAGTCTCGTCGCTGGCGTCTACTTGTAGCTGTTCTTTGAACACTGCGCAGCAATGCTCCGTAATAAGAACAAGGGTCTCAGACATCTGAGAGGGCACAAGCAATGAATGGTGGAGTCACTATCCAGGTGAGAGCCCCCCCTGTATTAAAACTTCCCACCCCCTTCGCCACGCCCTCAATGTCCAACGACCTCTGATCTCTTCCTCTGCTCGTCTTCAACCTCTTCTTTTGACCTTTGTCCATCCATTCCTTTCAACTGCTGGAGACTACCTGCTGAGCACGTCCTCTTCTTTACACACAATTTGAACAGACAATCACTGTTCTTTTCTCTCATTTACTCACTTTCATCCCCGACATCTTGCTTGACTCGACTCGGCTAGCCCGACCTCGACAGCAGAACAAACAACCAAGAAACATTCTCACTTGGTTTCAAGTGCTCAAAGTACCCTCCAACTCAAGGACTATCATCCCAATTCAAAAGAGCAAACACTCCGCTTCAACCATCATGAAGGGCTTCTACTACGGAGCCGCCCTCGCGGCCCTGGCTGCCACTGGCGCCAGTGCAAAGGACGAGCGTACCTTTGCTGTCCTTCGCTTCACCAACAAGCAGCTCACCCAAGGTCCCATCGACCCCATCGTCTCCCCTGGCAGGCGTGCCACCCACTCCCACATCATCATGGGTGGCAGCGGCTTCAGCTCCACGGCCACCGGCGAGGACCTGATGAACTCCCAGTGCACCAACGCCCAGATTGTCGGCGACAACAGTGCCTACTGGTTCCCCCAGCTGTACTTCTACGACGAGGACAGCGGCGAGTTTGAGTCCGTCAACGTCAACTACGTCAATGTCTACTACTTCTTCGAGGCCACCGACGACGAGATCGTCGCCTTCCCTCCCGGCCTCAAGATCCTCGGCGGCGACCCCAACGCCCGCGAGATGCCCGCCTTTGGCTCTGCCACCAACCTGGACCCCAACAAGGGCCCCATTCAGAACGTCAAGTGGACCTGCCCCCGTCTCAACAACGAGTACAACCCTCCCTCGTGGCACGAGGACTCGGACGGCACCACCTGCGGTGTCGGCGACCCCATCAACAAGGGCGAGGGTGTCGGGTTCCCCGACCAGAACTGCGACGGCCTGTACTCGCCCCTGCGTGCCGACGTGCACATGCCCTCGTGCTACGACCCGGAGAAGGGCCTGGAGGACCACAAGAACAACATGGCCTGGCCCGAGGACAACGGCAACGGCAAGCTCAACTGCCCCGAGGGCACCATCCACGTGCCTCACCTCTTCCTCGAGGTCTACTGGGACACGCCCGACTTCAAGGACCGCTGGACGCCCGGCCAGAAGAAGCAGCCGTTTGTGCTGTCCAGCGGCGACGCCACCGGCTTCTCCTCCCACTTTGACTTTATGGCTGGCTGGGACGAGGATGTCCTCCAGAACATTATCGACACCTGCGACGCCGGCACCTCGGGCATGAACAACTGTCCTGGCGTGACCGTCAACGAGGAGGACTGCACCATCCCCGCCGAGTTCGACGACAAGGTCATGGGCACCATGTCCACGCTGGCTGGCAACTGCCCCCTGACCGGCTGGAGCTACGGCCTCAAGGGCGTGGTGGACGATGTCAGCGACAATGTCAGCGACGTCGTCGACGACGTCGTTAAGCCTGACCCTACCACGTCCCAGGCTGTGAGCTCTGTGCCCGCCGCCTCGCAGGGTCTGCCCGAGGTGTCCCACGCCCCCACCAACGTCGTGGAGAACCCCTACGTCCCCGAGGCGTCGGTCGAGGCCGAGGAGGACCCCGTCGTCGCGCCCGTCTCGTCCGCCGATCCTGTCGTGGCCGAGCCTGTCGCGCCCGAGCCCACCAAGACCACCAGCAGCTGCGAGAAGAAGATCCACACCGTCTGGGAGACCGTCACCGAGACGGAGAATGTCTACGCCGAGCCCACTGGCTCGGCCAAGGCGCGCCGTGACTCTCACGGCCACAGCCACCTCCACGGCCGCCGCCGCTTCCACTAAGCTGGTGGCAGTTGAGTTGAGTACTACCAAGGGACTGAACCCTGAAAGTTGATTCATTTACATTGGGCATCCGGACATATGGGGTGGTTTGGGGACTGGACAGCAAGCGACGTGGGACAAAATGGGTGCATTGCGAGACTACATCACTTCTCTTCCATCTTCCCGCCTGACCTGCCGTTGCGGTTGGTCAGGCATCTTTTCTCTCTCTTTGGCCATCTGGCTCTTTTGCCATCGGCTTTTTCTTTCTTTCTTTTTCGTGTCTACTTACAGCTGTTGGATACCCATGAAGTGCCTTCACGGGCTGGATAGAGGAGCAATTGGATGAATGTCATTTCCTGCCTGGGTTTGCTGTGACCTGTGACCTGTCTCGGGGAGCCTTGCTTGCTTCATAGCGTGGAAGAGTCAGCATCTTGACTCAATAGGATTCATGAGGAGCCCCCTCATAGTGAGTATCTACAGTTACCGTAGTGTTCAAAAATATCCTAGAAGAGAATGATCCCGTCGCTCCTGCCAATCTGACATGAACGTCGTTCCTGCATTAGACCCAACTGCACAGTGCTGGTACATTTATACACCGTACACACACTGTCCAAAACTCTACCTGCAGCCTCAACTGTGAACGCCTGAGTCCAGACTCCGTGACTGCACCCTCCGTACCCTCGCAATCTCAATGTCCCTCTATCACGAGGCGGCCGAGCTTCTACTCGCCTCGCCAAACGAGGGTGGCAGCCTCAAAGCCCGCGTCTTTCGCCGCAAGGACCTCAAGTCTCCACCAGCCCAGCTGTATGCCCTGGTGCTGGAGACGTGCAAATGGAGCGCCGTGCTGAAGGAGGTTGTCGAGAAGAGCGAACTGCTCAAGCTCGAGAGAAAGGTACTTACAGCACACCACTCTCCATGAAAGAACGTACACTTACTGACACGATGCAGCTCACGCCCGCACTGGCACTTCTACTGGTGCATGATCTGCTGATATCAAAAAAGGGCCTCGCCCTGCCACAGAGCCACGGTCTGAGCCAGAACGTCGTGAAGCACAAGGGGAGACTCAGCTCCGAGTTCACACGTGCGAGACTACGGCGGAAAGCACCTACCGTCGACGCACTGAGAGAGCAGGTGGAGGCTGAGGCTGCTGGTGATGCCGAGGGCTATCCCCGCTGGGTGCGAGTGAACGCGCTCAAGACGACGGTGGAGGAGCAGCTGGAGACCACCTTTAAGAACTACGAGAGGGCCAGCACCCTGAAGGAGGTCATCACCACCAAGGCTCGACAGGCCATATGGGTCGACCCCCACGTACCAAACTTGCTCGCCGTCACCCAGGGCACGGCGCTGTTCAAGACGGAGGCGTACACATCGGGCAAGATCATTCTCCAGGACAAGGCGTCCTGCTTCCCCGCGTACCTGCTCGACCCCCGCGCGGAGGATGGTGATGTGATTGACGCCTGTGCTGCGCCGGGCAACAAGACGACACACCTGGCCGCGGTCCTCCACAGCCACCGGCCCGAGTTCGACAGCCCGCCCCAAACGGTGTATGCATTCGAGAAGGATGCGGGCCGGGCCAAGACCCTGGAAAAGATGGTCACCATTGCCGGGTCGAGGAAGACGACCAAGATTGGCCCGGGGCAGGATTTCTTGAGGGTCAACCCCCAGGATCAGCGATACGCCAACGTAGGCGCACTCCTGCTCGACCCCAGCTGTTCGGGTAGTGGGATTGTCGGCAGGGACTCGATGCCCGAGTTGCATCTCCCCGAAGCGATCGGCGCCAGCAAGAAGAAAGCCGCAGAGCCCAGCAAGACGCTCAAAAGGAAGCACGAGGAGGTGGCGGCGCCCGAAGAAAACATATTGCGGGACGACGACGGCAACGAGACCATTGTCAAGTCGGAGAAGGACCTCCAGTCTCGTCTGGAGGCCCTGGCGTCTTTCCAGCTCACGCTCGTTTTGCACGCGTTCAGGTTCCCGCGCGCGACAAAGGTCACGTACTCGACATGCTCTATCCACGCAGAGGAGAATGAGTCTGTCGTCATGAAAGCCCTGCAGTCCGACGTTGCTCAACGGCGGGGATGGAGGATCCTCAAGCGAGAGGATCAAGTCAGCGGTCTACGGGACTGGGAGGTGCGCGGCCTGAGCGAGGCGTGCGACGGCGACAAGGATATTGCGGAGGGTTGTATACGGTCTTATAAAGGCGATGGGCGTGGTGTCATGGGATTCTTTGTCGCGGGGTTCGTGAGAGCCCCCGGCGACGATCTACGGGAAGAGGAGCAGGAGAATGAGGGGCCGTATGTACGGGACGAGGACGGCGTCATCGTCCGCGACGGACAGGGCATGCCGGTGCTCAAGTCTACGGGGGAGCCAGTCACTCTGCGGCCCCGGGACGCCGAAGAGGAGGAGGACATTGTTGACGGCGGCGACGACGACGTTGAATCAGCCAGCACGGATAGCAGCAACAGCAGCAGCAGCGACGACGACGACGACGACGACGACGACGACGGTGGTGAAGACGAGTGGGCTGGTTTCGGAGATTAGAGTGTTTGAGACGAGCAAACTTTTAACTCATTCGATCAACAGAGGATCGTATCCACCGTCAGATTGCCCGGGATGGCTTTCGTCGTTGTGCAATGCCTCGGGACGGAGGGTGGCCGAAAAGAGTTGTGCACGCTGCGTGCCTTTCAAGTGCAGAACTGCAGATTGCTGCTCGGCAATGGCGTGCCGAGCGAGTACACACGAGCGAGCCACTGGTTCCTTTTTTTATTTGAATGCCGGCCGCACCGGATTTTACGGGTCTCTGCGGCGGCAGACAGACATTACGTATCAATCCTAGGCCAAGCGAGTGTCTAACCTCCCAAGCGAAGGTGGCCTCGACGTGTGGTGATCTGCACAATAGATCTTCTGGCCATCGCCAGCCTGGCCAGCATGTTGGATCCGAGGACAATTCAGCCAGCAGCGATCTACCTTGTCGGCGCGAGATGGTGCAAATCTTTGATCCGGGATTCGGGGCCGGCACGGCGTTAAGGGGGACCGCCAAGGATGGATCTAGTGGTGGGTGCCATCGCGTGCGGCTGGCTGGCCGGCTACATGCATGATAATAGCGGCTGGCTTGCTGCCTCTGACGGATCAATCAATCATCGAGCAGCAGTCTGTCTTCTGGAACAATGACGTCGACCAGGGTCTTGCAATTGGTCCTCCCCCTGGTGGTTGCGCAACGACTGCGAGCTTGCTAGCGACGCGATGCTGACACCATGGCATGGCAAAGCAGACGAGCAGACGAACAGGCGAGTAGACGAGCAGACAAGAGCAGCATCAGCAGCAGTCCTGGATGATGGGTCAGTATTTCACAAGCAAGCATCATTATCGACGGCCAGCTGCGCATCGACCGAGGTTCTTTCGCGTCGCCCTGCCAGGCTAGTCACGGTCCACCTTTTCATTTATCGTTCATCTGCCTCGCTACGCCGACGGATGGCCGCTCCAGCAGGATGGATCCACACCACGGCGAGGAGGGAAAAATGCGTGCGCGCGCCCGTCTTCCTCTCACATTGACAACCAAGTCCGCCGCCTCGCGCCGTCAGAGCACCCGAAACCCGTTCGCTCATGACTCCCGCGTGCGTGGGCGTGGGCCCGTTTCCCAGGTTCCCTGGCATGACCTTAATAATACGGATACAGCCCGCTGAATAAAGGGCAAACGGACGGGCTAACTTTCTTTTTTATCTCATATTATACCCAGTAATTAGCTATCAGACAAGCAAGCACGCGAAGCGGGTCCTTGTTTGCGCCCGACGGATCGCAAAGACAGAAATTCGGTCCACGGCATATTGCATATAACAACCCTGGGCGCACCACTACACTACGCACTCCGTGCTCACCCTGCCACTCACTCACTCACTCTTCTCTTTGAAGCAGTCTCACGTCGGGTCCGTCTGCGTCATCCAAGGTAATCACCCGCCCACGCAACGCACACACTCTGGCCAGGATGGCCCCATCGTCACATCACTCCGCATCATCGTCGTCAGCCTCGTCCTCTTCCGCGACCATGACCGAACGCGACCCCGAGAGCCAGCAGCCCAAGGGCAACCACAAGGTGAACTATGTCCGCGGCCTCATCGACCAGGCCGGCGTCACGGACGCGGTCCTCAACCACCACTACGCAGGCGAGGGCACGACCGAGTCGCCCTACCTCGTCGAGTTCCTGCCCAACGACCCCTACAACCCCATGGGCTTCAAGCGCTCGCGCAAGTGGTTGATCACCATTGTCCAGGCCTTTGCGACGCTCTCCGTCTCCTTTGCCAGTTCCGCCTTCTCGGGCGGCATCGCCACCGTCCTCTACGACTTTCGCGTCTCGCAGGAGGTCGCCATCCTGGGCGTCTCCATGTTCGTCCTCGGCTTCGCCATTGGGCCCCTCTTCTGGGCGCCCCTCTCCGAGATGTTCGGCCGCCAGAAGCTCTTCTTCATCACCTACATGGCCATGACGGCCTTTGAGGCCGGTGCCGCCGGCGCGCCCAACATCGAGACGCTCATCATCCTCCGCTTCTTCGCCGGTGCCTTTGGCTCGTCACCCCTGACCAACGCCGGCGGCGTCATCGCCGACATGTTCGTCGCCAACGAGCGCGGTATCGCGACCAGCATCTTCGCCATGGCGCCGTTCCTGGGCCCCGCGCTCGGCCCCATTGCCGGCGGCTTCCTCGGCCAGGCACACGGATGGCGCTGGGTGCAGGGCATGATCACCATCTTCAACGGTATTTTGTGGATCGTGAGCACCGTCACCTACCCGGAGACCTACACGCCCGTCCTGCTGCAGCAGCGCGCCAAGGCGCTGTCCAAGAAGACGGGCAAGGTCTACATCTCCAAGCTCAACGTCGGCCAGCCCAAGCTGGGCGTCGCCGCCCGCCTCAAGGGCGCACTCCTCCGCCCCTGGATCCTGCTCTTCGTCGAGCCCATTGTCCTCATCACCTCCATCTACATGGCCATCATCTACGGCACCCTGTACCTGTGCTTCGCCGCCTTCCCCATCGTCTACCAGCAGGGTCGAGGCTGGAGCCCTGGCATCGGCGGCCTGGCCTTCATCGGCCTGGCCGTTGGCATGACCATTGCCGTCGTCGGTACCATTTTTGATAATAAGCGCTATGCCCGCACCGCGGCCAAGCACAACGGCGCGGCACCCCCCGAGGCCCGTCTGCCGCCCGGCCTGGTGGGCTCTATCCTCATCCCCGCGGGCATGTTCTGGTTCGCCTGGACCAACGGTCCCGACATCCACTGGTCCGTCTCCATCATCGGATCTGGCGTCTTCGGCGCCGGCATCGTGCTCATCTTCCTCTCGCTGATGACCTACCTCATCGACTCCTGTAAGTGTTTCATGCATTGCCTCTGATGGATCGCGTGACTAACCAGGAAACAGACGTCATCTTCGCTGCCTCAGTGCTGGCCGCCAACTCGGTGCTCCGCTCCCTCTTTGGCGCCGCCTTCCCCCTGTTCACCTCGTACATGTACGAGGATCTCGGCATCCACTGGGCCTCGTCGATCCCGGCCTTCCTCGCCGTCGCCTGCGTGCCGTTCCCCTTCCTGTTCTACTACTACGGCCACCGCATCCGCGCCAACGGCAAGTACGCCTCCGAGGCGGCGGCCGTGCTGCAGCGCTTGCGCACCAAGACCGAGGACACCAGCGACACGGGCGCCGTGGGCGAGGAGATGCAGATGGAGCGGACGCGGAGCAACGCGATCCCCAACTGAGGGGAGGAGAAGAAAAAAAGAGGAAGAGGCAAAACTCATTCAACGGCGTTTGGGCGGCTGGCTGGGCATCAGACATTGTGCATGGGAGGCGTTTTCGATACTAGACCTTGATATCCCGAGCTTGCTGTGGACTGGACACAGGAAGCTCATGCGACAAGCAGTCGATGCTACACATAATAGAGTTCTCATTAGTTGATACTATGCGCAGTAGAGTTCTCATTCTATCAAGTGCTTAAGATCAGCCGCCGTCGTTCATGTCCGCAGCGAGGGGAAACGCTAACTCAGCCTACCCTGGTCCATCACAGACTAAGCCATGAGTAGACTAGCGCGCCCTCCCCATCCATCCCGCCATCAAGATTCAATTCAAGGTTGTCGCGTCTGGCACCACCTTTTCCTTCGCGCGCCATCCTGGACGCGTAAATTAGTATCCGACGCTCGTCCATCTACTCATCCCGTCTCCCACCTATCCAACCGGCCCGCTACCACTTCGATTCAACAACACTCCCAACAGAGCCACTTTCCAGCCAAGCTGGGGCAAGCCTGCGATGGCTGCCCTCTCGTCAGAGCACAGCTCTCCAGGCGACTCGACGTCATTCTACTCTGTGCCCGAAGGCAACTCGACGACCGCGAGCAGCCCCCTCAACAGCGACCCCAGCCCCTACCGCGAGGCGCGACAGTTTGGGTACACCCTGAAGCAGGCCATCAAGATATCGCTGGAGGAGAAAACATGTAGGCAGAACGCGAGCCTCGAGTAGGCGTGCTAGAACGAACAATGGCTGACCTGTCTAGACCTGTCCGGCCTCAACCTCTGCCGCAGTGCGCTCGCTGCTGGCGCCTCGAAACGAAAGAGCCACGCAAAGCCAAGACCCGTCCCCATCCCGCCGCCCAGGCATCTGGCCCTCATCGCGACCCTAGCCGTGCACCCCGAGCAGACCACGCGCGTCGAGAAGGGCAGCCAGACGGCCATCTCGTCGCATGCCCTCGACTACCTCCGCAGCCTCCTCCACATTGTCGGCCCGCTCCATGCCGACTTTCGAGCCGCGTTTCAGTTCCTCCACCTCGGCAGGCCCGGGCGCCGATCAGGCTACAACAGCCACGGCAACAATAGTGACTTGTCCGACTATGAAGCTGAATCCGACGCCGCCGACCGACTGAGGGGCAAGCTCGCCAACGAGAGCTCGCTCTGGCACCGGGGCCGGGACTTTTGGTCCGTCCTGGGATGGGCGCTCAACTGCAGCGCCCTGTATCCGCAGCGCTGGCGGTACTGGAAGCCCTGGCTGGAGTTCATGGTCGACGTGCTCGAGGCGGACTGGCGAGAGCGGGAGCGGCAGGACCTCGACGCGTACGAGGCTGATGGCAGTGTCGGCGAGGTGCCCCTGACGCTACGACACGACTCCATGATCGCCATGTACATGGACGAGCCGCAGAGCGGGCGGCGCGGGTCGCCCAAGCTCTTTGTCAAGGCGCTCCTGGCGGATGGCAGCGACCTGGCGTCCGCCGCGTTCCCCGAGGTGTTTGAGAAGGAGCCGCGGGGACGCAAGAAGGAGTCGAGAAAACGCAAGAGGGAGAGCATCAATATTGAGAGTGGCAACTTTGGTGACTATCTGGACGACGACGCCATCTCCTCGGGGGGCTCCGAACCACCGACGCCACAGAAGACGCGGTCGTCGGGACGGGCGCCGTCGCGGGAGACCACCTTTGGGGAGCAGCACGCCGGGTTCGTCGAGTCCATCGACATCCGGCTGCGCCTGTTCAAGCTGCTCTCCCTAGCGCTCTGGCAGTTTCACAAGTTGGATGAGATGGACGATCTCTACATTAAGTTTGCGGCCGGGCTTCGAGTGCTTTCGCTGCCAGCCTTTGCGCTCGTTGTGACGCAGCGGCACAACGCACTCATCCCCGAGACGCACCCCACCGTCCTCAAGGGGCTGTTCCACCACTTGTTGTCGCGATACAAACAGCCGGGCTTGGTGGATCCGGAGGGCGAGCAGGCAGCGGCTCTGTCAAGCATCATGCTCGCGAGGTGCTACGCCCTGCACGCAGCCAACAGCACGTCTGCCGAGGATAATGCGAAGCTATCCATTGCGATCGAGAGCGCGCTGCAGCTGATCTGGATGAGCAACAAGGTCGGCAACGACAAGGAAATGAGAGAAGTGGTGGGGGCTGTCGAGACTGGGATCGCGGCACGCGAGAACAAGGTCAAGGTGAAGAGGAAAAGCGGCAAGAATACGGCGGGCTCGGCAGAAGTGATGGCTCACGAGATGCTGAGTAACTCTTCAGAGCGGCTGCGGATCTTGTTGGACGTGATACAAGCTACGCATGGGGCGGCGGCGTGATGGCTGTTCAGAAGTGACTGATGACACACACGATGGCATGAATAAGCGGCGTTTGTCTGGAGAGATGTTTACAAGGATACCACATTGCTCGGACATGGCCTGGCGTTTGGGCTTGGATTCCTTCTTTTATGCACACAATGATACAGATAGTAATTACATGAGGATACCCAGCATTCTTTCGTTCTTCCTTTCTTCATCGTTGCTTGCCGCTACCGGGCGTCCAAGCCTCTGGCTGCCAATTCTCACTCGGTCCACTAGACCTGTGCGCTGCCCACGGGTCCTCCTTCTCTTTCGCCTTTGTGTTCTGCTGCTGCTGTGTCGTCTTCTCCTCCTGCCGCTCGTCCTGCTTCAACGGACCCTTGGCCCCGGGACTCTGCAGCGCTGGCGACGGCTGCCCCGACTGCTGGCCGGGCGCATCCATCACCCGCGGCTTGGCCGCCCACCGGGCGTCCGCCTCGGCCGCGAGCACGCGCATCCTCGCCTGGCGCGCCACGTCGTCCTTTTGCTCGCCCACGCTGGGCGGGTCGTTGCGCGTGTAGCGCAGCCACTGATGCCACTGCGGCGAGATGTGCACGTCCGAGAGGTGTGTCGAGCGCGGGTATTTGACGATGCGGCGCCAGCGGGTCGCCTTGTCGACGCCGGCGAGGCGGAACTCCCAGTATGTGAAGCCGTTGAGGTCAAAGCCTGGCTGTGGTGAGCATGCAAGGGCCTTGAGAAGGGCGCAGAGAGGGAGAGCTTACCGACGAGGAACTTCCGCCGCCAGGGCAGACGGAGGGCCTTCCATCTGTACCAGGACTGCGCCAGGACACCGATTCGTCTCGAGGGCGGCATGGCTGTGTGTGTTGTGTGTGGTGAAGACTGGCGCTGGCGCACCTTTCGCGATGATGAGGTCAATCAGACATGCACCAATAATTAATGCTGAATTATGCATCGATGCATCGAATCCCGATCGGACAGGGATTGCCTCAGCCACAGTCTCCAGCCACATAAGTAATACGTGCAGCACGTCTTCGCCTTCACCCATTCCTCCTTGGCACCGCTACGTAATTGAAGCTACCACATATTACAGCTACACCCCGCGACTGCGCCACGGCCTTTGCTCTCGACAACACCTGAACCGTTTTGCCTACCTTTGCTTCCACGACTCGTCCCTATTTGCGACAACCTTCTTTCGACGCTGACTGAGACACGGCGCCCCTTCCTCAGAGGCACTGCTATGCGCCGCATGCCAGTCTAGTTACCAGGCGTCGCACCCCGCTATCGCATTCCGCGCCAGCCAAAGACCCGCTGCTGCCCAACAGCTCAACAAGGTGACGACAGGAGTCGCGAATCTGATTCCTTCTCTATCCAACAACGGAGAGTGATATCGAGAAATTTACGCCATGGCTTCCGTTTCATCATTGGACAAGGACTTGCGCAGGGTGCGCCTCGACAAGTACACGCCAGCTGCGGCGAACGAGGTGCGCTCGTGGATCGAAGACACCTTGGGCGAGAGGCTGCCGTCATCCGACCTCCTCGAGGGACTCAAAGATGGCGTTGCGCTCTGCAAGTGGGTGCTTCCCCTGAGCTGCTGTCACCATCGAGACAAACTGTCCGCTAACTAACAATCGCGCAGGCTGGTCAACCTCGCCGTCCCTCCACCTGGCGTCAAGTTCAAGCAGTCCGCCATGCCTTTTGTGCAAATGGAGAACATCTCCATCTTCCTGCGCGCATGCCAAGGACCGCCACTCAACCTCCACCAACATGACACCTTTCTCACTGTCGACCTGTACGAGCAAAAGGACCCTGCCCAGGTCCTCCAGTGCCTGGGCGCTTTCAGCCGCGCCGCCCACGCGGCGAACCCGAGCCGATTTCCTACGGCCATAGGACCGAAGAACAGGATGAGCGTCGCCGAACCACAGAACTCAGCGCCCTCGACGCCGATCCGCAACAGGGGTATCTCTGTGACAAGCAACACATCCTCAGCCTACGGCTCGAAGCCTGTGCTCTCACACCGGACGGGTGATTCAGCCTCGGGCCGGTATAGCCCGACTAAGAGTCCCAACAATGGCGCCAGCTCACCTGGTCCTGTTAGTAGCTGGAGTAAGAGGGAGCACGAGGGTGCTACATCGCCGGCGTGGAACATTGCACAGTACGGATACATGGGTGGCGCAAGTCAAGGAAACCTGGGTATCGCCTTTGGAGCGCGGAGGCAGATCACCACGAGTGGTCCCAAAGTGCCAAGCCTCGCTGACAAGGAGCGCATGCGCAAGGAGAAGGAGGCAGAGGAAGAGAGAGAAAGACTTGCGGCGGAAGAGGAAGAGCGCCGGCGAAGAGCGGAACTAGAGGCGGAGGAAGAACGCGCCCGGCTGGACGAAGAGCGCAGGTGGGAAGAGGAGACCAACCGCGCGCGTGAAGAGGAGCGTCGAAGAGCGGAAGAGGAGAAACGGCGTTGGGAGGAGGAGGAACGCGAGTGGCGGCTCACTGAGGAAAAGCGAAGGCGCGAGGAGAAGGAGGCCGAGGAGCGTCTGGAGGCCGAGCGCCAGCAAATCCGAAGTCAGGGGGGCAGCACACCCAAGGGCTCACTCCGCAGCCAGCACACTGGCAGTGGCGACACAAACTACGGCGACAGGATCAAGCAGCTCGAGAAGGAGCTGGAAGAAGCTCGCCAACGAGAGGCCGAATATGAGCGCGAACGCCAGGCAAGGAGTGGCGGCTCGAGTCGTGCCATCAGCACGGGAGACAAAGACGCCAAAGACAGGGCCAGGTCCAAGAGCAGGGGAGACAAGGATGCGAAGGCCAGAGCTAGGTCCAAGAGTAGAGGACTGGGCGAACCCGGTCGTCAGGACTCGTACGTCCGTGGTGAGCGAGAGGTTCTGAGCACTGCGTGGAATCGGTATCAGAACGGCGCCGACCACGAGGCCATCCCTGAATCGGAGGTGTCGTCTCCTCCACCAGGGCGATCTCCTCGACCCCTTCCGAACCCCACAGCCCAGCCTGAGCACGTCTCCTCACCGCCGGCGCACACCACGCCAAGAGCCCCCCGTCCTCTGCCCAAGCCAGCGGTGACCCCAGAGGCTGCCTCGTCCTCGTCCTCTCCGTTCAACGCCGCTCGCTCGCCTCGCCCTCTGCCCGAGCCCACGGCCAAGTCGCCTCCAGTGACGAGTCCCAGCGCTAGCGGCGGCGGAGGACGACCCCTCCCGGACCCCAAGACGTACTCGTCACCCCCGTCCGCACACGCCAGCCGCACAGACCGTTACCTCTCATCCAACCCGGCGCCTTCCCCCTCAGGGCCCCAGCAGACGTACGCGCGCGAACTCGGCGCCACAGCAGAACAGGACGGCGAGGACCGCCGCCGCGTCCAGAGCCAGCAGCAGACAAAAGCCGGTGGATGGGCGAGCAAGTCTCTGCTCGAGCGGGAGATGGAGCGCGAGCGCGAGAGGCAGCGGGAATGGGAAGAGGCGCAGAAGGAGACGGCCGCCGCCGCCAGGAACTCGGATGGCGTCGACGGCATCAGCGGCGGCATCGGCGGGAAGTGGGACGTCAGTCAGTGGAGTGGGTTCACGGGTGGTGATGGGCAGAACAAGGGCACCCAGGGCATCGGGGCTGGGCGAAGGCAGATAGTCGGTCCTCGGCCGTTACCTGGACCTGGCTCCAAGCAATGAATATGACGACGCAAGAGAGCCGGGCGGCCTGCATTGGATGGACTTTGGTTTACTATTACCGTGGAGCAGGCCACTTGGACAGACAATGATTAAGTACTGAGTGTTTTGAAAGAAAACACAAAAGGAGAATTATTAAACAACACCTCGCTATGTACCTGACCATCGCCGACAACTGACCCGCTGCTCTCATAAACACCTTCAGTGGGCCCCTGAGAACTCGAGCGCAGCCCGGAACTACCTGCCCCTTTCTTCCCAAGATTGATATATATGGTGGATTTTCTTTGCTTGATTTTCCAAAATGCCACAAACCCCCTCGTTACCGTTGCTCATAATGACTTTATACTCTCGCTCTCCCAGTCATGTCGCGGCTGCAGCCTCCGTCCGGCAGCGTTGGCACATGCACCACCCCCCGAGACTTCCTAGTGCCCATTCCCGACGTTCCTTGACGGGCATGGTGATATCGTTGTAGTGATTGAGGATCTCTTCCCCTTTTTTGATGCCTCCGGGACGTCCATCAATCCTCTCCTTCTTAGCCCACAACACCATACGGCCGCCCCATTCCCAGGTGACATTGGGATCACAGTCGTGGTTCGCAAGACACCAGTATGGATGGACGGCCGCAACGTCAGGTCGACCATCTGCATATGTCTTTCTGGCCGAGGCAGTGCCCCTGAACTTGGCGTACAGCGTGTTGAAGAGCCACAGGTCGTGTCGCGGCAAGGTCTTGTATATGTCAATGTCCATCTTTTCGAGTACGTGGAGAGGCGTCTCAATGTTGTATTTGAACGAAAATGGCAGTGTCCACTCGGGAGGCGGTCCGGCGTTGGGCGAAGGGTCAATGTCGTTGCTCCGGCTGGGCACAAAGTCACCCCAGATGAACTTGACTTCGCGCACGTCGAGCGGGTTGACGTCCTCGTGGACGGCAAGAGCAAGAACACGCGAGAGGAGGAGGAGGTAGAGAGTGTCGCCCGTCTCTTGTGCTTCGGGATCTTTGGCGATTGCATCGACGTCTTGATCGCAGACAGCCGGGTGGTACCGCTCCTGCGCCTGGTCGTGGCAGTACTGACTGCAGAACACCGTGTCTTGACACTCAATGCAGTTCACTGCTTCATTTTCGCTCCCGAGAGGTGGGAGATCGGAGCCGCAGGCGTCGCATACCGAGTCCTTCAGCCTGTTGTTCGCAGTCAGCAGCGAATACTCTCTGAGCACTGCCTCGCCAGGTTCTATGTCCTCCTTGGCAAAGACACCGAGTTGTTGGCAAGTCGGGATCACTTCGTATTGATCGGTCTCGCTCTCGCCTTCTAGCAGCACAGGCAAGGTTGCTGCACGGACTTCACACTTTGGTGCCATGTGCGCCAAGTCGGCGTTGATCGCATTGAGTGACTGGGGGTCGAACCGGTCGGGCTCGTGGTCATTCCAGGGGTAGACCTCGCGCCGCACCAGGCCGTCTTCAGGTAGGTCGTCAATATCAAACTCTGATCTCCCAAGTTTCCGGCGCGCAAACGTTTCGATATGGCCTTTGCAGTTCAGTAGCTCCCTGTTCCCAGGTGCCACGCTGAGACCTCTGTGGCAGAAGGTTGCCGAGCTCCTGAGGCAGCCGCACAGGAGAAGACTCAAAGACAAGATCTGAAAGGCACGACCAGATGCTAGGACTGCGAGACGATCTAGTCTTTCTTCATCAGAGGTTGCCTGGGCGTTGAATTCTGCCCAACCTGCGGACAATTCGCCAAAGTCCAGGATGTCTGGCACAGACTCGCCGACATGGCTTCGGAGCGCTTCCGAGGCCTGTTCGTAATATTCGAATCCTTCATCGCGAGCTTCATCAGTTAGGAGCAGGGCACGATACGCATCTCCAGCGGCAAGGTCAGGATAGCCCAATTCGGAGTATACGAGGGCGCGTCGAAGGTACGTGATTGCGTCGTACGGTTGTTTCTCCAAGTCATTGGTCAGGTGTCGTCGCCTCCCTAAAAGATATTCTCGAAGCTCCGGTTCTGTCATGATGGCTCTGACGAACCCTGGGCGGGAGCAGTGGGATGAAGTCGACGTCCAGATCAAAGGACAATGAGTGGCGGCAGAAAAGCCCTTTTGTCCCCACCAGCGTCGTTGATGAAGGCTTCTCTCCCGATGTGGTTGAGCGAGAGCACACAGCAAGTGGCTAAATAATCTGAGAGACTCTGGGACGAAGTCTGGCGAGGCTGTTGGCCGGGCTGTTCCAATATCGCTCAGGAGCCAGGCCACTGGGATTTTCAATGCCTGTTACCAAACAAGGTGACCAATGAAGCTCTTGGACAAGGGTGTAGTGAGGCAGTGGCCACAATTCACTACTGAGTCTAGAGGACGCTCTCCAATGACAGTTGCTGACGTTCGGAGTGGCCTATCGAAACAAAGCCGAGGTGTGAAAAGAGGCAACTCAAATGCGTGTCAGTGTCACGCGCTTCCTGCCCGCGGACGCCTCGTGCAGGTTGCCTCTGCGTGATCGGCAGCCACAGCCACAATGTCAAGCGTCGTCGTGTTCCGAGTCTGATGGGCCTTGGTAAGAGGGACTGGGTGCAGTATTTTTCGGATCGGAGATAGCGTTCCTGCGTGGAGATTGACTGGGGGCTCCAGAAGGTGGCGTACACCAGGCACAGAGCTCCCTTTGTCTTAGACCGGTAGATCTCGTAGAGAACCGCAGGGGAGGGAAGAGAAAGCAGTGGAATCGACGGGAAGGAGGAGGAACCTTAGGGATGTGGGTAGATTAATCTATCAGGCAAGGCAAGGTAAGCAGTGGTTGGAGGGCCATGGCAGACAGCAAGTTGGTGCCTGGACAGACGAACCAGAATACGCGGTTGGATGACTTGAAAATATTGGTTGGATGGACCCTGAATGAGAAGGAGGGGCTGCGCAGTTCCTGCTAGGGTCCATCCAGGGCACTGATCGAGGGTCCAACGACCCCTCCCGCTCCACCCTGGTCGCTGCCGTGCAGTGCCTGCCCGAGAGCCCAGACTGCCAGTGAGTGCACTTGTCAAGTTGTCAGCCCCATTCACCGAATCAGTGCGTGTCCCCCCCGGAGCTCTCTCCGAGCGGTGCATCCGAGCGGTGCAAGAGAAGCAGTGGCTGCCGTCAGGTGGAGCTCCAGTCACTGTTGGAGGCACTTGGAGCTTGGAGCAGATGGCCTCTGCGACATAACTAATGACGTCATCGCGAGGCTTTGTGGCACGCCCGCTTCAGAAACGACATGACGTTGTTGGGCAGAGCCACTCGGTTTGGTTCAAGTTGTTTGCATGTGAAGAAGATAAGTCTTTGGAGTGCTTGGTTAATCAATACTAATAAAGAGTACTCCAGACCAGCCAAATCACTGAACGCCATGTGTCACTTTCGTACCCCATCCATTTCCTTACTTAATTATCGCCAATCGATCCTTACTGAGCAACCGGGTTGCAATTGCCATCAGGAAGGAATGCGGCTCGTGCATGTCGACGATGAAAACGTGCGTGCATGCGGGGGGGCAAGATTTTCATTTTCCTCTACTTTTTTGCCCTACCGTCAAGGCTGAAGCGCCGACCAACAGCCCAATCCCCATTGAGGGCCAATGTGACGTGAGGCATGCATTCCACCATTGGCGTGGCAGTGGCGTGACCGGGAGGCTGCATTGGGACAAACTCTACGACTAAAGCAGACGTGTTGGACTGTCTGTCTTCTCCTTGCGCGTAAAGTGCATATGGCAATCTGGATGTGCGGGCGTGATTCCGTCATCGACATCTGTCAATCGACAACGGAGCCTTGTTATCATTACCGCAAGTACGTTCGCACGTACGCAGTACCCAAGAGTTGATGGACATGGAGACGGCAGCATGCTCGCTGGGAGCGAGCGTTTCTTTCATAGGCCCACCACCACCTTGACGGGCGCATCGGCCCACTGACGTCGTTTCGTTACTGCCGCAGAGAATAGAGAGAGATTTATTTGATTGCAGTGCGACAGCAGTTACCTTAGGTAATAACGCAGGAAAGAAGCAGTCAACCTCAGCACGCACTTGGGCATTTCCTTCCCGCTGCGCGCACCGGCGAGCCACGACATCCTCTTTCCCAAGGTAACTTACCCCTCCATTCCCAACCCAACCCACCGACCTCGAACCCCTCCAACGCAGCAACAACAACAAACTCCCACATTGGTTTGCATTTTCCAACACCACTCTTAACCAAACAATGCGATCGCAACGCAGCGCCAGTATGCCCAAGACGCAGCCAAACCTCTTCGCCTTCCCCGGCGTCGACGCCCTCGCGCCCGCCCTCCGCTCGTACATCATCCAGTCCCAAGCTGCCGGCATCGCCCGTCACGACAGCTTCAAGGTTGCGGTGTCGGGCGGCTCGCTCCCCAAGACGCTCGCCACCGCCCTGCTCGCCCCCTCGTCCGGCCCGAACGACGTTGTCGAGTGGAACAAGTGGGAGATTTTCTTTGCTGACGAGCGCGCCGTCCCCCTCGACCACGAGGATTCCAACTATGCCCTTCTGAAGAAGGAGCTGCTAGACAAGCTTCCCGAGGACCAGAAGCCCGCCGTGCGCCCTATTGACGTCACACACCTGGAGGATACCCAGGAGCTGGCGGATCAGTACGAGAAGACCTTGGTGGGGAGCTTTGCGTCGCGCGACTCGGTTCGCCTGCCCATCTTCGACCTCCTCCTGCTCGGCTGCGGACCCGACGGCCACACCTGCTCGCTGTTCCCGGGCCATGCGTTGCTGCGCGAGAACGATGCGTGGGTTGCTCCCATCGAGGACTCCCCCAAGCCGCCTGCGAAGCGCATCACATTGACGCTTCCCGTTGTCACACACGCCGTGCGCATCGCGTTTGTGGCTACCGGTGGAGGGAAGAAGGAGATTATGAAGCAGATTTTCGATACTTCGGATGGTCTCCCCTGCACACTTATCAACGAGACCGCCGGCGACCGAGCGAGCTGGTTCGTGGACGAGCCTGCTGTGGAAGGCGTAGCCTTCCCTCGGAGGGCATTCCTATGACATGATACCTCGGATGACGGGATGAAAATGAAGCTCTGATAGGAAGCCACAAACAAAGGGTCAGATGCTGGATTGACGATACGTGCGCGGTGCGTTGATTAGACAGACTGGCGATTATCCCCCACAGCATTATTCGATCAATCCATCACTATCATGTCCAACTTGTGTGTCTCAACCGTCTACATGGTGATCAGTGCCAGATGTATTATTAATCGTTGTGCTATACAGTCCGCCAGATCGCTCCAGCTTGAGGGGTATCATCGTCGTCCATCCGATTCATCTTCTCGATCCACTCGGCTTCCCTAGCCAGCGCTTCCTCCTCCATCTCCTCCATCATCTGCACCTCGGCCAACATGTCCTGCACCAGGGACCGCGCGCCCTGCAGCATCTTGGCCAGGCTTGACGTCCCGTCCTCGTCAGCAGGTGGCTCCCCGAGAACACGCAGTTGGTGCCTCCAGCCGTCCAGCCGCCGCAACGTGCCGGCGCAGTCTTCTTTCCACGGTGTCTCGAGGTCGCTGATGAAGAGGCTCTGGTCGCCCTGCTCCAGATACGTGCCGTCCCGCCGCGCCTGCTCCACCTCGCTGACCTGGTCCATCCAGCGCTCGAATCTCCGTGCCATACGCGCGTAGCGGCCGCCTGGCTCGCTGAGTGACCATATACCGTTGAAGACCGTGTCGAGGCCCTGTATCTTCTCCTCGAGACCACCCTCGCTCCCCCACGCGTGCAGTGCGAGGACATTGGCTCTCTCGAGACCTGCCTTCTCCTGCTCGGCTACTTGCTCGGCTGTGATGCACGCCTTCTCAAATCGTGCACCGAGTTTCTGCTTTGCGCTCGCGCGCCACTGGGCCTCGACGGTGGCTGCGTCGCGATGTAGGAGATGCAACTGTAGTAGTTCCGTCTGAAGTTTGCTGGTCTCTGCCGAGGCGGCGACGTTGGCCGGTAGTTTGGACGGGGATGGGGGCGCGAGGTACGTTGCGGTCAGGGGCTTTGGGTCGCGCGACTTGGCTGGGGAGTAGTGCGTCTGTAGGGTCGAGAAGTTTGGTCGAAGACGTGACTGAGCCTGTGCGGGTGCTGCGGCTGGTGCCCCGCGAGCGGTGGTGGTCGTTGACGATGTGCTTGCCGTTCGAGTTCGATCCATCGACGCGGTCTTTGCGTGGGCGGCTGTGCGTAAGTTCGTACCCTGGGGCGGAGGCTTCAAGGTCGTAGCTGGTGTGAGGCCCGTCGCGCCGTTCGTGGAGGCGGTGCTTCTAGCACGCGCGTGGGACGCTACTCGCTTGATCTGTGTCGACGACGCCGAGTTGTTGTTGTTGCTGCTGCTGCTCGCGGACGTTGGCCGCAGCGTCCCGGATGGTGGTGGTGCATGTCTCGTGCTGCCCGTCGTGGGCGGGTATCGCGTCGAGTTCGTTCTGGGCGCGTCGGCTGGTTGTCTCGACGATAGTGTTCGTCCTAGCGGGCGCGGTGCTGGTTTCGCGGCGGCACCACCATTGGATGATGATGTCGACGGCACGCGCGTGGGGGGTTTGGTAGGCAGCCGACTCGGTGAGCCATGATGGTCTGCGTCGGACGGTGCTGCTGGCCTGGATGATCTAGGGACGGCGGAGGAGCTTTCTGCGGGCGGATTTGGTTTTCGTAGCGATCGAGATCGTGCGATTGTGGATGATGACATTGTCGTCCGAGTGGACTAGAGGGAATGGTGATAATAGAGCTGGGGTTGGGTTTGCTTCGGCTTTGGGAGGTTGGAGTCCAGTCCAGTCTTTGGGCGGGCGCTAATCCAGGGGCAGCATGCTCGACTCTCGAGTCAATGGATTACTTCACCAAGCACACAAGCACGTCACGTCACGGCTGCCGCGCAACAGCAAAAAGGCGGTATGTACGTATATACATAGATGCACCAGTTGATCAACGACCGACTCTTGGCATTGCTCCTAAAAAACAAAAACAAAAAAAGAACTGCTTGGCAGCTGGCGGATCTCTCCCGCCGGGAATTGAACCCGGGTCTCAAGCGTGACAAGCTTGCATACTGACCACTATACTACGGAAGATGGTCGGTTGTGAACAACCGATGTAGCGAGGCGCGGATAGAGTATGCCGCCCTTATTTTGCTAGAGAAAGCCTTCCCCCTTAGTGACAGTTCCATAAGGTAGCTAAACCCAACTTCGACAACTTGAAAGGTCAAGCGCTGGCCAGCCTGTCCCTGCATTTCAAAGTGAAGGCTTGATAGTGGGTACTGTATAATATTGTTCAAGGTTTTGAAACTGGTTTCTTGGGTGTCACGAATATCGTATTCCTGCGTACACGGAGGCATTCCGCAAAAGCCTAATCCCCATCCCTTTTCAGTGTGCATAGACTTTCGGCCTCAGCGGGCAGCTCACAGTGTGGCTCAAGCTTAGCCCATAGATGCTCCTCCAGGTGATCCCTAAGCCACTTTGCGTGCTCCGGATACTTCTTTACAAAAGCAATATGAGTGTCGCAGATGGGTATCCCATTTTGTAAAAAAGACTTAATTATAAGTCGGTGGTTTACGGGACTCCAAGTACCATCTGGCTCCTGGGTACCCGGTGCCACTTCCTACCCTCCCATGTGAATGGCCATGATTTGAGTTCTTTGCGAATCCGAGAAGGGAGTTCTTCGTGTAACTGAATACTACAATCAGTCCAGTTAGTGCTTATAACTCCAAAAGGTATAGACAACGATAAAGCAACGTACAGAGCCTCTCCAGTCCATTTAACCCATAACAATGGCACGTGTGCCTGGTCTGGGCATGATCATAGCCGAAATGATCGATCAGGAGAAAGCATAAGCGATCTGCCAGACCGAATACAGTACTGTAAGGATACCAGCGTTCTTGCGAAGGGTCAAAGTCTCGTTTCCAAAGATGCTGGCAGGCTAGATTCTTCATGAATTCAATCTTGTCGCCGTATTCCGCACCAAGCGGAAGGTGCGTTCTGGTCTGCAACAAAATTCGGACCTGGCCCGAATGGCTTTTAGTGGTATCTTCGCAACTGTCCATGTTGAGGCGATATCGATCGCGCAAGGTATGTGATCTTTGTGCGTCAAACACGCGGCGTAAATGTTTGTTAAACAGTAAAGGGTCTGTCCGGGGTTAGAGTCGTAGACATACCAACACAGTAGATAGACATGGGTGGGGGTGGCCGTTTTATATCATTCAGATCGTTTAGCCTTTTCACTAGCACGCCGTGAGTCACTGATTCAAAAACCTTGTAACGGAGGATTATGCTGGTCAAATTCTACTGAGAGAATGTAATACAGGAAACACTCTTCCACGGCTTGTCGGCCCTTGTAAGAATGTCCAGAATCCCAGCTTCAGCCAAGGTCTTCGTTAGTACATGGTCATGGTGGTTTAGTGATTCATCTACTATGAAAGACTTGCACCTTCGGACGGCTGTAAAAATCAACAATCTATGGCCATGGTGGTTTAGTAAATTAACTGACATAAACTACTTGCACCATCGGACGGCCGTGGAAATCAACAGTTTATAGTCATAGTGATTTAGTAAATCACTACCACGAAAGACTTATACCATCGGACGGCTGTAGAAATTAATAGTTTATGGTTATAGTGGTTTAGTGAATCAACTACCACGAAAGACTTGTATTATCGGACGGCTGCGGAAATCAACAGTTCCGCCAGGGAAGTTATAGACCACGCGGGAAAGGTTCTGAACGATTCACCCGCTCTATTGAGATGGCGACTCATGTTTATGACATTGTAATAGAGTGAATGAGAGAGGTGTTCAAAAAGCCGAGATAATTAGCCCCTTCTAAGTAGATGATCGCTGTGAGACTTCGACGCCACGCGCAGATGAACAGGATTTATACGTCGTAGCCTAATATGAATCGCGAAATATTATATTTCTTCCCCCCAAAAAGGAATACCGTCTTCACCTCATCGCACCAACGGTTAGTCATGAATCTGTCCCAGGCAAACGGTACCTACAGTCTCTGGAGTAACAGACCAAGACCATTTCAAACGGTAAGGCTCTTGCTCCCTGGAATCCACTTACGGTGGCATGGCATCGTCTCTGTTTTCGGAGGAGAAGACCTCTAGTATCTGCATTTTAATTACAAGCACTTGACATGACTACTGCGGAAGATAGTTGGTTGTGAACAACCGATGTAGCGAGGCGCGGGTTGAGTGAGCGGTTCTTGTTGTGCTACAGAAAGCCTCACCCCTCAGTGACAGTTCCACAACCAACCAACGTAGCAAGTCAATGCTGTCCAACTTGGACATGCCTCGCCCACAAGTTACAACCCAACTAGAAGGTCAACCGCTGGCCAGCCTGCCCCGGCACCGTGCTCGCAACACGTCCCGAGCCGAGCAGACTGTACTGGTACGGGAAGCTGCCAGCCCCCAGCGAACCCTGCGGCGCCGTGTTGGCGCTCTGCCCGCCCAGCACGACATCAATGGCCACGGCGTAGCCGACCTCCTTGCTGGACTCGCTAAAGATGGCCTTCTTGCCCGAGTTCTGGAAGACGGACGACTGCACCAGCGCCTGCGCGCCCATGCGCGTGTTGACGCCCGTGTCGACGGCGTCGTAGAGGTTGCTGGCAGCCAGTTAGTCAGTCTCTATCCCCCTTGTTGACGGGCAGAGAAGAGAGAGAGAAAGACTCACTTGAAAATGTGGGCGGTGCCGAAGCGCAAGAGGGGCGTGCGGCTCGCGAGGTTGTAAAAGTGGTTGTTGGCATATGTCACCCTCAACTTGCCCTTGTCCTCGGCGCCGTTGCTGTCCGAGTGACCGACAAGGCTGGCCTTGGACTATGAAGGATTCGTCAGTAATCTGGTCTCGGGCTGCGCTCGAGGGAGGCACTCACGTGGTCGTGGAAGTATGTGTAGGAGATGGTCACCCAGTCAGCGGCGTGGGACAGGTCCACGAGTCCATCGTAGGTGTCCTTGCTCACGCTGCGGTCGCCGTACAGGTCACAGTGGTCGACCCAGACGTTGGTCGAGTAGAGGATGCGGATGGCGTCGCCATAGTCGGCGAGGACCTTGCCAATTTTCATGTTGCGGATGATCACGTTGGACTGGCCGTACACCTCGAGGCCGACGCCCTCGAGACCTGCGCATCACACTCAGCAAACACGTTCCGCCATGAGCGAGGGAGAATGGAGACCTACCGCTGCCAGGGCGGCCGATAATAGTCTTGTCGGAGCCGACATCAATCTTGGCGGCCCCCTTGATCGAGCCCTCAACAAAGATGATGCGCGGCCCGGACGCACTCGCTGCAGCCTGGAGCTCAGAGACGCTACGCACAGTCGTCGTCGAGCCACCGGCACCGCCCGTCGTACTGGTCACTCGTCAGCCCCTTGCCAAGTCCATTCAGTCCGGGGTACAGCTCACCCGCCGTTCTGCGTGCAGTAGCCAATATTGCAAGGATCGGTGGCAGAGGCGCGCTTCTCAAGAGGCGATGCAAGGGCCAGTGCCACGAGAGCGAGGGAGAGGATGCTGGAGACAAATTTCATCGTGACGGTTCTGTAAGATAAGATCCCAATGGTGTAGATTGCAGCTGGAAGTGATAAGAGTGATCGGCATGAGAAATGTCCAGAGTTGATGACCAGAGCTTCCACTTTTAACTTGACTCAACCTAGAGTCTAAGTATTGACTCTATTCCATTCCCCCACAGAAGATCGATGGCAGTCCCGAACGGAATATGCATGTACCCCGGACAATGTGCCGGTTCTACAGGTGAGTAATCCCTCGAATCAGAAAAGGTACGCTGCAGCTGGAGGGCCCTTTTCTCCGTTTAGGGCACTCAGTCGGTCGCAGGCTTCTCGTCACTGGATGGAAAATCATTGGGTTGGTGAATTCCCCCCCGATCACACGCTGATGTGCAGGACAACGGAGGTCCAGGGGACAATGTTCCGTGCCCCTTTCGGGAAACTGAGTTGTCTCACGAGCACTGATGTACAGCTTCATACACAAAGGACGCGGTGCTCGCTCGCTGTGGCTCGAAATTAGATGATCGCTTGGATTTCCTACACATTACATATGTATATGCTCGCTGTGAAACCTCTCATGGACGTACAAAGATGAAACCTGTTATCATGCTCAGCCTGTGAGCCCGCTGCCCATGCAGTTATTGCCTCCTTCGTCAATCCTGGGGTTTCGTGCGCGTGTCTTCATCCAGTCCACAGCCTATCGCGCCGTGCATGCTCGCTGGTATCGTGTGATGTGCCTGTACGGTGGCGCCGTGTCTACCTGGTTTCCCAAAGCCAATTCTATGCGGTGACAAATGAAAAAGTAGCGTGCGTGAGACAGAAAGAAACAAGAGAGGTGGAAGAATGGCCGGAAGCCCTCATTGTGAGCTGCTCTGCAACCCCAAAGCGGAGCCGGGTCGTAGGGGGGACGAAAGGCTGAGCGTCGACGGCTGCGGTAGACTGTCCATGAGCGTGCCGAGATCTCTTTTGCTCTCGTTCAAGAGCTTGTAGCAGGATTCGCACACCCGCAAGCTACAGAATGCGCAGCCCCATCTGTCCTCATTGTCCGCCTTCTCGCATGTCTGGCATGCCAAGGGATAGACCTTGTTCTGCCGCTTTGACATGAAACGGTGGTTCTGGAAGCAATTCATATGACGCTCTCGCACCGGCACAGCCTTGAAGATTGTGCCCGGAGCGGATGGCTCCTTTGTTGTCGCCGGGAACGGCACGGGATCGGGATACGGCTCTTCCTTTGGCTTCATCTCCGGATACAGCGTGCCATATCGACCTCGGTAGCAGAGATCTCCATTGGCGGACATGACCATCCGCGGCTCCGCGTCGGGTCGTCGTGGAGGCCCATTGGGTCGAACTGAGCCTCGCGAACTAGGCCTGGCTGAGGACACCGACGTCGGGCGGGAGTTGTTGCCTGGAGGTTGTGGAAAGCCTCCATAAGACCCGGGTGGCCCGGGTTGTCCGGAAAAGGGGCCTGGTCCACCAGGAGGGCCACGAGGCGTACGCTGGCGTCCTCGGCTGGCCTGGTCAGGAGCTGGCGAGGCACGTCCTGAGTGTGGACGTGCCGAAGCTGGCGGCAACGACTGCTGGCTCGGTGTTGGTGGTAGGTTGGTCTGGAGGCTGGGCAGGCTCTTGGCCGGATGCAGCACGGCTGGCTCCGGCTCCGCCTTTGGCTGCGTCGAGACCGGCACAGCCTTTCTAGTGATGGCCTTCGTCTCCTTTGCAGGCTGTCCCTGGGGTTGCGGCCGCTCCTTGGATAGATTGGCGGTGATAGTCAGGTGCGGTGCGTGCCGCTCAGGGGAAGTCGCGGGCGAGTCTGGTGCCGTGAAGCTACTCATGACAGGCGTCTGCACATCCTGATGCTGGTATTCGGGTGTTGGCGGGCTGATGAGTTGCGTGGTCGTCGTCACCGAGCCGCCGCTGATGCTTTTGGCCATGTCCTCGGAGGTGTGAGACTTGCGGAGAACCTTCTTCAGCTTGTTGATTTTTGAGCTTGCATGACCCATTGCTTCGGAGTCATTCGCTGGAAGCGCAGGCGCCACCTCGCGTTCCGTCGAGTCTGATGCTTCCGCGGGAGGATCAGGAGATGTCGACGACGCCTTGAGGGGCGGGAGAGGCTTCTGCGACGCGCGAATGGTCGAGATGGAGGAACAAGATGCGGTCGAACCGTGGCTCTTGTCCAGGCGGAGATCGGGAAGATCGCGGCTGCCGTTGAGGGAGCGACGGCGCTGCCAGATTTGCTGTCGCGGAGGCGAAGAAGCCCCAAAGTCGTGACCCAGACCGCGCACAGGAGACTCGGTTCGCTGTGTGGTGATGTCGTCCTTTGGAGGAGCAGGCGGCGGCGCAGGAACAAGAGTCTTCTGCGTCCCTACCGACGTGATTGTGGAGAGGGACGGCCTCGCGAGGTGTTTGCCGTGAGACGGGGCCAGGTACGCGGATGGGGCGTCGTGATCAGGTGAGTCTGTGGTGGTCGAGTCGACTGTGCTGTAGGCGGTGCCGTCCGAGGAACGGATGATGGAAGCCGTGTCGCTGCGAGAATACGCGGATAGGATGCTGGAGAGCGACTCTGATGGAGACTTTTGTGGGAATTGATACTGAGAGAGGTCAAAGGTGTCCGAGTAATGAGGAGGCGATAGTATGTGTGGTAAATGTTGATCGCCCGTGGGCGCCGCCTCCTGGGAAGAGATGGGGGAGGTCAATGACGCTGTCGGCGATGGCCCGGCTGCGCCTGCAGGCGCGTGTGTTGTCGACGTCGAGACGGCAGTCGTGTCCGAGGGCTCTGAGAAATCCAATTTCAGAGGTGAGAGGGATGTCGAAAGTGACGATGCAAGCTCCAAGGGTGGCAGCGACGGCTCCTTCTCTGCCAGCTTTGGCGGTTCCCGCGCGCCTGTCTCTGGCAACGCTCGCTCTTGTGGAAGAGTCTCTATGTGCGCGTTGGCCACTGGTGAGATGGTGTCTTCCTTTTCTTTGCGCTCTTGCGTCGGTGGCTGAGCTACCTCCGTGCTGGATCCTGCGGTTGCAAGCTGTGGAGGAGGCTGTGACGCTGGCACCAACCCCTCGTGCGATTGTGACTGCTGCTTGCTGCCCACAGGTCGACGGCGGATTGTCATCTTTGGAGGCGCATCCGCTGCAGGTATCTTGGGGAGGGCAGCTAGCGAAGGAGATGTCGAGACGGTCGGTGGTGACGCGACGGGCTTCCTGCCGGGCAACGAGGGCAGCGGCGAGAATGGGGCTGGCGTCGTCGGGTCGTGGTTGTTGTCGCGGTTGCGGTCGCGGCGTGGCGGGGGTGGTGGAGGTAATGGCAGGTCCTCCGACGCTCGAGAGGCGGGCAATGGCTTGCTCCTAATGTCTGCAGCTGTGGACGTGGACGTGGACGGGTTCGTGTTCGTGGCTGTGGCCCAGGTTGGCGGCATGGGAAACAGGCTCGCGGTCGGACTCGTCGCTTCGGTGGGCGGGATAGAGGGAAGGGCCTTGGAGAAGCGCGACCTGCCAGCGCCGCCGGCCTTTGCTGGCACCTGGAGGGACATGGTTGCGGAGGCCGAAGACTGCTTGTTGTGCAGCACTGGACGCTGCTTCTGCTGCGACGGCTTGGTGCGTCCTGGCGCGTCGACTGTGTCACGATATCAGGGCGCTGCGCGACGACGAAACATGGGCGGACAGTCAATGTTCATGCGGCGTCCAGGCTGGCTGGCTGGCTGGCTGGCTGGCTGCCTGCCTGTAGGCTGTGGGTAGGATGGTCCGTTTCGATTCAGAGCAGAGTCGGGACGTGACCTGCACGATAATAGGGAAAGTATGACTACAAGTATAGCTTGAGATGGGCCAAGGGATGTGGATTGGATTCCATCAGCGTTCTGTTCTGAAATGCATTCGTGGGCGCGGACCAGACACTGGTGGATCTGAGAATTCGATCCTCGACAGCAGGCTTGGACCACGACAAGACTCAGCAGCCTGCCACCCGCAGACCCCTGCAGCACCACCTACGTAATGATTCACGGTCCCGGCTGTCCGACCGTCGACGACGAGGCTTTTCCAGGCTTTCCAGCACGCTCGTCGCTCGTGTTGGCGGACGCACTTGTCCATACGCGTGTGAGCAGCGCCGTCTGAAACAGCTGCAGTCAGTCTAGCGCAGGTACCGGACCAAGCGTCACCGAGCTACTTATTCCCGCCCGTCCTTGTCATTAAACTAGGAAACTTAGAGAACATTTCCAAACTGTGTGTAGAGGCATCTCTAGGGGCTGTCCCGACACGATCGATCGATGCGCTCATGTCGTTGAAGCCAGCGCCTCCATTCCCTTGAAGGATACAACCCTGGGGACACGGATGTCCGGGCAGCAACATGGACTGCAAGGACTGGAGCCAAGGATTGGACTGTGCCGGTTCTGCCACTGGAATGCGGCCCGGCGTGGTTGGCGGGGTTCCAGCTCCAGTCGCGTCGATTCTCCAGGGGCTTCTCCAGAGGGCCTGAGCATGCTGAGCTGAGCTGAGCTGGCTTGGCAGAGGGTCCTTCATTTATCACGAGCACCACAATGCAGAGCGAACATGACTTCCATTCTGCTTCTTGTCAAGCTGGTCCTCGCTCGATTCAGTCGAGCTTTCATTGCAACCCTTATGCTAATGTCGAATGGGCAAGCTGAGTGCATGGGATTGGACAAGCAATGGCAGCTCCAGTCCAGGCTGCTTTGAAGCACAGCCACAGCCACAGCCACCCTTTCCCTCCAGCCACGCGCAGCCACGCCAGAGAACGGAGACGCAGGTTCAGTCAGTGCGTTGCCGTCAAATGGCTGTCTCACCTGCTTCCGGCAGTCTAGCTTAGAGTCTGCATTGATTACGGACCTGCTGAGAGGTTCTTGATCATACATGACGCCCCGCCTCGTGAGAAATGACTGCGCGTCTCTAATTAGAAACGAGCTTCTAGAAGGTCAGCAGCTGTTGTTTCCTAGACGAGGCTCGCATCCGGTCCATGAGTCTCTCGGCCGAGACGGTCAACTTCTCGCACCTGAAGATGTAATAGACATGAAAGAATGCATTGCTTTGAGCGCATGGGGCAATGGGCATTCTAGGTATGCCACTGGTAAATTGGGACCATGGTCAAATCACAGATGAATTCGAGAGCACCTCTACCTGGCCTATCGCACCTCGTCCGCTGGTGTAAGTGGTACTGGCTGATACTCAAAGACTCGTATTTTGACCGCAACAGTACTTCTAAATGCTAATGACTCCGTACAGTAGTTCCAAGTTGGATTGATAAAGACTCTCAGCCAAAGATACGCTGATTGCGCATGCAGAGCTGCTTACTTTTGGGTCGCTGGCCACGCTGCACTATCTGTTTTCTGTGTCGATCATCCCCGGCTCACGGCGGAATCGGTACCCAGCATCACTCACTCAGAACAACTCTTCGTTCTTATATCTCTATAGGCACATTCTCAAATCAACTGCACCCGTTTCTGTTTGCTCAGGGTCTATCGACATAAACGACAGCAATGGCGTCTGAGAGCCCGACTCACGACGAAACCTCCCCCCTTTTGGGCCAACAGCCTCCTCGCAACGACGCAGGAAACGCCCACGATGCAAAACCGAGGGCAGACATGCGCCTCTTCTTGCCAGCGGTGGGCGTTGGTGTAAACGCTGCCCGGGGGGGGGGGGGGGGGGGGGGGGGGGGGGGGGGGGGGGGGGGGGGGGGGGGGGGG